TACGCCGGTATAAAAAACTCATGATCCATTAGTTAGGTTGTAGAATATCAATTAAATATTTCCCTCAAGGATAGTCCACTAAATTGGGGTCACAGAAAAACTATAAACATTCATAAATAACATTTCTCTAACTCGATTACAAAACGGTTCTTGCTTAAAAACTTACCCCCGTATAAATCGTTACTTCAATGCTACTTTTCTTTTAGGTTAATAACTGTGGAATGCTCGCGGGTTAACGATTTTCGATTGTAAAAAAGGAACAAGAACTATGGAACGACTTGATTTTTCTTCACATATTCATGATTATGTAATTTTAGATCAAATAATTATTAATATATTTATATAATAAAACATTGTTTTTTTTTCAGTTTTTACGTTTTTACGTATGCACAAAGGAAATAGGCAAACAATATTTTATCCTATAAAACTGGGAATTCATAAAAGCATCCGGAATTATTACGAGTGGTCTTAATTTCCTTTATGCGTATACCTAATCATGTAGTATGATTCGTGGTTCGAATAGATTCTTTGATTTGTAATTTGTCGTATAACAAGGTACTCTTATTCAGAAAAGAGGGTCTTAGGCAGTGCTCTCCGACGAATTCGTTTGTCGGCTTACCGCGGGTCCACTGTAATTTCATTTTAATTGTTTTAAACATTTTTCTGACATGGTTAGATTCACCAAACATAACCTCACATACTGCGAACGTACGAAAGCCGGTTGAACTGTCAAACGAAATAACTCCTGGCATTACGAATCAAAGCCAACTAAAGTATATTCAGATAAGAGATAGACCGGACATAAACAAGACCACGTGATCATCGAACGCTGTAACATTCGGCAGGGACGTATTAAGAGTCACGCAGTACATATTTTAGATAGTAGATGCTGCTTTGCGTAACTTTGTAGTAAATTAGCACAATTCGATGTGTATACGATTGGTGATGGATATAGGATCATGTGGGGGTGGGGTAAGAAATATATAATGATGTAAATATACATAAGGGTTTCAAAATTTTCGCTTCGATTTCCAGCTTCGGATGCCGCCTGATGTTTGGTGAAATACAGTCGAATATAATCTCAAAATGGCGTTTAAATTAGCCTAAATTAAAAATAATCGTATATCTCTTAAAATTGCTTTTAGAATATTGATTAGTATATTTTTTGATTTCTAGGTAAATATGTAACCAAATTAAAACGTTCAAAACGTAAAAAAATGTGCATGGTTGAACATTGTCAGAAAGTAGATTCTTGAATAGGTTTTGCCAAAATGGGTTCAAAAATGTCAATAATTAATTAAAAAATACAGTAGCTTTATAATTACTTATAACTTACCGAATTTGATGAACGACATCTTTTATTGGAAAGATGAGCTTGATGAGCTTTCATCATCGCTACTGCCTGAAGCACCGACGTCAATAATGAATGGCTCGACTTGTTCCTCTAAAATATTGTCCAGTTCCCACATTCTCTTTTCAACTTTGTCTTTCACGTGCTTAATACAGTTTTCCCATTTTTGCGCTGTTATTAATTCTAGTGCTTCTTTGAAAAGTCCTTTGAGGTCACAAAATTTAAAAGTTGTATTGTGCTTAGCTATATAATTTTTAACCTCTGCCCATATGAGCTCAATGGGATTGAGCTCGCAATGGTATGGAGGTAAACGGAGCACAGTTTTATTTTGACTTGCTGCCATTTCGTCAATGGCGTATTTTTGATATTCCGCCTTGTGATCCTTGACAATTCTTAATAATTGTACTTTCAGCATTGCTTCTTCAAAGTTGATATTTTTCGAGCGGAGCCAATTTTGAACATCAACTTTCCTTGAAGCCGTTGTTGGGACCTTCTCCATTCTTCGAGAATGATAAGGCGCACTATCCAACACAATTACTGCGTTTTCCTCTAAGTTCGGTAAAATTTTTGAAAACCACTGTTCAAACGATTCGCCATTCATTTCCTCGTGGTAATCTCCAGTTTTCTTAGACTCAAAGCGCCACAGACCGTCAACAACAAATCCATCCTCACTGCCAATATGGCAGATAATGAGCCTTTTCCCTTTACCTGGAAATCGAAGTACTAACTGGTGTAGATTTATTTCAATAAGCGAACCTTTTTCAAATGTTTTCATCACATTCAGCGAAAAAACATTAAGACATGAGTATCAGATTGCTATAATTGGGATTATTTAGTCATATTGAAAGAAAGAATATTGAACGTCGTATGATTACTCAGCGCTTCACAATTTAATTTAAAGTTATAAACCTTTAAAAAATGAATGATCAGGAACCTGAAATACGCGCAAATATTAATATTAACAAATTATAACTTTATAAAGCTTAAAGTATGAATTAAAATGATTAAAAATATTAGGAACGGTACACAATATAAAACTTAGTAACTTTTTTTAAGTTTATAATATTCGACATATTTTAAGATTATATTAAAAAATTATTGAAATATCGAAAACACATAAAAACATGGCTTAAAAAAGTTCTAACAAATGAAAATGACAATAAAACATCCACGCATTTTATCGAAAGTTATAAAAGTTTTGTTACTTGTAATATGTTTTATCTGCCCCCTGGAATTAATGTTTAGAACCTTGTTTGAAAAACATCCGATTGTTGTCTATTACTCGTATTTACCTGCTGGATTTTTTAATCCGGTGGACAGTCCATCTAGAAAGGCCCTCCTGGATGAAGTTACAGAATCATCAACCCATACTTTACTTGTAGTGTGTCCTGCGTTTACCCACGTTTCATCAAGGTAATAAATCTTCCTGTTTTGATTTCTATATTTCCCAATTTTTGTTAAATAATCCCTCCTCCATAGCACAATTTCTTCTCTATCCAGTAGTAAACTATTACGACCCCGTTTTTTCCATTTGAAATTTAAATGCTTCAGTAACGCATGGAAAGTTGATCGTTTGAAATTTGGCAACGTTGTATCTCCATTTACCTCCTGCAGTACTTTATCTATAGTAGGTATTTCATTCCTAAAGAAGAATTCATGCACTTTCCTCCTAATCGCATGCTTATCAGCTTCATCCAATGATTTAACAATACTTTTGCGATGTTTACTGGTCATTGGCTCAGAAAAGGTGTGATTTTTTTTGTATTGTCTTAACACATTAAACACTGATGCGCGACACACCCCAACTTTGTGAGAAACCTTCACAACAATTTCTTTGATGGTTGATGCCTCGTTCTCCTCGCGCTCGATCTTATACATATTCAAAATGACCTCTTTCATTTCTGCACTCAGGTGTCTTTTTTTAGAGCGTTTCGTAGGTGGACTACAGGAGTTTACAACTTCATCGGCAGTATCTGTACTACTGGGCATTTTGCGCAAGCAGTTGATAACAATAACAATCAATAACAAGGTATAACAATAACAACGACAAACTCAACAACTTAATAAGATAACAAACGAAAACGTCCAAAGAAATATCAAATTGCAATGATGCACACGACATACGTAACACGTCTGAACCTGAATGTGACTCTGTCTTGATACGACTGCTCTGCCGCTCGGCATAGGCATTTAATTGCAAATTGACCAATCAGGGCTCCTGTTTTACGTCGAGACGGCGGCGTTAGCGTGAAAATCACCCGAACCTTTTGTTTACATCCGGTCTATCTCTTATCTGAATATACTGTATGTGAATCGCGGGCAGTCTAGCAGGCTGTGAAATCAGTCGATGAGGTCGATATGATACAATGATTTTCATCTGTTTTCGACTAGTTTTCCAATCCAGCTAACGAGCTTACAGACGCATGAGGGGTCCTGGGTTACATAAAAATACTTAATACTAAAGTTCAGCTTTGCCAGAGTGAGCAAGTAGAGCAAGTAGTTTAATTGATGTATACCTATGCCACACAAGGCAGGAAGAAATGTAAACACTAAAGATTTCGAAAATGAGATACGGTTTTTGGATGTTATACTGACGGTCCAAGATGAGAATTCTATGCACGGTATCTCGATACCTATGGGAGATACAGTTTAGGTAAAATTAAGAAAAGCTGCTTTCTTTGGGGCGTATTTACATGAAAAACTTTATTTCGTGGCTTACTGAGATATTAGGGAAAAACTAAAATTTGGTCAAATCGTTTTTATAGTATTCTGATTTTATTTTGAGAAATATCAACAAATTAATGGAACTTTTTAATTAACACTCGGTTGGCAGGTTGGCACTACATGATAGTATTTTTAAATTTTGTACTTGACGTTACGTTTTTGAGAAACCATCAAGTTTATTTTTTATATGGTCTAAAAAGTATACCCTACCCTGTATCTGGTTGAAATACGTCCCAAAGTTCGAAACTTTTTCCTAATTTAACCTAAGCTGCAATTTTTTGATGTTAGTATATTAACACAGTTCCAACGCCGTTAATTCTACGCACCTATTAGACATATGTCACACACTACATATTTCCCCAAACGTTTACCCTTAAAACTAAACTAAATATTTCCAGCCTATCGGTCGCATATGCCGTGCACCACGAGTTTATTTATAAATGCTGCGTATTTGGCAGTCGATCCGAGAATTGACATTACTTTGTATTGCATTGACACTTAATCCATCAATTTTAACATTTCTTTTGTAAAAATCTTTTTTTTGCTTTTATACGGGGTTAGATGGTGGAATAGCAGGTGCAAAATGTTGCCTCAAATAATGTACCATGTTTTTTGTCAATATAGTATTATTTTTTAAATAGCACCCCCTATGCTTATTACATTTTCGGATTCTACATATACTTTACGATAAATTTTGTTCTTACAAGCATTTCGTTTAGTTTTTGCGATCTCATAATTCCGTTATGAAACGATAACTACTGGTAGGACACGGAAAGAATGTCTACGGGCGAATTGTATGGGTCTGTTCGACTGACTTGATCAGTTTAAATCCTTTGTTATTCACTTATGCTGACTTTGCGTGATTAGTACAGAATCAACCTAGTTGACGATATTTTTTTGGACAAAAACGAAAATGAAACCCAAATTTCACTAACACCTTTTATTAATATTCTGAAAAAATAAAAAAGTCTATATAATCGAAACAATAAAAACAATACATGACATTGATCACTTAGCCATAGGTTTTAGTCTTGGTCTTGATGCCTGAATCTACGGCACTTTTCATAGGCAGCTTTTTGTAGCCTGCCGCGCAAGCTTCGCAACCGCACTGCGATGGTACTGAGATCTTTTTCGTCCATTTTTCGCCGTCCTCGCAATTCAGATTCACTGAGATTGTCTTGTACGATATGGCCACGCAACAGGAACAAACTGATTCGTGTGAACCGGACTCTGAAAATAAAAGTAGGCATGTAGAACATGGCAATATCTTAGAAAAATCGTTTTCAAGAAAATCCGTTCTCAACGACAATATTGAAAATACAAACAAAAACTTTAACGTCATCCATGTAGCGCAGGATATATTTTTTAAATTCCAATGCTCATTTGTAACAGTTGATTGTAAAGAATCCTTCAATATTTGAAACTTACTTGTGTTGAAAACGGTTGATGACGAACAAGTTCCAATGCATTCTGGGAAATCCGTTAGAGGCTCCTTATTGATGCATGCACCATGTAGTGCGTGGGTATAGTTCAGAAGTCCAATTGTTTTATCCGACATCATTGGTTCTGGTTTACATAGACCTGGAAACAATTAAAAAACAAATGCATCACTATGCGTGGCAGACGAAATACCAATAATGTACATCATTGTGTGACTTAAATTTGCTACAAGAGAGGATGCAACAGATGGCATAAGTTACAGATATAGTTCACGACAGAGATATAGTGTCTGTTTACATTTTATAAACATAAAAACATAAGCAATTTTTCTTAGTGCCATATACACCAATGTCTTAAGGAAACCGAGATAAAGGGCTCTGCAACATCAAAAATATCTGAATACCGTCCTGTAGTGTGTCAGGTCAGTATGCAACCTTCAACCGACGGTTACGGTCACGCGTGTAGAGGTAAACGAACCCGTATAATCGATTGCGTTTCAAAAAACAACAAGCACTAGAGACGTGGCTAGAGAAGTGCAAGTATCAAAAACTAAAGTGTGGCAAACGCTGCGTGAAAAGGGGCTGTATCCGTTTCACGTCCAACGTGTACAAGCCCTTCAACCTGACGATTTTCCAGCAAGAGTGCGGTTTTGTGAGTGGTTGTTGCATCAACATGACAATAATCCGGACTTTTTGAAGTGCATATTGGTGACAGACGAATTTACGTTCACGCGTAATGGGGTGAATAACTTTCGCAACACTCATGTTTGGTCAGTAGAAAATCCGCACGCTGTCCGTCGGGCACATTTTCAACAAACATTTGGTCATATTTGTTACCTCTGTTCGTGGTCTGCACCACCGCCCGGCGTCTGCTCGGTAGCGCATCAGCTGATTTCATTTTCTGTTGAAGCGGTATGATTTCGGGCAGAGACGTACTTAGCCCTACTCGTCAACTGGAGAGTGAGTACTTTTTCCTTTATTTTTTTTTACTTGGTCGCCCTCGTTTCACTACACATTACCTTTGTTATTTCAAGGGTAGTTGTTTCTGAAAAGGAAAACCCCAACTTTGCGGACACCCTGTATATCTGCCGTGAACTATATCTATACTCGATGACGAATTTCACCTTGATATTGATAGCGATTTTGGAACCTGTAGTTTTAACCTCGAAAACACAATCAGGATACTTTTGTGACTTTTCAGGGTTATTTGGAATGATTACTTGTAAACTCCAAACGGGATTTTAAAAAACAGCTAGCGCATTCAACTTCATTTAGAAATCATGATTCGACCGCAATAATTAAGTCAACTTTATTCATCAAGTTCATAGAATTCGAAAATGTTCTTCACTTCTAAGATCAAGGTCACATTCAAGGTCATCACATAAGATTTTTATGAATTATGATCTTAAAATGTCCTCGACTTTTCATAAGTTACACGTAACCATTTTTTTATCCATATGAATGTGAATGTCTGCCCAGTTTGTCAGCGTCACGTCATACGGAGAGACGTAAGAATTCGTACCCTTGCTAACTGAAATCTGAGGAAGGTTATAAGCATCGCTTTATCCGCCCAAATATCGAGGGTGTATCAAAAACACATTTCCTAGAGAAAAATGGTGTAGAACAAAGTTGTAAGGTTTAACAAGGTTCATCTAATGTTCTTGAACGTGACATTGACTATGACCTTGAAAGTCAGCCGAAGATCAAGACAATTTTCTTAAACGGAAATCCTAAAGAGTGGAAAACTTCACGTTAAAGTATATCTTTACCCATGATCTACAGTTATCCAGTAAGTAGAGAAACGACAAAGTATCTCAAAAAATACATTTCATAAAGAAAGATGTGTAATTAAGTTGTAAGGTTTGAAAACATTCATCTAATGGTGACTTTCAACGTGACCTAGGTTATGACCTTGAAACTCATTTGAAGAACAAGACAGTTTTTTTTTAAATGAAAACCCCTATTTTGAAACCAGAAATAAAAGAAAGAAACTTTATGTTCAACCGTGATGTTGACTATGACCAGCAAGTGGAAGTTTGGCAAAAATGTTAGACGTACTCTGAGATTCTGCGACAGTGACATTACAAAACTTGCAGCACCCTTTTTCATAAACGTTCTCCGGCGGGCAGTTTTCATCCAAAGTCGGGCAGCTTTCCTGGCTCGACACCACCGAAAATTCGCCTCCGAGGTTTTCGCACGTGTAAGTGGTACATTTATCTTCGGACTTCCATACTTCGCCCGGATTTTTTATCTGCCCGTTTGCGATGCATGCAACCTGGACACATTCTCCGCAGCAGGCCTGGTTGGACTCCATGTATTCCCAACCCTGAAAAACGCAAGTTAAAGACTAAAGGCCGATCTATAAAATCTGACATATATCTATTTATCAACTTGCTAAAACTCAACATTGCATCATTTTTCACATATTTGAAGACCAAACTTGTAACACACATCTCCTGATAATTACATGATCAAACGAACTTACCTGTAAGTGATGTTCGATCTTAATTATGTGAAGTCCTTGTCGAAGTAAATAGCTCCCTTGCTCCCTATGTATCACCCAATTGTTGCAACAACTTGGCTTTCGTGCGTGCGCGATTTGAAATCGTAGGGTTTGGTGAGCTACGAGGGTACTACGTTATGTATTCTAAATATTTACTTCGACGAGGACGGAACATAATTCATATTATTGTTTAAAAGCAAAATGGGTATTATACTATTTTCATTTCAAAAATCAAATTTCTACTCACTTTGGCGCAATCCGTCTTGCATGTTTGTAAAGATTCCTGTTTTGTTATCCCTTGGTTTTCCTTTTGGACACATTTAATGATCTTGCATTTATCCCCATCAGGTGATGGCCAACTTTCGCCAACCTAAAGAAGATTAAGTGAAATACTATTCAGCGTGTTTCCCAATTGAAGGTCAATATTTAAGAGGTCCAAAAGAAAACTAATAAACGAGTCTTATTTAAAACAACAATATCTACTGCAATTAATAATTTTAACAATATTATAGATCGTTTGTTGATACATAAATGAAATAAAAGTATTTTTTTAAAGAACTGCCTTCTAACAAAATCATTTTCATCACATGGTTGTGGTCACTGATTTTTAACTAAGACTAGATACTTTTTTTGTTTCAAAAAAGAAATTCTCGATTTTAACAAGTGTATTTAGTATTTAGTATAACCCTAAATGTCATTAACAGAAAAAATGAAATCTGTATTCATTTATAGCACGGTTTTCACCGAAAAAATTAAATCTATTTCTATGCATGGTGATATTGTCATATTAACCATAATTTATGATCATATGTAGATGAACGGTTTTTATTTTTTCATCGATTGGTTTGGGAACATCAAGTGATCAAAATAAGTAGGTGAAATTCCGTACGAATAAAGCCACTGATGGAAATAAAAAAAATATGGGCACATTAAAAAATGGATGTTGATACAAACTTCATGTATGCAAAATTTCATTGAAATATCTAAAGAGGGAATACAGATATTCACATAAAACACTATGTAGATTTGCACAGAGTGAATTGTTTTTTTAGTGCGAGTGTATAAAGAAAATATAGCGTTTATTAAAATATTTTTTAAATTAAGACTGTATTTGGATACCTGGTAAACTTGTTCCCCAACTTTGCAAGCAGTTGCAACATATTGTTTACAGCAATCTCCTTCTAGTGGAGGATATGATTTGAAAACATAGTTTTCTTCATCAACCGCGGGACAGTTCACAACTAATCCCTGGATAGCTATCTATAAAATAAAAAGAAACAATTTTATGAATTGTTGAAACGAATATCGTACTTATTCTTAGTCGACATTATACGATTGCAAATTTAGATTTGGCATTTGTCAATCTAGAAATTTCAGCCATGTTAACTTTCATAACTAATGCTATGAACTTCCGATCTGTATCTTGCGTTGCATTAGTAAACTTACTTTACTTTAATAGTGGCGCCACCTACACTGTAGGTAAAACCGCGGGATAAATGGAAATGTCTGTTGTGAAAAGTACTTACACTGCCATTTCTATCGCGGCAAGCATAGTTTACGCAATAATCTGGAGACGTCCACTCCTCTCCAACTTGATAAACGACTCCATCGCGTACGCAAGCGACTTGTCTGCAACTTCCACAACATTCTTTCTGTTCTGGATTTGGTTCGAAGTACTTGTGTCCTATGTCGCAGTCTTTGTCGCAATTCTTCACTCGTGTTTCTTTCATTATACCTGTGGGACGGGGGAGTTGTTGGATTTGAACCAAAAACTTAGTAATTAAAGTAGTTATTAGTATTTCGATATTTAGTTTACCTTAGTGTTTACAAAAATTCTATATTTTCGATGTAGGTAAGTGCTGATTTTTCAGTACTGACTGTCCTAAAAAGACGTCAAAATGACAGCCTTTTAAGACGTCATTTTTCAGTAATGACGCTTCCGACGTCATTTTTTCGTCATCTTGTTCATCGGGGAACTAGTTCGGAACTGCTTGTTGGAACAAACCTATAAAATATTATTATAAGATGTTCTCTTATACCGTTACCTGTTGATGTTTGGACACACTCCATAGTTGTGCAGTAATCTCTTCCTATAGGCCATTTTTCACCTATATGATGAATTTTCCCATTATATTTGCATGCTACTCGTTTCACTTCTGGGCAGCACTGTTCGAAAATCGGCAAAAGCGTGAGTTCATAGTCCTGGTAGTCAGAATGTGTTCTTACAGATGGGCAGTCAGTTCGAGAGCACGACGGTTGGTAGTTGCCTAGACAAAAAATAAATAAATCTATTACTCCATCTTACAACTTGAGACTTAAGGAAAAATATATTTTTAGTGAAAATACGTGAACAAATTCTTACATCCTGCTATATGTAAGATATAACAAACAAATATGAAAATCGTCCATCCAGGGACATTGGGAATTGCTTGATATTGGAACATTTTAACACAAATGGATAAAAGTATTAATAACATACCAAATAAATATTCGGCACTACGTTAAGAAACACTTTAATAATAGTTTAAAGATAATGAATAACATCACATAAACATAAAATTGAAAAAATACCGAACTTTGCACTATCTTTCAGATATATTTTGAATTGAAGCGAAAATCAGCGTTGCCAGATGGCTCAAACAGAATTCCCCCAGAGCAAGCACGAAAATCCCCCAGATTTGCAACTCCCAAATCATATTGCAGTAGTCGAAGGGGGGGTGCGTGCATAGTTGGAAGATCAGGTGGGTAGGGGAGGAATAAAATAAGAACTAATACATTTTTCCAACGAATTGAGACTATTTTCCAAACTTGTGCAATCGTCTAAAGTATATTCAGATAAGAGATAGACCGGACATAAACAAGACCACGTGATCATCGAACGCTGTAACATTCGGCAGGGACGTATTAAGAGTCACGCAGTACATATTTTAGATAGTAGATGCTGCTTTGCGTAACTTTGTAGTTAATTAGCACAATTCGATGTGTATACGATTGGTGATGGATATAGGATCATGTGGGGGTGGGGTAAGAAATATATAATGATGTAAATATATACATAAGGGTTTCAAAATTTTCGCTTCGATTTCCAGCTTCGGATGCCGCCTGATGTTTGGTGAAATACAGTCGAATACAATCTCAAAATGGCGTTTAAATTAGCCTAATTTAAAAATAATCGTATATCTCTTAACATTGCTTTTAGAATATTGATTAGTATATTTTTTGATTTCTAGGTAAATATGTAACCAAATTAAAACGTTCAAAACGTAAAAAAATGTGCATGGTTGAACATTGTCAGAAAGTAGATTCTTGAATAGGTTTTGCCAAAATGGGTTCAAAAATGTCAATAATTAATTAAAAAATACAGTAGCTTTATAATTACTTATAACTTACCGAATTTGATGAACGACATATTTTATTGGAAAGATGAGCTTGATGAGCTTTCATCATCGCTACTGCCTGAAGCACCAACGTCAATAATGAATGGCTCGACTTGTTCCTCTAAAATATTGTCCAGTTCCCACATTCTCTTTTCAACTTTGTCTTTCACGTGCTTAATACAGTTTTCCCATTTTTGCGCTGTTATTAATTCTAGTGCTTCTTTGAAAAGTCCTTTGAGGTCACAAAATTTAAAAGTTGTATTGTGCTTAGCTATATAATTTTTAACCTCTGCCCATATGAGCTCAATGGGATTGAGCTCGCAATGGTATGGAGGTAAACGGAGCACACTTTTATTTTGACTTGCTGCCATTTCGTCAATGGCGTATTTTTGATATTCCGCCTTGTGATCCTTGACAATTCTTAATAATTGTACTTTCAGCATTGCTTCTTCAAAGTTGATATTTTTCGAGCGGAGCCAATTTTGAACATCAACTTTCCTTGAAGCCGTTGTTGGGACCTTCTCCATTCTTCGAGAATGATAAGGCGCATTATCCAACACAATTAATGCGTTTTCCTCTAAGTTCGGTAACATTTTTGAAAACCACTGTTCAAACGATTCGCCATTCATTTCCTCGTGGTAATCTCCAGTTTTCTTAGACTCAAAGCACCACAGACCGTCAACAACAAATCCATCCTCACTGCCAATATGGCAGATAATGAGCCTTTTCCCTTTACCTGGAAATCGAAGTACTAACTGGTGTAGATTTATTTCAATAAGCGAACCTTTTTCAAATGTTTTCATCACATTCAGCGAAAAAACATTGAGACATGAGTATCAGATTGCTATAATTGGGATTATTTAGTCATATTGAAAGAAAGAATATTGAACGTCGTATGATTACTCAGCGCTTCACAATTTAATTTAAAGTTATAAACCTTTAAAAAATGAATGATCAGGAACCTGAAATACGCGCAAATATTAATATTAACAAATTATAACTTTATAAAGCTTAAAGTATGAATTAAAATGATTAGAAATATTAGGAACGGTACACAATATAAAACTTAGTAACTTTTTTTAAGTTTATAATATTCGACATATTTTAAGATTATATTAAAAAATTATTGAAATATCGAAAACACATAAAAACATGGCTTAAAAAAGTTCTAACAAATGAAAATGACAATAAAACATCCACGCATTTTATCGAAAGTTATAAAAGTTTTGTTACTTGTAATATGTTTTATCTGCCCCCTGGAATTAATGTTTAGAACCTTGTTCCCAAGGTTTGAAAAACATCCGATTGTTGTCTATTACTCGTATTTACCTGCTGGATTTTTTAATCCGGTGGACAGTCCATCTAGAAAGGCCCTCCTGGATGAAGTTACAGAATCATCAACCCATACTTTACTTGTAGTGTGTCCTGCGTTTACCCACGTTTCATCAAGGTAATAAATCTTCCTGTTTTGATTTCTATATTTCCCAATTTTTGTTAAATAATCCCTCCTCCATAGCACAATTTCTTCTCTATCCAGTAGTAAACTATTACGACCCCGTTTTTTTCCATTTGAAATTTAAATGCTTCAGTAACGCATGGAAAGTTGATCGTTTGAAATTTGACAACGTTGTATCTCCATTTACCTCCTGCAGTACTTTATCTATAGTAGGTATTTCATTCCTAAAGAAGAATTCATGCACTTTCCTCCTAATCGCATGCTTATCAGCTTCATCCAATGATTTAACAATACTTTTGTGATGTTTACTGGTCATTGGCTCAGAAAAGGTGTGATTTTTTTTGTATTGTCTTAACACATTAAACACTGATGCGCGACACACCCCAACTTTGTGAGAAACCTTCACAACAATTTCTTTGATGGTTGATGGCTCGTTCTCCTCGCGCTCGATCTTATATATATTCAAAATGACCTCTTTCATTTCTGCACTCAGGTGTCTTTTTTTAGAGCGTTTCCTAGGTGGACTACAGGAGTACAACTTCACCGGCAGTATCTGTACTACTGGGCATTTTGCGCAAGCAGTTGATAACAATAACAATCAATAACAAGGTATAACAATAACAACGACAAACTCAACAACTTAATAAGATAACAAACGAAAACGTCCAAAGAAATATCAAATTGCAATGATGCACACGACATACGTAACACGTCTGAACCTGAATGCGACTCTGCCTTGATACGACTGCTCTGCCGCTCGGCATAGGCATTTAATTGCGAATTGACCAATGTGGGCTCCTGTTTTGCGTCGAGACGGCGCCGTTAGCGTGAAAATCACCCGAACCTTTTGTTTACATCCGGTCTATCTCTTATCTGAATATACTTTTTTTTTTTAGTTATGCTAATTGAGGTCACGAACGGTGAGATGTTATGCTATTAATCTAGGGCGCCATCTATCGAACGTAATAGAAAAAACAATCTAGAAATATTTAGAAAACAATCATCTGCTGGAGTAAAAGGAACTATGAACAGAAAACTTTTTCGTCGTTCGCAGGACGTAAAAATCCCGCAATATGGCAACCCTGGTCAAAATTTTGATCGATATAGGCGCTAACTGTCGACGAATCAGAATATTAAGCCTGATATCGAAATCTGTATCACATAAATTACATACTATGCTAATTCAGTGAAAGATCGATAGATGTCGCTCTGTTGATCTAGTCTGCCATCTACCGTACACGAGACGAATAACAACCTCGAAAGCGATACAAACGACAACCTAGAAACCTTTAGGAAAGATTCATCTGCTGGAATAAAAGGAACTATGTGTACAGTCTGGGAAAACTAAAGGTTCGCCGATTTTGGACTGGAAAACAATGTTCATTTTGCTTTAAAATAAACTATCAAAATACTCTTCAAGGTCTTGTAGAGCAAGGTCAACTTTAATTTGGATACTTCGCGACCGTAACAATTATAATTTTTAACATAGTTTTTGAGCAATGAATATACCCGCATGGTAACCCAGATCAAATTCATTTGAACAAATTTTTTAAATAAATTATAATACTCGTATCCAACATTTTTCGGGTTTTTTGGATCATTGTGAACACAAAAGGCTTTTATTAACTTTTTTTTCTAAAGCTGACCATTTTCGAGTTATAGGAGATTCAGTGTTTGAAAATCCCTGAATTAAAGATTGAATCTTGCTTTACAAGACGCCGAAGAGTATTTTGAGATTACTTTATTTTAAAGTGAATTTTAACCTTGTCTGTTGGCGACCTTTTGGTTTTCTCAGACTGTACGTTTGCACGTTCATCATACTTTAAACATCGAAATTGCGCAGTCCTTAGTCCATTCAACATTATTCATAAAAATTAAAAACTCGTAAAGTGAACTAATAAAAGAATTGTTTTATATATTTTCTAAGCGAATTCCAAAAGATTTGTTTTTGGGTTAGCACTTACTAGGGTACCACAGAAATGGAAGGATCCACATTAAACCTCCTGTCGTCGATCTAACAATAATAATAGGTGACATCATATTGCTGATGATGAGGTAACACAGTCGCGAGTTTCAATCAACCTAAAGTAGGTACAATAATTTTCATATACGTGCGAATAATCGGGTAGTGTTATTTCTTGATTAGACACATTTATCACTGTACAAAATCTTATTGTTGGAGTATGAATACCGAATATTTGTAAACACCTAATAACAATAGGGAATTGCTACAGAAAGCCACCTTCAATCTTAATTTTTATGCTTGTGCGCTATAAAATTAGGAGAGTTCATTGATAAAAAACGTCGTCAAGTGGGTTGACTCTTCCCCTACGCAACGCCGTCATCAGTTCATAAAGGATTAAGTTAAGCGGAAATGAAATCCCCTGATAAAAAATTGAGTTACGAACATATACAACAGAGAAATTAAACGTATCAAGTCAGTCAAACAGGCCCATACATTCTTTCCCTGCCCTACTGGTAGTTACCGACCATTTGGCAACGTTGTCCCTTTCCACATCTGCCGGCATCGCTGCAGTGAGTTCGTGCAAGGGTTTTATGATTTTTGCTCTTTAGTACGGATACATAATATAAGCTGGACTGGTACGCCAGCTTAGATAGGTAGGAGTACGCGGATCGAAAATATGTCTGTATCAGTCTAAGATTTAAGGCAAATGTACGGACAAATGTATGGCGCGTATAAACATACTAAGGTTAAGAAAATTCATATAACCTCCCCCCACCCCACAACCCCGAATTTCAACCGTTACAATTTTTTTTCTGAAAATGGTCAGGAGCCTTTAAAACGTCAAAAAACGAAGTTTGAGCAATTTTTGTTTTTTTCGTTTTTGGCCTTTTTCTCCGCCTCCATTGGACCGATTTTCAAAAACTACAGAGCTTTTGTGTACTTGGCATAACAGTAACATTGTGTAGAAATTTCGTCAAAATCCGAGCGGTACATCTCAAGTTATAGGCGGTTATAAGATTAGCGACAGACCGACAAACAGACAAACCGATGGAAATGAGTGATATGGGTTTTCGTGATATACACGTCAAATAAAATGGGAAAAATTCGCGTCAAATTTAAAATATCGAAAACGCAACGCTATTGGCGCCCAATCCTTTGTCACTGTCATTGATTGTTAACCTATCAGTTTGATCAGTCCCACATAGCATTAGTTGACGCGGAATCCGCCACTGACCTGTCTAACTACAATGTGTTACGCCCCTTTTTCAACATAGGTGTCAAAGTTTGACAGTGGAACGTCGGAAAAACACCAAAGACAAATAGAAACGTTCACAGGGTTGCCATATTGGGCGATTTTTCCCCAGATCTGAACAATTTTTACGTCCATTGGAGAAAATAAAATGCGCGTATCGTTTTACGTTCATATGCAACTGTGACTCAAGAAATAAGTTGGTCTGACAAGTTTGAAAAACAGTCTCAATTCTTTGTACAAATATATTTTTTATTTTATACCCCTCTCCCCCACTTCCGTAGTCTTCTACTACTATTCCAGCCTGTAGATCCCACTGGACTACTGAAATATGATTTGGAGGATTTATTTAAGAAAGTTGCAAATCTGGGGGACTTTTGTGCTTGTTCTGATATAATCTAACACTAGAACTATATGAGACAAAATGTACAAAAAGGAATACGTAAAATGACTCACCAATATCGCTAATAGAGCATTTACATTCTCTGCAAGGCCCATCGTACCACGTTTCATTTGCATTCTTCAACAATTTCTGCTTCTCGAACTTGGTCAACAGTCTTTCTCCTCCTTTGGTGGCTGCAGTATACATCGTTTCGTAGATGCACTTATCTTTTGGTGGTTCACAGACATAAACTGGACAGCATTTTTCTGGAAAAAAGGAATCAAATAGATTGTCTTATCAAAAAAATATAAAAACAATTAGTTGTGTACTTTGCAAATTATAGGCTTTAAAACATGGGACACATCCTGTGACGATTTGTCAAATCATAGTATTTTGAAGTTCTTACCTTCTCTGTCATCCAAGGTCTTCAAAAGGTGGTATTCCGGGCACTCCTTAGGTGGAGGACACAGATCTTTTTTGCAAACCTTTTTGACAACGGGGCAACATCCTGAATCATCTACCTCCTTGGCGTAACCTGGTTCCAGCGTAGATGTTTCACCTAAGTCAACAGGCTCGCAGTCTTCCTTCGGTTTACATTCGCAGATGAACGTTTGGCAACCGCTGGGCTTTGTGTCGAGTTTGAGGATTTGCCCTTCACCACAGACTAGTTTTTGGGGGGGTTCGCAAGTAGGGCCAGCAGTTGGTTCGGGTACTGCAAAGATACAGAATTCAGTCTGGTATCTCTTATATAAATGAAGACTTGAAACTTGTCTCAAAATGGTTAGCATCTAACAGACTTTTTGTTGACTCTCGATTAATTTTTGATATTCATTATGAAAAAGTTATAAATAAGATTAGTAGTAAAGTGGGATATTTATCGAGAGTTTCTAGATGTCTGAGTTCATATAGCAGAAAAATTATCTATAATATTATCATTCTTCCAAATTTCTTGTACTGTTCGACTATTCTATATTTAGCATATAATTCCATTTTTTAAAGACTGCAAATTTAACAAAATAAGTGCATGAGAATAATACTAAATAAAGATAAATATACTCCAATTAGGCAAATGCTTAGCAAATAAAAATAGCTCAATTTAAAATTTTTTATCAAATATCTTGTAATGATCTTCATTTATAAAGTAAAAAATAATATATTTCCATCGACATCATCAAAAGTATAACATATGCTACAAATCTGTATTCCATCAAGGGTTGATTGAATATAATAAATTATACTCAGAGATAAAAGACCAGAAAACTTTGACAAAATTTAAAGTAAAATTGAGAAATCACTTGTTAAATCTACAATTATAGGTTGCCCAGCATTTATATCTTACACCATATGGCTTGAATTTACTAGTTCTAAGTTGTTTACAATTATTCTGTTTATGTAGCCAGATGTGTTAAATAAATCTTTCTACTACTACTAGTACTTCAAAATGTTCAATATGTTACAAAATTTGGACGATACGGTATAAATGAGTGAAATTTTAGCATTCCTTTTTTTACTTCTGAGCAGCTGAGTAGGCAGAAGCCTAAATGCCAGGGTACCGCGGCTGCTATGAAGACCTTAAACTTTGTTAATCCGATTTTTGAACTGCTCAAAAATTGTGAATGTACGTAGTTTCACATATATAGACGTAATATTTTGAAAGTCTCGAAAATTTTTAAAATCTGGAAAACGTTGAAAATTTTGAAATTCTTGTAAATTTTGAAAGTTGTGAAAATTTTGGGAATTTTGGAATTTTTGAAAATATTGGAAATTTTAGATATTCTGAAAATTTTCAAATGTAAAAAAATTTCGAAAGTTTAGAAAAAATTGAAAACTTAGAAATACTGTAAATTTTGGAAAATGCAAAAAATTGAGAACTGAAGATTTTCCAAGTTTTGAAAATATTGAAAAGTTTGTGAATTTTGAAAATATTGCAAAATTGGAAATTTGGAAATTGTGAAAATTTTGACAATCTTGAAAATTCCGAAAATTTTGATAATTTAGAAAATTTTGAAAACTGAAATTTTTTTGTAATTGGAAAATTTGAAAATTTTAGAAACATTAAAAATTTTGTAAATAAACGAAACCTCGAAAATCCTGGAAATTTTGGAAATTTTGAAGGTTCTGAAGATTCTGAAAATCCTGAAAATTTTTGGAATTTTGAAAATTTTGAGAAAGAAGAACATTTGAAAACTGAAGATTTTGGAAAAGAAGAAAATTTGAAAACTGAAGATTTTGGAAATATTGAAAAAACCGTGTAAATTTTGGGAATATTTTAAGAGATCTTGAAAATTTAGAAATCGAAAAATTTTGGAAATTTTAGGAATTTTGGAATTTGTGGAAAAGTCGATTTTAAAATTTTGAAAATTATAAAATACATATTTTGAAAATCTGTGAGCTTCCAAACATGAAGAAAAATTCCAGTGTCCAGTGTTGTAAATTATCAGCAACATCTCTACCAGACGTAAGTTTATTTTGAAGCTAATTCCTTCAGATAAATACATGGTGTTGAGATGACACTATCGAAAGAAAAGAAAATATTTTGAGAAATAACATACACACTCTTGAAATAGTCGGCAAACGCTTCAGTAACACCTTGTGGCGAGTTAAATACGTACGTAGAATTATTGTACATCTTTGGGTCAAAACTGTGAATGCTACAATGCATATCCTGAACCCGTACCTCAAAATATTCAAGATGTCACAAAATTTTGTTTGCTTGTTGATTCGTTGTTAGACTTACCGCAAGTATACTCTTCACAGCACTGCTCTTCGCTAGTGGGTATCTTGACAGCATTATATCCCTTCTCGCAAATCTTCGGACCTGAACATTTCTGAGTGTCGCATTTGATTTTAGTGCCTTCGCAAGCACATGTGGTACATTTGTCTTTTTTCCACGTATCACCAGGATGATGTCCCTCATCGTCACAGACTTCGCAGTCTTTGGGGTCTACACATGTGTCGTTCAGGAATACCTACGAGACAATATAGAAAACCATATTTTCCGATAACATTCTATAAACCTGTATATGCCAAGCAAACTTGCCTACTTTGCGGCTTTACAGCGACAAAGTAGCAAATATACAACGTAGTTGTCAAAGTATTTTGCGCTCTTAATACAAAAAGCCTATTCACAAACTCACCTGTCCTTCAGGACAATAGCATCCCTCCGTAGGCATGCTCCGCCTACTATTCTTCGCTCCGCCTTTACCCTTGACCTTCAGGCTATCGCAGGTCTCTGGTTGGCTGACGCCGCACGCGTCGTACAACTGTCCCGGAGCGCACGCCTTCGCGGGGCAGTACTCGTTTCTCCAGTGGATGCAGAAGCCTGCATGAGCGCAGTCACGGGCGTACGCCTCGATCGCGCTGCAAGAGAGTTCCGGGTGGCCCCCGCAGGTGTCTTTTTTACACCAGTCGATGAATAGTGATGGGTCTAGCACATTCAGGCACTGCAACGTCATTATTTGTTGTAATTTTATGGTAATGCAATCGAATAGTCATTTAAACTAACAAAACAGTCCCAATTAACGAATAAACTTTTAGCCAACGGCGAATAATCAGTGGTTTTCAAAAAGATGCCCCGCGGAGGGTAGAAGTTCGGAGTGAAGGACATAGTTGCAATGAAAAGTATTTCACTCAATAACTGGCAAAAGCGGCGCCCATAATTTGCTCATTTCTTTGGGTTTCCCACGCCTCCGCAATGATTATAACCTAAACCCAATCATCTACTTAATAGTGGCCCATTTTACGACAGCTTACCTGTCCAAATTTGTTGACATCAACGAGCTGGACACACGGATCTTCGCTAGCGGGCAAAGGCGTGCACTCTTCCTGCTTCGCCGGCGCGCACTGCTCTCTCGTCTGTCCCCCAGGGAGGTTCTCGTACAACCAACTGAGTCCTAATTCCTCTCCATCAGTCACCCTTTCGCCCTTAGGGGTCCTCATGTCGTCGGTAGGGTCGCTGTTGCAGTTGCCGCACAGCCCTTCTAATCGGTTGCGGTATTTGTGCGATGGAGCTTTCACCGATACGCCGAGTGAGGGAAAGTATACGGACACCTGGATAAAGGAATTGTTTATAAAAATGGTGAATGCACGTAGGGTCACATTTATTAAATATATAATAAGCAGGGTGACTTCGAAGTTGAGTCATTTATTTTAACAGTGATTAGATCTGATCAAAAGAAATGTTTTTTTCCTATAACATTTTTCTGATAAAATTAAAGTAACAAAGTTATAGCCCTTTAGAGGTTTGAGTACCGCCCTGTCTCAATAATAATATTATGTGCTCGTGTTTGGCAACAACGGATATAATCCGCCTTATCGGTTCATCGCATCGGAAACAAAAAAGCGAAAGAATTTGAAACGATGTTTTTACTACAATTATTATGCAGTTGTATGTGTCAGTCGGTAACGCGTGAGTCAATAGTGGTGTTTGTTTACGAAAATGCTGAACTTGTGGACATGATTCTTATTCTTAATCGAGTGCAACCAACCCCTCGTGCCTTTGTTAATGTAGTACAAATGGCTCGTGAATCAGGTGACTTAAGACCTCACAGGGGAGGCATGCCGGTACTCCAAGACCGCACGATCAAATACAGGTCCGCACTGAAATACTTGTCGGGAGGATACTTTATAAAACAAGGTAACATTTTTTTAATTTTTTTTTTATTTTTACGCACATATTTTGATTTATCTTCCTTCTACAATCATTATCTGAAAATTAATGACTCAACTTCAAAAAAAAATAAATATTAAAATTTTGAAAATCTCAAAAACCTTGAAAATTTGTAAACTGTATATTTTGTGAATTTTGGAAATTTTGAATATATTGAATATCAGGATATAAACATTTTTTTAAAGGCTTGAAAATTATCAAATCTTGAAAGTTTAGAAAATTTGGGTCATCTGAAAATTTTTTAAGAAATTTTTTTGAAAACAGGAGTTTTTAAATTTTGAATATATTGAAAAGCTTGGAAATATTGAAAATTGTGAAATTCTTGACAATCTTGAAAATTCCGAAAATTGTCAAAATTTTGGAAATTTTAAAAACTGGAAACTTGGAAATTTTGGAAACTTAATTTTTTTTCAAATTCTGCAAATTTTGGTGATTCTGGATATTTTTAAAATGTGATAAATTTTGATAATTATGATCATTATAAACATCTTGAAAACTCTTCGAAAATGCCTGAATTTTAAAGATTTCGAAAATTTAGGAGATTTTGAAAATTCTGTGAATTTTGGAAACTTTTTGAATCATGAAGATTTTGGATGGATATATTGAAAAAATTGGAATACATGAATATTTTGGAAATTAATTTTTTTTAAAATCTTTAAAATTTTGAAAACTTTGTAAGTCTTCGAGGGATTAAAAATTTTGAAAATCTTGGCAAGTCTGAAAAATTTTTAAGATTTTTAAAATTCTGGAAATTTGAAATTTTGAAAATTTTCAAACTGAAAATTCTGAAACTGAAAATTTTGGAAAAATTGGAAATTAAGAAAACCTTGGGAATTGAAAATTTTGAAAATGCTGATTATTCTAAAAATATTCAACATTTTGAGAATTTTGGCAATTTTGAAGATTTTGACAGTTTTGAAATTTTTGAGAACTGAAATTTTTGGTAAATTTTTGACATTATGAAAGTCTTTAAAATATGATATTTGGAAAATCCTGAAAATCTGGAAAACAGATAATATTGGGAAGATTGAAAATTTTTAAATAATTTGAAACTTTCAGGAATTTTGAAAATATTGGAGATTCAAAATATTTAGAAAATAAAAAATTTTTGGAATCCTCAAAATTTTGAAAACTTTGGAAGTCTTCGAGGAATAACAAAATTTAAAAATATTGGTATTTCTGAAAATTATATAGAATTTGATTTTGAAACTGAAAATCTGGAAACATTGAAAATTTTGAAAATTTTTGAAATATTGGTAATTCTGAAAATTTTGGAGATTTCGATAATTTTTGAGATTTTGACAATTTTAGAAACTTGTAATTTTTAAAATTTTGAAAGTGAGGACTTTTTAAATTTTCAATATATGAAAATTTATAAAACGTTGGAAACTGAAAATTTTGAAAATGCTGATTAAAATATTAAACATTTTGCAAATTTTAAAAACTTTGGCAATTTTGAAATTTTTGAGAACTGAAATTTTTAGTTAATTTTTGACATGAAAGTCTTGAAAATATTTCGAAAATCTTGAAAATCTGGAAAATTGATAATATTGGGAGGATCGAACATTTTTAAATTTTGAGAATTTCAATATTGGAGATTCTAAATACTTTGAAAATAAAAAAAATTTAAAATCCTTAAATTTTTGAAAACGTTGGAAGTCATCGAGGAATAAAAAAGTTGAAAATCTTGGTATTTCTGAAAATTATAGAGATTTTGATAATTTTCATGATTTTAAAACTGAAAATTTTGAAACTGAAAATTCTTGGTAATTCTGAAAATTTTGGAGAATTCGATAATTTTGGAAACTTGTAATTTTAAAAATTTTGATAGTAACAATTTTTTTAAATTTTCAATGTATTGAAAATTTTGGAAATGTTGAAAATTTAGAAAATGTAGACTGAAAATTTTGAAAATGCTGATTATTCTAAAAATATTTAACATTTTGCAAATTTTGGAAATTTTAAAAACTTGAATTTTTAGGAAAATCTTGAAAATAATCGAAAATAGAAAATTGATAATACTAGATATATTGAAAATATTTGAAAGTGAATATTTTGTGGATATAAAAAAAAATTAATATCCTGAAATTTTTGGAGAGATTGAAAATTTTGAAAATCTTGAAAGTTTTTAAAAATCTGAAAATTTTTAAGATATTACAAATTTTTTGAACTTTAAAAATCTGTAAATTTTCCAAATTTTTTAAAATGTAGAAAATTTTAAAAGGTTGAGTATTTTTGAAGATTTTCAAAATGTCGAAAATCTGAGAATTTAAAAAATTCACTCAATATTGAAAATTTTGGCTGGAATGAATTTATTTGAGCTTAAAAATGTATAGACCTACCTCGACTTGTACAGCCGTGAGCAAAAACTTCATATGCTTAGTAGCAGTTTCCTTAACAGCAGCCCAATCAGCAATCTCGTCATAATCAGTCACCCTCTCACTATCAATTATCAGCTTCAACTTGTTCCTAAACTCGTCTAACAGAATATGGATTTTGTGGCCCTGATACAAAATCGTTATTTTACCCACGCACATTTTCGAAGGAGTATTTTTGCACGGGTGGTTAGTGACTAGAACTTGGAAGGCGTGTTTATCTCCTTGGTCCCCAAGAACAACGTCTCTTGACATTACGTAGACACAGTTTCCATTGACAGTAAAGTTACTTTCATCGTACGTCACATATTGCATGTGCGGCAACAAGTTGCATTCACAATCTCTGCAACTTGAAGGTTTGATGCATTGATCATCTTTTCGCACGTATCCTAAAAGGATAAAACGTCAAAGTAGGAACGCGTCAACTAAAATCAATAATAATAGATGATTGTATTACCTGCTGGACAGTAACAACCAGGGAAGCACATGTTGTTGATTTTGGGACAGAGACTTGGATCAGAAATTGATTTACATGTAGGCTCACATTTCCGCTGGTAGCAGTCGTGGTAAACTAAAGGTGGCTCACAGCTGACAGCTATAGGAATAAAAATGATTTTTAAATTATGACAGGTATCAGAGTATTACAGTATTTTTGATGGAGATCATTTACAAAAAAGGTGTAATATGTTAAATACTGAATTCTTAAATCTATAATAAATAATCCAATTTCGTTAACAGTTTCTCCCTGTCAATAGTCTCAAATGGCCTCTTGAGATCCAAGAACAATGTTACTGTAACCCTTTTTTTATCCATATTTAGCCGCCATTCTTCTACTACCATTTGAATTGCTGTTTCAGTGGAATATTTTTTTCAAATCCCGCTTGAAATTTGGTCAATATGTTTGTTGTTTTCTTCAATATATTCAATGATTTGTTCATATATGATTCCTTCTAAGAGCTTCTCGACATCTGGCAGTACATTAATTGGCCGCATGTTTGTATATACAGGGTGACTTTGAAGTTGAGTCATTAATTTTCAGACAATGATTGTAGAAGGAAGATAAACCAAAATACGTGTGTAAAAATAAAAAAGAAATTAAAAAAAAATGTTACCTTGTTTTATAAAGTATCCTCCCGACAAGTATTTCAGTGCGGACCTGTATTTGATCGTGCGGTCTTGGAGCACCGGCATGCCCTCCCCTGTGAGGTCTTAAGTCACCTGATTCACGAGCCCTTTGTACTACATTAACAAAGGCACGAGGGGTTGGTTGCACTCGATTGGGAAACCGATCCGCATAAATCCGTGATGCCGCGTAAATAAGAATCATGTCCACACGTTCAGCATTTTCGTAAACATGTGCCATTTTTGATTTCGTTTGAGCCACGCAACAGACACTACTATTCACTCACGCGTTACCGACTGACACTGACTGAATACAACTGAATAAAATAATTGTAAAAACATCGTTCCAAATTCTTTCGCTTTTTTGTTCCCGATGCGATGAACCGATAAGGCGGATTATATCCGTTGTTGCCAAACACGAGCACATAATATTATTATTGAGACAGGGCGGTACTCAAACTTCCAAAGGGCTATAACTTTGTTACTTTAATTTTACCAGAAAAATGGTAAAGAAAAAAAACATTTCTTTTGATCAAATCTACTCACTGTTAAAATAAATGACTCAACTTCGAAGAATTTTCTCCAGCTTTGTGAACTGTTATTTATTTCAAGGTGTTTATCACTTACGACAATCTTGTTGCATCCTCCAGTCAGAAATATCGATACTAGAATCCGCTGAAAGACAGTCCACTACAAAGGACTGCATAGACTGACATCTGCATTCTTCTTCAGTTGTGTGGTTGTTGCCAGACTGTTGTAGACATGAGCAAGTGCTCTCCAAACAACGCGATATGAAGAAATCCATATTCAGGACTCTGGCACATGGTGACAAAGATCGTTCCCTGGAAAAAAGCACACAAACTAACGGATATTTCAGCTCAAACAAGAAACTGGTTAAAGTGTAAAGCTAAGAATGTATCGCTCACTTGACTCTATTGCACATTTGCCAAGCCTTGTCTTGTAGATCTTGTGGACATGCTTTTGCCTCGCATATGATGGGTTGATCGTTTTCTAATGCCCAACTGTCTCCAAATTCTTCCGTCGTTTTCGCTTTGCTTCCGTCTGGTTTTCTCTTGTCATCTGATGGATTGTCGTTGAAGAATCCGCACATACCGTCAACCTATTGAAAAATAATTCCATTGTTATATTTACCACAGACTTTGTAAAACTGTGACGAGGTTCTTGAGCAAGAGGTTTCATCGTTATAGTTACTACTTTGTTTTGTCAAATTAATGTTTGATATTTTGTTTCCATTGTGATGAAGAAAATAAAAACTTTTCCACGAAGGACACATTTTCCTTCAGACTTGATATTTTTTGCATTGTCTTTGCAGTTTTAAGATCCTTGTTGTCGTATGAAAACTTCACGTACTTTTCCAGTCAACTTGGAGACCACGCCAAGCCTGACGTCGCCAAGCTTGTTCCAAATGACCCAGAATCCATAGCGACTCGAGGTGAATAGTAAAGTGTTGCCCAATTGAGTGATCCTGAATGCTTGGTTTTGTTCTCCTATGTTCTTGGTTTGTTCTACGGAGTAGCGATAACCGTCAAATTCCAACGAAAGATCTGGCCGGATCACGAAGTAATGGTCTTTGTGACGGATCATCAAGTCTCTCGAACAGGTGGTGGTACAATTTTTCTTCACTGGAAAATCGTTTACAATTTTAGTTCGTTCCATATAATGGTATATTTGAGGAAACGACACTTATGTTTGCCGTACTGAAGGCGTAAAATTTTAGGCTAAGCGTCGCGAAAGTGAGGAATTTCTGAACCAACGTTTATGTATACAGGGTGGTCCAAAAGTCCAGGAAGAGCAAGATATTTGAGGATGTTCGCATAAAAGTTAACTTGTATAAGCTTAGTACTTTTTCTGGTTAGTTAGTGGTTACCTTGAAGTTGACCTTGAGCATGAATTTGGAGGACAAATCAAGGCCAAGGCAGTTTTTTAAATGTGTATACTTTCTTATGCCTGAAACGGATACAGCGCAACATTTTAGTGTCAGATGGTAGCCACGAGTGGAATATTTTAACTTTACACGTTCTGGTCAAGGTCATCGTAAGAAACACTCGTTTGAACAGACTTCAGGGATCTTCCTGAAAATTAAGTGAAAATGAGGACTCCAAAGGCAGCGTAAGCTTCAATTTTCTTTGACTATCCATTGATGGCCTTGAAACTGGACTTTACCATGACCTTGACGCTCACATCAATATTAATCTCAGTTTTATTCGATCGCGCCCTATACCTTTGACCCTACAAATAGACATAACGGGAAATTTTACGTTTACTTGTGACTTTGGATGAACATTATTTCAACCTTGGTTGTCCTTGTCAAGCTCACCATGAAAACCGTGGATTGACAAATTTTCAGATATGTTCACGAAGGCAGACCAAAAAGGGGCCCAAAGTCAGGAGTGACTTCAGTTTTACTGGACTTTTGACCTTGAAACTGACCTTGACCAGTATCTTCGTCCCCAAATCAAGGTCTAGACAATTTATTTGCATTGTACCCTATACTTCTGATCGCCGACATCGACATTTTACTTTTCAGCATGACCTTGACCAAGGACGTTCAAAGTCGCCCAAGGTCACATATAAACGCGAAATTTTCCGTTCTCACCGTTTTCATGGCCCAAAATGCAGAATCTCGTTTGAAAAAAATATTCTGACCATGATGTGACAAGATTATAGTCAAGGTCAAATTCAAGGTCATAACTGTATTGGTATGGAAACATCCTTGTACAGGGTGTTTTCAAAGTTGAGTCATTTATTTTAACTGCTTGTAGGACTCGTCAAAAGGAGTTATTGCAAAAATCACCTATATAGAAGTTGAATAATAAAAGAAATAGTAAAAGATAGAAACATTTAAAAAACAAGAATGCTATTATTCAGTGCATTCCTTCAATGTCCCCCTCCCCTTTGATTTTTTGAAGGGCTGCTAGGCGCCATCTTGAAAAAAATATATGAAAACGGGGGTCTCGTGGCACATCATTTTGAAGCTCCTGACTCTAGAATAAAAATTCAATACCCTTACCTACTACAAAATGGTGGTACATTTAATAATTACTTGAACACATACCCGCTGACATGCATATATCTACAAATAATTGTAATTCGATGCGGTATCCACAGCAACAGCGATAAAAATTTGTTTTGTTATTTTTTGTTGACAGTGACAAGAATATCAGTACGAAAACAAACATCATTGTACAGTTAAAATGTTCTTATTTAATTTTCGGTTTTAGTGCTAGATACTGTTTGAACTAAAATGGTCAATTCTCGTCCATTTGAAGCAAAAATCATAGCGATTTTTATTTATGGTGCCACGTGCAACTTTCACGAGACCGAAAGGATTTTTAATGATCGTTTCTCGATCTTTAGACGAGTTCTACAAGCTGTTAAAATAAATGACTCAACTTTGAAAACACCATCTATAACTCCAAATATCTTGCTGTTCCGGAAAGTTTTACTCATCGTACATAGACTCTATTCAATTTTTTTGCGCGAAAGATACGCTCAATTTTCCAAATTTACCAAACATCATTCTATAACACCCTGTATTTCACTGATATTTGAACATGATGACAGTAGATTATACTCACGTGATACGTCCCATTCGTCAGCCTCCAAATCTCGAGCCAGAACATGGTTGCAGATATCGTACCTGTAATAATTTTGAAAAGCGTTATTGACCTTGAAAAAGAATAACTAAAATTGCAATAGTAATATAACTAGCAAATCAATATTTCAGAAAGGATTACTTCAATTTAATAAACTAAATAATAATAAAAAGTATATTTGTAATTTAGATATGTTTAAAAGCAAATTAAACTAAAATTTCATGATCAGTGAAAATTCTTAAAGATGCAAATGTTGTTTTTTCCAAATATCCGTATGTTACGTAATTGCTTACTTTTTCGGAAGAATGTAACTGTAGCAATCATGCTAAATGAATCTTAAACAGACAAACAAACTATTACGACGCACCTATATTCAACATCATCGAAAGTACTAAACGTTCTTCCAGTAACGTTGCATACAGCATCAGGTTTCGGAGGAGGGAAGCAAGAATACTTCGGGCACTTCTCCTTCACAACAGTGTCTTCAAACACTGGGATGTAGTTGTTTGGACAGTGTACGGTGGGGCAAGGGAAGGAAGGTGGTTTAGTAGGCACGCAGGTGTACTCTTTGCACACCTTGGTAGTCTTGGTGTTTGCTATGTCCGTCAGAACTGGAATGGGGCGCTTTAGTGGTTGTTTCTTGGTAGCTGAAAAAATATTTGTCGTACAAGCTCAGTAAACAGGTATAAGTATAAGGAAGGATTAAAGTAGGTCTTGTGAATATCTTGAGAGATGCTAGAAATTCTTATAGGATCGAGGCATTGTGTTGTGTTTGCAAAATCTTGTTCCAGAGATGATCTCAATAATACTTGCATGTATGAGAAGTTTGGTACCTACCCATATTATATCAATTTTTACCAGGAACAAATTCAAAGTGAAGAAAACAGAGTATATGAAACTTCTAGGGTATTTAAACGTTTCATCAAAATTTGAAGAAAAACCACAGTTGCCTTTTTGAAATATTATGATCTGAAGTTGATAAATTTGTGGGTTAAGATATTTTAATGTTTTCCCATGTTATTTTACGGCATAAATATACTTAGTGACATAAGAAGTGTCACGCCCCAAAAGTAATAAGAAAAAAAAATGGTTGTGTTGGGCGACCCCGCAACTGAATACACTCCTATACGTCTAGGGATCGATAAAATGCGATGATCTATATCTGGTTGTGGCAGAGTCTGTGGCGGATGGTGGAAAGTGGATAGTCTCCTCTCCATCACATCCCACACATGTTCGATGGGATCTAAATCCGGTAAACGGAGTGACCACAGCAAAACATTAACGCCTGCTTCTTGAAGAAAGTCCATGGTATGACCAGCAATATGGGGACGTGCGTTGACTTGCTGAAAAAGGACGTATCGACGGCCTTCTAGATACGGAAGCAAAGTGGTTTGTAGGACATCATCAGACAGATGACAGTATGTCATTCTGGCTCCCAATGTTGCTGATCTGTGCTCCATTTGAAAAGTTGATGATAGTGGTCCGCAGTCAGAAGCAGCACTAACCGTGGACGGTATGAAAAAAGTCCAAATGCTTGACGCTCTGTGGTACGCCTCGGTGGACCAGTTGACATTCTTCGTGTTCCTCTATCTTCTTCTATCCACACACGACACACGCGCAGCACAGTTAACACGGCGGCCAATTTCGCGATAGGACAAACCACCATCTCGATAGGCAATAATTCTACATCTGTCAATGAAGGTGCAATATCTAAAAACCCCTGTACTACTCAGCTCTCCGAAACAGCTTATTTTTTCTGGGTGTAGCCTTCTTGTGTCACTGAGTATTATTGAAAAAGTGACTATATGAAATAAAAACATTGCTATAAAACTTCACACATTTCACATATTAAATAAATAAATTTTACATCACATACCTCTATAGACACTCGTCTTGACCCCGCTGTAGGTACTTCTTGACTTCGTTTTGACATTTCCGACGATCATTGAGGAAATGTACTTGTTATTGGAGACAGGTATTTTCTTGTAACCAGGCGGACATACAACTTCCTTGCAAACTATTCCTATGGAAGAAAATAGAAAGTTTATATTATTAAAAAGCTCGAAAAACTTAGATATGATCCTCGACACCAGACTCAAGTAGAAGCACCGCGTAAAAAAAGGGAAGAACTGAACAAGCAATACTGGTTATTGGGGAGACCCTCAAGGTTATCGCTCTATAACAAAATCGCATCTAAGAACCTGTGTGTCTACGCATGACAACTATGGGGCTGTTTTAAGCAGTCGAAGATCGAAATTATTCAAAGGTTCCAAAATAAAGTTCTGGAGAACATGATCATTGTGTTAGTGATAGGGATACTCATCGCGGTTTGAATAATTCTCTGGTTATCGACGAGATCAAGAAAGTAGTGGTCAGCCATGAAGAAAGGCTGCATCATCTTCAGCTGCTGAAAAACCACAAACCACCGAAAATTGAAGACGGTCAAGCTGAAGCAATTTTTGTAATAAATGTTTTGTGTCCAAGGCAGATCATGTGTGCGAGGTCTTACTGATAGTAATAATTAATTTTACGTTCAGCCAATTTAATCAGTATCAGTATTTGTCCATGAAAACGACTCTAAAAGCAAAAAAAAAAAACATGAGAACGTCTCCATTAGCGTAAGAAATTCAGAATAAAAAATCGTATTTTTTTAGGCAAAATAAAGCTTCAATAGCTCCTACCCGAAGTGTGAGAGTTTCTGCAAGTCAAATTTCTTGATCTGTTGCTACGTATGTCATCAAGGCATTGCTTGCCACATTCCGCCATAAACATAGTGTTGTGTTTCAAAAATTGCAAAGTGTCGTTGATAAAATCTTACCTTTTTTGCCGGCGTTTTCAGTTGGTTTCGAAGTGACTGGTCGAATTAGAGGTTCAATTGTGGATGTAACACAACCTGTCTCATCATCTGGGCACTCTTGCACGCCGTTACACCACAAGGTCTCATTGAGACAAACATTGCTGGTGGGACACAGTTTGGTACCTTCTGGACATGGTTGACACGTACAACTACAGGTGCTGGTCACGGTACTTTTCATACCCTAGATATGAATATGAAATATCCTAGAGCTGTCAGATGTAGACAACAGGGTTTCCAAACTGTTTATTTCGGTAGAATATCAATATTTTGCCTAAAAAAGTATACAGGGTGTCCGCAAAGTTGGGGTTTTCCTTTTCAGAAACAACTACCCTTGAAATAACAAAGGTAATGTGTAGTGAAACGAGGGCGACCAAGTAAAAAAAAATAAAGGAAAAAGTACTCACTCTCCAGTTGACGAGAGGGGCTAAGTACGTCTCGGCCCGAAATCATACCGCTCCAACAGAGAATGAAATCAGCTGATGCACTACCGCGTAGACGCCGGCGGTGGTGCAGACCACGAACAGAGGTAACAAATATGACAAATTTGGGAGAATAAATGGTCCAATGAGCATACCGTTCACCATGCCAGCCCAAACATTCACCGAAAATGTTTGTTGCGTGCGGATTTTCTACTGACCAAACATGAGTGTTGCGAAAGTTATTCACCCCATTACGCGTGAACGTAGATTCGTCTGTCACCAATATGCACTTCAAAAAGTCCGGATTATTGTCATGTTGATGCAACAACCACTCACAAAACCGCGCTCTTGCTGGAAAATCGTCAGGTTGAAGGGCTTGTACACGTTGGACGTGAAACGGATACAGCCCCTCTTCACGCAGCGTTTGTCACACTTTAGTTTTTGATACTTGCTCTTGTCTAGCCACCTCTCTAGTGCTTATTGTTTTTTGAAACGCAATCGATTATACGAGTTCGTTTACCTCTACACGCGTGACCGTAACCGTCGGTTGAAGGTTGCATACTGACCTGACACACTGACCCCGACCCACTTGTACCAGTCGGTGATATCGCGGGTCGCGGCTACAGGACGGTATTCAGATATTTTTGATGTTGCAGAGCCCTTTATCTCGGTTCCCTTAAGACATTGGTGTATATGGTACTAAGAAAAATTGCTTATGTTTTCAAGATCTACACGTCGTGTTTTACTTTTTTTTATGAACGAAAAGTAGCAAAGCTTGCTCTCCAAAGTTCAAACGTAAAATTGCGCGCCAAATGTTTGGCTCTTGTCTATGGTGAGGAAAATGAGAAACACAGAAGATTTAAATGAATTTTCTTATAATGTATATAAGTTATGTACCAGTCTATAGAGAAGAATATGCTGAACAAGAACTTTTGCCTCCACGTTCCTTTCTTATCAGTTTCAGTATTGTATTTCATTTGTTCTTTACTTTGGTTTGTATAATGAACTTTGTAGTCAGTCTCGATTCAGAACTCATTCAGTTAACATCATTGTATTTGGTTATTCTCAAAAATAAATCTTTTTAAAAACGTTTTCGTTGAAGAAAGATATTTGAGTTATATGTACATACAGGGTGTAAGCGTTATGGTAGTCATTATTGGAATGGGTGGGGGGTCGAAGCAAGTCGAAAAGTTCATATGACCCAAGGTCCAAAAGTCAATAGATTTTTGACTATATGCTTTATATCACCACAATCTTACTAATTTTTATAATCTAATCTAAAACGTTTTTAAATTAAATTGGGTAATTAACAACTAAATGGCATTAAGTTTTCTAAGTTAAGCCAAAATTTGTAGTCAGTAAGTAAGCAAGTTCCATTAAATTGGATATTTAAAACACACATGACAACAGCGCGTCGGTCATCGTCACTCTTATCGAACCGACAATCGATCGCAAACGGTAACAGTGCTTAGTTATCCTTTTGCATTGTTTTGCGGCGTTGTCAGATGTATTTAAAAATGTATTTTTGTCTAAGAAGAGAATACCTTATTCTTCACTAAATCTCTGTATCAAATTTTCACTTACCTCCTTGCAGGGCTCACATTTTTTCGGAGTACAATACGCCACACCTCCAATCTTACAAATGCATTCTGAACAGTCGTCTTTGCCAAAAACACTACCAACGGCATATCTGTAACATGTTATTTCGGTCAATTTTTGACGTTTTAATAACAAAACGGATATTTGATGATCTTATTTCGAGCAGTTTTAGAATGAGAATGTTTTTTTTTCCAATTTTCGTTTACTAGTTCTATTCTATATTATTTATTGACATCACATCTGAGTTAAACGAACGTATGTCCTTAAAGTTTTGGCAAAATCTAATTGCTGAAGTTAAGCATACTCCAAAGATAAGAGCTCACTCATGGATAGATTTCGAAGTGGGAAATATGTTCAATGAAAATAAAATGAAAGAAATTCCAGTCATTGAAATCGCAAAGTTACGAGAAACACTTTTATAACACAATATACCCGAAATTATCGATAATGCCGACAAGTACTTCGAACAAATTATGAATAATATGGATAAATATATTAGTGAAGCTATGTTCAAGAAAATAATATATACTAAGTGACATACAAATCCGAACACCCAGTTTAAATGGTTTTATTTTAATAAAATTTTGTATAAGTACTTAATTAAGCATAATAAGTAAATGATAAAAATTTCAAAATGATTGCACTGCTTTAAAGCCCTTTGACCTTTAATAATGTGTGGATGCACCCTGATGTGCTACGCATTCTCCAACGCGCATAGGCATGCTTCTGATCAGGTGGTCAATGTCTTCCTGTGGTATCTCATTCCAGGCAACCACCAACTCCTCTCGAAGTGCTTCTAGAGTCTGAGGAGGACGTTGCAGATTGAGTAATCTCCTACCCATCATATCCCACACGTGCTCAATTGGGGATAAGTCGGGAGATCTTGGTGGCCATGGTAACAATGTGACATCATTATGTTGAAAGAAGTCTATTGTGACTCTTGCAACATGTGGTCGGGCATTATCTTGTTGGAAAGTTGGATCTGCCAGGGTGTCAAGATAGGGTAAAAGATTTGGTTCTAGAACTTCGTGGATATAACGCTGCGCGTTCATGTTACCTCTGATGAAGATTAAAGGTGACCTGGAACCATAAGCTGTAGCACCCCAAACCACAACAGTGTGATGAACATGTCTTTCAACAAAAAACTGTGGATTTCTCCTTTCACCAAGTCGCCTTCTAACCTTGGCACGACCATCGTGCATGCCTAAACAAAATCGAGACTCGTGACTAAAGACAATACTGTTCCATTCCTGATCCCAGAGTGACCGTTGTCTGCACCACTCAAGGTGATTACGTCGGTGTTCTCGAGTTAAAGGGAGGACCCAGTGTGGCCGGTATGAAAACAAGCCAAAACTTCTCATTCGTCGGTAAACACTTCGCATGCCAATAGGTCTTCCGTGTTCTGCAAACCATGCATTTGCAATGGACCTGGTAGTGGAGAAACGGTCCCTTAAGGCCAACAATCTTAGGCGGCGATCTTCACGGTCTGTTGATCTACGGCGACGTCCAGTGCCCCTTGCTCTTTGCGTACGGCCTTCTCGAAGCCATGCCTGACAACACCTAACCACAGTGTCTACACTTCTTTGCACTCTAACTGCAATTGCCCGAAAAGAAAGTCCGGCTTCCCGAAGTCCCACTATACGGCTCCTATCAAACTCACTAAGTTGACGAAATCGGACAGGTCTCCGTACTCTAGGCATCGTAACCGATCGTAAGGCCCGGCGCATATTGAACCCATGCCACGCGTAGCACACGCACAGCCCACGCGTGGGTGATTTTGTAAAACACTGTTGTAGACGAACTGACGCATATTGCACCCATCCCACGCCTAGCACAGTCCCAGCCTATTCCCACGTGGTTTGATTTGTGCGAGCAACACAGTTTCGTGGAATCGTGGGTCACTTTGTTTACGTTTTTCAATTCAAAATGGAGAAATTGATCGAACTGGTTCGGGAGAATCCTGTGTTGTATGACACTTCACATGAGGATTATATGAGAACAAAATTAAAAAATGAGTTGTGGGAGAAGATAGCCAGAGATTTAAATTATACAAGTGGTGAGTAATTTTGAAATATGTATATTTTGGGTTATAAGAACGAACACGTGAGTATGCACTTCCTCGAGTACTCATCGTAAGTACATATTTATTTTTTTTAATAATAATAATTAATAATACTTTTCATTTTAGTATGTATATATCCTAAAATTGTCCTCTTTCTATCGCTCTTCGTTGCCATTCAACAGATCCATCTGCAGAATTGAAACACTCAGTAAACTTCTGCCTAATATTAAATGCTTCAGTAGAATTGCGAGTTCGGTTTAGTGCTAAATGAATGAAATGATTTTCATGAGAATTAGTCAACACTTCATCATTTTCTTCCTGGCCAGTGGCAATCGAGAGAATCTTAGTTCTCAAATAATTATGAAGCCCAATTGTGGCTAGCACTATTTTATCGATGGTATCCAATTTACATTCAAATGGTCTCTTGTACACCCGGAATCTAGCTGCTAATATACCGAAGACACTTTCTACTGTTTGTCTAGCCGAGATAGTCTATTATTAAAAACCTTGTTTTGATAACTACCAGCAACTCTCGCTTTAGTATATGGACGCATTAAATTTCTCATTGGCGGGAACGCTTCGTCTCCAACAAATACATATGGAGTTGGTGTATTTTGTCCAGGTAAAGGCTTTGGTTCTGGCAAATCCAGTGAACCGTTGTATAACATTTTTCCTAAAGGAGAATTGGCAAAAATATTTCCGTCACTAAACCGACCCATAGAACCTACATTCACAGAAGTAAAACGATAATTTGCATCGACAGTCGCCATTAAAACAACAGAAAAATATTGTTTGTAGTTGAAGAAAGAAGAGCCACTCAGAAGTGGTTTTCGAATGGCGACATGCTTCCCATCGACAGCTCCTAAACAGTTATAAAACTGCCATTTTCTTTCATACTCTAATGCAATGTTCTTCCAAATTTCCACCGTTGGTTCGGGCATATAAATGGGCTGTAAACGTCGCCATATCGCTTCACAGACTTGACAAACAATGTTCGATACGGTTCTCTGTCCCATTCTATAGCTCAGTCCTATAGTTTTATACATGTCACCAGTGGCCAAATACCTGAAAAAAATCTACTTTAAGGCTGAAAAACGAAGAAAGATCAGATGCCATTTTTATTGTTTATCAATTTATTGCTTATTCTGTTACAGGAAAAGTGGACAACAAACAACCACTACGAAACCATGGACCTATCAAAAACAAATGGAGTTTTTAAAACCATACATGAAAAACAGACTCACTGCTGGATGTCCCAGCACCTCAGCTCCTGAAGACAGCCAGGTAGAAGAAGAAGAAGATGTACTCTCTGCTGATCCACCAAGTGTTCAATCAAATTTTGAAACACATTAATCCATGGATACACCCACTTCAAAAAAAGCGAAAAAATCTGGTGATCCTCTATTGAGAAAATACATCGAAGATGGTGAGAAAAGAGCTAAGAGTCGGGAAGAATTACGTCAAAAACTAATAGCTTAATCTCAGCAAGAAGCAGTGTTACAAAATGATGCTCTACATTTTTTTTATGTCAATGTACAATGTAACAAAAAATCTTCCTACCAAATTTCAAAGGCAAGTCAGAAGAAAAGTTTTTGATGTCGTCTCACAAGGAGAAGATGATGCTGAGCAAGAGATAGAGAATCAGAGAATTCATTCATCAACCTCCAGTACTAGTGGACTATCTGTGGTGACACAACAATACCCTGAATTCTTTACTCTACATCAGAATCCATCATTGATTCGTCCTGTAGAAGCAAATGAAGAGGATCTAGAAACAAACATTGGGGAAGAAGAAGATAATTTACCAAGAGCATTCCTTACTTTGTAAATGCATAATTTATATCTTGATAACATAAAATATTTTCTGAATAAAATTACCTTAGACATACGGCTACTTTTTCTTCACTTCCAATAGGTTTTTGTGCATTGCACTCTTTACCCGTAATATCGTTTTTTATCAATTCATGGATTTCGTTGAACTGTGTTCTGTTCACTCTAAATGTCTCTTTGAATATGCTGTCTGGAACTTCTCTAGATAAGTTGAACTCTCCATGACTTTGTCTTTTTCGCAGATACGCATTTTTCTCGCTTTTTGTTCTTCTTCGATTAAATAGATACATTAAAATAGATCTTTCCTCGTCTTCCGACTCAGACTCTAGATCGAGGAGCTGACAGATATTCGCTGCCATCGTGGAAGTGGACTGGACATGGGATGGGTTCAATATGCGCTTCCGAACGCGAAACATGGGCTAGGCTGGGTCTGTACGTAACGTGGGCTGTGCGTGTGCTACGCGTGGCATGGGTTCAATATGCGCCGGGCCTAAAGGATGTCAAGAACCAAAATCCGCCAACGTTGATCCTTTACTGCGGCTGAAGTATTCATTTTTAGAGCGTTAGTGAATTAAAAAAAAGCAGTATAAAAACCGGAATGTCCAACTGATAAGGCTGAAATTTTTTTCACTTGTTATTTACAGTAAGATAAATACATTCACCAACTTTTATTAAAATAAAACCATTTAAACTTCGTGTTCGGAGTTATATGTCACTTAGTATATATATACACATCAATATATATATAATAATAGAGGATTTTTGGGCTTTACTGTAGAGGAAGGTTTATTGTGAACGCTAGGAGGCCCAAGATGGAGAACAATTAAGACGGAGAATTTACGAAAAGCTGAGAGAAATTGATCTGAATTCCGTTCAGGACCTCATGAGAGACTTTCGAAGAAAGTTGCGTCTGGTAGAGCAGAATGGGCCACTGCACATAATTCGATAGTATTGTTTAGTTAAGTACTGAGTTTTAATTTATGATAACTAGTTAGTGTTTAAATAAATTTCTTAATTAAAAAAATCTGATAAATATTTTGCGCCAAAACTTCTAAGACATACGTTAGAATAACAAAATCCTCTGCCAATATGATTCGGCTATCGCTCAAGTCTGAATTTTAACTTGCGCCTGATCTTAGACTTGGAAGTCGATGCACATTTCCGATAGCTCATAAATGTATCCGATGAATGTTGAAAGTGATAGTTCTGAACTTACGGTATGTGTCCAACTAAGCATGGACACATAGTCCTGTTGACACAATTTTTCCCATCCCACCATTGGTCCACCAAGCATCTGCAGGCGTCCATTTCGATGGGCGTTTCTTCCACCCCTGGACAGTTGTTACAAGACGATGGAACTGGTGACGTCATAGGAGGCAATGACGCTGGAATAAACATTATTCTTTATACAGTGTGAGTCTTCATAAAGTGCACATATCAAAATCAGGGAAACTACATTCTATTTCATCGACGGATAAATCATCAAAAAAAATTAAAAACAATAATTGATTTTTTATGAATATTTTAAAATTTTTAGTAGCAGCTTCTAACCATATTGAAATAACTCGTTACAACTTTTAAACTAAATGTCCTATCATATTGGAATACATTTTGTAGTAATTGCTGGTAAAAGGACGTGCCTGAAAAGTGAAGAATTCCAGGAAAAGTAATGACATCCATTTAGAATAAAGAAAATTTTGATGAAAATCTGTTTTTTTTATCATTTTTACAATAATTTCAAATTTTCTATAAATATCGTCCCTTGTACCCTACCTTTTTTTATTTGTAAGTTATTTTACATGTTATCAGCTTTATAAAAGTAAAAATTGCACGTTTATTACTCAAATGTAACAGTTTCTATGAGTGTTTATAAAAAAGCCCATGCGCATCGTCTTGATAGCCACCATTGTTTATCATGTAGATACCTTTTTTTGGTGATTCAATGTAGAGTCGCGCGGGCTGAAGTACGAGTGGGGAGGCGGGCCCAGTTGAAAAACAATTGAATGTTGGGCAGTTAGGCAGCTATTTGTGTTTCTCCTGCCGACTTTATCAGCTTCGTTTGCTACATATCACGCTTTCGCTTTTTGGTCGCGATGCCACGTATAAGTGATTTCCCTCCGGCACACATTGCCGATATCCATTATTATTATGGAATGTACCGAGGGAGTGCTAGAGCTGCTTGCACAGCTTATCTAGCTGCATTTCCAAATCGACGCCCTGTTCCATCAGCCCGTAACTTCCAAGAAGTACATAGAAGACTGGCTAACACTGGACTTGGTTTGCCTCGAGATCGCCGCGAACCAGGTGTTTTTATTCATGTTGCTATCGAAGAAGCCATTTTGGATGATTTGTTTGCTGACCCGACTACTAGTACGAGACGTTTGGCGTTACGTCATGGCGTATCCCAGAAATCGGTTTGGCGCATATTGAGGAAAGCAGGGTTGCATCCATACCATTATCAAAGGGTGCAGCACTTGCATGAAAATGTGGATTGGCGTCCAAGGTGCGTTATGTCTACATGGATTTTAATAAAAACAAGAGACAATCCTGAATTCCCGAAAACAATTCTGTGGACAGATGAATCTCAATTCACGAAAGACGGCATCGTGAACTGTCGTAATTTACATAAGTGGTGCCCAAAAGATGAAAACCCTAGGCTGAAAAGGGCTTCAACATTTCAAGTAAAATTTTCTGTAAATGTGTGGGCCGCACTGATTGACAACTTTTTGATTGGTCCAATAATACTCCCGAGGACATTAAACGGAGAGAGATTTCTGGAGCTTTTGCGCACTGAACTGCCCTTGCTGTTGGAAGAAGTGCCGCTGCAAACCCGTCGAAGAATGATGCTTCAGATGGATGGATGTCCTGCCCATTACTCGCTGATTGTCAGGTCTTTTCTTAATGAAAATTATCCAGGCCGCTGGATCGGTCGACAAGGACCTGTTGGGTGGCCGGCGCGTTCCCCAGATCTCACACCTCTCGACTATTTTTTATGGGGGACAATGAAATAAAGGGTGTACAGCAGTTCCATAAACAGCGAAGCGGAACTTGAAGAAAGAGTTTTGCGTGTTGCAAACGAAATCAGAAATGATCCCGAGATGATTCGTAGGGCAACTCAACAAATTTCACTTCGCGCTACAATGTGTTTGCAGCAACGGGGTGGCCATTTTGAACATTTGATGCATTAAGCCAAAATGATTATCCTATAGACAAGTCTATTTGATTTTATTTGTTAAAGATAATGAATGATTCATGTAGGTTAATACTGTTGTTTTATTCCTACTCTGGCGTTGAACTGAGTTCACTGCTTTTTGAAACGCTGATTTAAAAACTTGTATCTAAGTAATAAACTTGCAATTTTTCACCATTAGGAAGCTAATAACATTTAGAATAACTTAACATTTAAAAAAGGTAGGGTAAATAGGACGATTTTTATTGAAATTTAGCAATTGTTTTAAAAATCATTGAAAAAATAGTGAGTTTCAGCATATTCCTCTTTATTTTAAATTTATAGCATTTAATTTCGTAGAAATTTTCACTTTACTGGTACGGCCTATTATTTGCAATCACTACAAAATGTATTCCAATATGATAGGACATTCAGTTTAAAAGTTGTAACGATTTATTTAAATAGGGTTAGCAGCTGACTCGAAAAATTTTAAAATATTCATGAAAAATCAATTATTGTTTTTAATTTTTTTTTGATGATTTATCCGTCGATGAAATAGAGTGTAGTTTCCCTGATTTTGATATGTGCACTTTATGAAGACTCACACTGTATTCCTAGCCATACGATGCCCACGTTCCTCGTTATTTTGCTTCTAAGATTTGTGAAAAACGCATAACTACATTTTAGCGCAGAAAAATCGTTTCAATACGCCGATACCTTTGATAACGTTGCTCTTGCCAGTAGCGTAACAATAAGGCTGTGAGCATTTATTATTACGAGCCCTAACACAAAAATGTTCGGACATTATCTAATTATATCTAAAAGTTTGTTCATTTTTGTAAGGTTAAAAATTAATTGTTTTTCTTTTATAAAACAATGAAATATATTGCTTGCTAATATGATCTTGAAATATAAAATCAAACTAATATTGATAAAAATGCAACACATAAATGTTCGGACCCGATATTAAAGAGAAAATAATAGCAAAAATGAGTATAAAAAGTTTATGATCACTAAAACTGAGGAAGATTGGATACAATATAAGAAATAAGTGTTTAACAAATCTTAGGAACGAAAAGAAAAAATATTATGAAAATAAAACCGATAGCAATAAAAATAACAGTAAAATGATGTGGAAAGCACTAAAAAATATTGTATCTCCCAGTAGGCAGAATGAATGATCAAGAATGTGTTTCGAGGATGGTATAGTAACACCAAAAATATTGATTGCAGAATTAATAAACGCTTATTTTATAGAAAGTATAGATGAGATAGTGGAATCAATCGAAGATGGGGATCCAATTCTATGTCACATGCAAGTTACTTGTAATTCTTCTACGAGACGATTCCAAACAATAAATATCAGCCATCTTTCAAAAGCTATTACAAGATTGAAATCGAATAGAAATCCTTTCAAAAATGCTTATGAAGGAATGTTTCAACATTATTGGAGAGAAGTTATTATTGTTAGTGAATCACTGTTTAGTGTATGGCGAATTTCCTTCAAAATTAAAATGTTCTACAATTACTCCTGTTCCGAAAGTGCAAAATTCTGAGTTATATACAAACATGCGGCCAATTAATGTACTGCCAGATGTCGAGAAGCTCTTAGAAGGAATCATATATGAACAAGACACTGAATATATTGAAGAAAATAAAATATTGACAAAATTTAAAGCAGGATTCAGACAAAAGAATTCTACTGAAACAGCAATTCAAATGGTAGTAGAAGAATGGAGGCGAAATATGGATGAAAAAATGAGACTCCTGACAGGAAGAAATTGTTAACGAAATTGCTTTGCTATGGATTTCAAGGTTCAGTATTCAACTTATTACAAAATTATTTAATTAATAGAAGTCAAAGAATCAAAATTGGAATTACATTATCAAACACTAAAAACATTTCGTTAGGTGTGCCACAGGGTAGCAAATTAGGTCCATTGGTATTTATTTTATATACTAACGATGTTTCTGATTTTTTACAACTCTGCAAAATTGAATTATTTGATGATACATTAATATATATAGAGAAAATTATCATGCGGAGGAAGGTATATAACAAAAATAGGAAAATAATGGGCAAAATCCGCAAAAAATGGATTCGAGCAGAAAATAGGATAGGTAACCCGAGCGATACGTATTTCTGCTGGTTGGCTTCATCAGGCCCGAAATGAATGCACATATGCAACTACAAAAGTAGATACACATGCCCACACATCTGGATGGAGAGGAAAAAAAAGACACACGAAGCCCACAACAAGAGCCAACCTACACATTGTAGTATAAAATGGCTAGAAGACCTTGAATTTTCAAGGCGACAAATAACCACAACCACGCGGCCGGTTATAGCCACTTGCTGTGGTACTTCAAGCCCAAAGGATCTACATAGAGAAAATTATCATTCGGAGAAAGGTATATAACAAAAATAGGAAAATAATGGGCAAAATCCGCAAAAAGTGGATTCGAGCAGAAAATAGGATAGGTAATCCGAGCGATACGTATTTCTGCTGCTTGGCTATACTGCAATGTGTAGGTTGGCTCTTGTTGTGGACTTCGTGTGTCTTTTTTTGTGTGTGTGGGCATGTGTATCTGGTTTTGTAGTTGCATATGTGCATTCATTTCGGGCCTGATGAAGCCAACCAGCAGAAATACGTATCGCTCGGGTTACCTATCCTATTTTCTGCTCGAATCCACTTTTTGCGGATTTTGCCCATTATTTTCTTATTTTTGTTATATATATACGAACCCCTTGCCACTTCAGTTGACTCAACTATTAAAATCTTAGTTTTTTTCTTATCAAACACAAATAATAAAAATGTAGCAGGGTGTTATAGGTTTAAAATATTAACAATGAATATTTTGATAATATATAGTAGAAAACACCAACTTTACTACTCAAATTTGCAGCATAAAAATAACACATGTTGCAATTACAGCATATCAACCTATTTTCATTTCAATGCAAAATAAGTCTACAACGCATAGGTGGCTGTGAAAAATAAAAGCCATGACAATTGTTTTTATTAATCACAGCTGTCAGAATACGTTTAAAATAGTTTTGGGTAGTTAAGGTTTCCAAAATGGGTAGAGGAAAGGTTATTAGTGAGAAAATTCGGTTACTGATAATTACGTTTTTTAATTCTGGGAAATCAAACTCAGAAATTGCAACTTTGTTAGACTTATCGCGGTACAGTGTGAGAAATATTGTTAGAAGATATTACGTAACTGGTTCAGTTAATATTAAGCCACGATATGGGAAAAAAGTAATATCACAAATGCCGACCGAAGAGCATTAAGAAGAATAATCGTGAAAAACAGGCGTGCCAATTATTTACAATTAAGTGCTCTGTGGAGTGACGCTGTTGGAAGGAGAACTTCGAGGTCCGCAACTCATAGAGAGGCCCACAAACTGGGATTTAGCACTTGAAAGGTAAGTTTTCTTATAAAAAAAAGTGAAGTAGAAACCCTAAAGTTGCACAACTTGTTTATAGGCCAAAGAAAAGCCACTATTAACTCCATTGCAAAAGACAAATCGGCTTAGATCGGCTAAAGAACATAGACAATGGACACCTCAACAATGGTGTGCAATACAATGGAGTGATGAGGCCCGATTCGAAGTTTGTGTTGGTGACAGTCGCAGTAGAGTTATTCGCAAAAATAATGAAGCATTCAAAGTTGACTGTTTGAAGAGAAAAGTGAAATTTCCAGCATCCATTATAGTCTGGGGCAGTGTGTCATCAAAAGGAGTAGGAAAACTTAATTTTATTGATGAAAATGTGTATACAAACAAATATTTGTCAATTTTAGAAGAATCGCTTTTACCAGTGATGGAAGAATGTTTGACATCCGGCCAAGATTTTGTGTTTCAGCAAGATGGTGCAGCGTGCCATACCTCAAAAAAGGCTATAAAATGGATGGAAGAAAATAATGTACCACTTTTGAAATGGGTTTCTAGCAGACCAGATCTGTCACCTATTGAAACTTTGTGGCACGAGATGAAAATGGTTCTACGACAATATCCTGCTCGTACAATCACCGGACTGAGACAAAAGCTTCAAGAAATATGGGATTGTTTTACACCAAATTTTTGCCAAAACTTGGTTAACAATATGCCCCAAAGAATTACAGCCATAATAAAAAATAAAGGTGATATTACCCAATGGTAATCTTTCAATTGTTGCTTTGTTAACTTCGCGCATTTATTCGCACATTGTTTATTTGTTCAGATGTTCTATTAGTTATAGGTCTAAGTGATTTCAAATATGTATTTTTTACGACTAGAGTGTATCTAAAATGTTTTTGAGAAAATAAATTGTTTTAGAAGTAAATAGTTTCGTCTTGTTTAGTTTATAAACGCATATTTTGGTACAAATCTTGAAGTGGGCCAACTGAAGTGGGAAGGGGCTCGTATAAGAAGAGGATTCTTCAAAAATTATGTCGATAGCAAAAATGATTTAGCAGAAGCATATATTTTTAGGAAACTTATAGGGTGTTTTCAAAGTTGAGTAAACATGGGCCGTTTTTTCGCACAACATAATCAGAAAAATGGAAGAATATGCACTATTAAAAGACTGATACAACTGATCGAACCAAAGACTCGTAAAGAAAACCATACAATAATACAAAAAATTTGCCAAGTTTAGATAAACGATAAGAGGAGTAAACAAAACAAGGATAAGATTTTACATGGCAGTGGTCGAGAATATCAAAAAATCTGTATAATAACATTCTTATTTTTCAAAATTTTTAATCTACTATTTCCTTTATTATGTTGATTTTTGGTATATCATCTCCTTTTGACAAGTCCTGCAGTTAAAGAAATGACTCAACTTTAAAAACACCCTGTACAAGTATATAGAAGTCAAGGGAAATCTCAGTACAAACGCAACTTCGCATAATAAAAAGATGAACCCCAAATTGGCAAAAAGTAGTATTTTTGCTTCCATCCGAAAGCATATTCTGATTCAGATTTTTTTGTATAAGCTTATTTGAAATCCACCCCTTTTAACGAATTTCCTTAAAGGTGAAGTCAAGTCCTTTGTACTGTTTCGAATTAGAGGTGCTGCTGAGAATGCATTTTAAGCACTGATACTTACGATACGGTTTGTAACATCCATGTATCTCCACCCTCATCTGAATATTATCCTGCCATTTCACCGGGATGACCTTCAAGTATCGCATACTAATAGGAAGTTCAAAGTTGTTGGTTTGTGGTAGATTCTGGTTAAAGTTGGCAAGGAATATTTTTGGTTCTTTCTTATCGTCCACAATTGGGTTCCAATCTACTTTGTTGTTGCTGTATTCGATTTTGTAGGCCGTTACCCAACCTTTTTCTCCACCTTTAGTTACTATGCCCGTTATATTTCTGGGTTCCAAGAAATCGAACTGGAACGATGAATTTAAAAATATACTAAGTGACATATAAATCCGAACACCCAGTTTAAATGGTTTTATTTTAATAAAATTTTGTATAAGTACTAAATGAAGCATAATAAGTAAATGATAAAAATTTCAAAATGATTGCACTGCTTTAAAGCCCTTTGACCTTCAATAATGTGTGGATGCACCCTGATGCATGCTTCTGATCAGGTGGTCAATGTCCTCCTGTGGTATCTCATTCCAGGCAACCACCAACTCCTCTCGAAGTGCTTCTATAGTCTGAGGAGGACGTTGCAAATTGAGCAATCTCCTACCCATCATATCCCACACGTGCTCAATTGGGGATAAGTCGGGAGATCTTGGTGGCCATGGTAACAATGTGACATCATTATGTTGAAAGAAGTCTATTGTGACTCTTGCAACATGTGGTCGGGCATTATCTTGTTGGAAAGTTGGATCTGCCAGGGTGTCAAGATAGGGTAAAAGATGGGGTTCTAGAACTTCGTGGATATAACGCTGCGCGTTCATGTTACCTCTAATGAAGATTAAAGGTGACCTGGAACCATAAGCTATAGCACCCCAAACCATAACTCCAACAGTGTGATGAACATGTCTTTCAACAAGAAACTGTGGATTCCTCCTTTCACCACGTCGCCTTCTAACCCTTACACCGACGTAATCGCCTTGAGTGGTGCAGACAACGGTCACTCTGGGATCAGGAATGGAACAGTATTGTCTTTAGTGACGAGTCTCGATTTTGTTTAGGCATGCACCATGGTCGTGCCAAGGTTAGAAGGCGACGCGCGACGTGGTGAAAGGAGGAATCCACAGTTTTTTCTTTTCGGGCAATTGCAGTTAGAGTGCAAAGAAGTGTAGACACTGTTAGGTGTTGTCAGGCATGGCTTCGAGAAGAACGTACGCAAAGAGCAAGGGGCACTGGATGCTGCCGTAGAACAACAGACCGTGAAGATCGCCGCCTAAGATTATTGGCCTTAAGGGACCGTTTCTCCACTACCAGGTCCATTGCAAATGAATGGTTTGCAGAACATGGAAGACCTATTGGCTTGCGAAGTGTTTACCGACGAATGAGAAGTTTTGGCTTGTTTTCATACCGGTCACACTGGGTCCTCCCTTTAACTCGAGAACACTGACGTAATCGCCTTGAGTGGTGCAGACAACGGTCACTCTGGGATCAGGAATGGAACAGTATTGTCTTTAGTGACGAGTCTCGATTTTGTTTAGGCATGCACGATGGTCGTGCCAGGGTTAGAAGGCGACGTGGTGAAAGGAGGAAACCACAGTTTTTTGTTTAAAGACATGTTCATCACACTGTTGGAGTTATGATTTGGGGTGCTATAGCTTATGGTTCCAGGTCACCTTTAATCTTCATCAGAGGTAACATGAATGCGCAGCGTTATATCCACGAAGTTCTAGAACCCCATCTTTTACCCTATCTTGACACCCTGGCAGATCCAACTTTCCAACAAGATAATGCCCGACCACATGTTGCAAGAGTCACAATAGACTTCTTTCAACATAATGTTGTCACATTGTTACCATGGCCACCAAGATCTCCCGACTTATCCCCAATTGAGCACGTGTGGGATATGATGGGTAGGAGATTGCTCAATTTGCAACGTCCTCCTCAGACTCTAGAAGCACTTCGAGAGGAGTTGGTGGTTGCCTGGAATGAGATACCACAGGAGGACATTGACCACCTGATCAGAAGCATGCCTAGGCGCGTTGGAGAATGCGTAGCACATCAGGGTGCATCCACACATGATTAAAGGTCAAAGGGTTTTAAAGCAGTGCAATCATTTTGAAATTTTTATCATTTACTTATTATGCTTCATTTAGTACTTATACAAAATTTTATTAAAATAAAACCATTTAAACTGGGTATTCGGATTTATATGTCACTTAGTATATATGGTGTTCATTTATCGAAGACCACTGATTGAAAGAAAAAAACATCGAGACACGTCAAACGATTCGTCAAGGGGGACGACTTTTGAACCAGTTTCACCCTATGCCCCCCACAGTCATCCCTTTAAGAATTTTAAATGACAAGTGGTATCGAGTAATAACTTGTTTGAAAGGTCTTTCAAAGTCCTTTATTTTGACGTTTTTATAAATCGGTCAATTCGTTTTCAAGAAAATCTTTATTCATCTTAATTTGTTCAGATAGAAAACAAAAACACACTTTTTATTTCAAATAATGATATAGGCGATGTTCAAATTCCTGACGGACATTTTCAAAAACATGTTGTGGGATATTATGGCAGCCTTCGATGATGCGTTGACGAAGTTCATCAAAACCTTAAGGTTGGGGAGTAAACACAATAGATTACAAATGGCCCCATTTAAAAAAATCTAATGGCGTCAAATCAGGAGATCTAGCAGGCCATTCTATAGGCCCTCTTCGCTCAATCCATTTATCTGGAAACTCGTCGTCTAGCCAGTGCCGAACCGGAACAACATAGTGAGGAGGAGCGCCGTCTTGCTGAAAATATATTTCAACCCCATGAGGTATTGGGTTCCCATCCTCTTCGATTTGGTTTTTAATGGTTTCAGTGATAAGCGGATTTATGGTATTTTCCAACATATCCAAATAAATGTCTCCATTCAAATTTCCATTAATAAACAATGGCCCAATCACTTTGTTTCCTAAAATGCCTGCCCATACATTAATTTTTTTTGGAGTACTGGGTATGCCTTTCTACAAAAGCATGAGGATTTTCATTGCTCCAATACCTGCAGTTATGCTTATTAGCAAATCCATTTAGATAAAATGTGCATTCATCGCTGAAGCTGATACATGAATGGTACTCCTACCTTTCAAACAAGCTATCGATACCTCTTGTCATTTAAAAATTTCATGGAAATCGCTAAAAAGTTGTTCCTTTGACAAATCTTTTAAAGGCGTTTTTTTTTTAACCAGTGGTTTTCGAGAAATCCGTGACGGGGAGTTTTCAAATGAACACCCTGTACATTCGAAACCTGAAAGCACTAATTTTTGAAGTCGTGACATTTATAGCTGTAGAAACGCAAGAATGCTTACTAAGATCCATTCTGTAGGCGAGTTGGTGAGCGGTTGCCAGGCAGAGTCGCTAGATAGTTTCAAATGCTTTTTACTGCGATCCGGTGACAACTCAGAACTAACAGAAATCTGCTGTTCTGACAATGAGCCATCGTCAATGCCCATTGAGTCGTCGCAATATTGGGGTTTCATTGTCGTTTTTACCTAAAAAAGATGCAGAAAAATATATTCCGTATTCTCATACCCAATGTATATATATTGAACCTTTTTCATTGAAACGAAGACTTACAGTTATTGGGCCAAAGCTGACGGATGATGGGGTAGAAGGTTTTTCTTCAGAGCATCCGATAAGTTCTACCCTCAAAGAAATTCCGTTATTCCAAGTTTGGGGGTTGATGTGAATGATCTTAGCTTCTATCGGAACTTTGAAGATTTGTCGGATTGGTTTTGTGGTGTCCATTGAGCCTCTGAAGATCTAGAATATAATAAAATGAGGATTTAATAGTGTTTTCAATAATTCGCTATAAAAAGATATATGTGAGAATGAATTAACAAATTTCGTTTTTATTTTTTTGTTTCAAAGGTGACTTAATTGGACTTTTTTGATTAGTGTGACTTTTGTATTTGGTGATGATTTCTTACCATTGGGTAGTTTTCATCATTGAGTATGAAATAGAAGCTGGCACCATCTGGGCTATACATGACCTTGTAGCTGGTAACATACTCATCGTAAAGTGGGCTTCCTCTAACTACGACGCCATAAACTGCTTCCTGTTTTCCCAGATTTATCTCCAGATATTGCTCTTGATTGCTATACTTTGGCGCCCAGCTTCCCCCTGGTAGTAAAGTCGTACTCTTAGAAGATATTTTACTCTTGTTTTTAGAAAAAAATATATCCGAGATATACTAATTGCAACACCCAGAATTATTTATTGAATTTTGATAAAAACCTGTAAGCATATTTGCTATCATGGAAGTATACGCTGATAAAATGTTGAAGGCATTCCAAGGCGTACTTTTTTTGTAAAGGCTTTTTTTGTCACATCAGGATCGTAACAATATGATCATGTTCACTTAATATTCAGTGATTTTTCTGTCTTGTTTCCATTTGTTTCATTCTTGTTTCATTGCATTATCATGCCTAGAGCTCGCAGATGCGCTAATGTCAGTCAACTTTCAGAGTTGGATAATCGGGCTACGCGAAGCCGAATGTTACTGTAATGAGATGTTGTTGAGCGTGTTGATCGATTTTCCACAAGGGCAGTTGCGAACCAGAGGTTCGATGCTGTCGGGAGGGCAATAACAATTAGGAGTTGATCGCTGAATAAGGTGCTTTGGACTGTTTCTATACCGTCCACATCTTGTACTACCTCTGACCCCATAGCATCGTCGGCAACGATTGGTATCGAATAGCGAGAGACTAGACTGGAAATGGAACGGAACTTTGTCGTGTTCAGATATCCAGCTTCTGTTTGGGCACACTTGAGTAAGGGGGAAACGTGGTGGATGATGGAACGTCCAATATTCCATCGAACGGCATATTCATCGCACTGTGAGTATTATGGTGTGCTTCAGTAGCCTCCTCGACCTCCAGACCTTTCCCCGTCGAACATGTATGGGACACCCCTCTACAAACATTTGAGGCTCTACGACACCAAATTCAGATGGCATGGGATACAATTCACCAAGAAGACATCAATCACCTTATCCAATTAATGACACGACGACTTAACGAACGTGTAGCGAATAGAACAGCTTCAACACGTTATTAGCATTAAGGCTATTTTGCGAAATTTCGAGTTGAAATTTTAATCACCTTCTATCTATTACTAGAGCTGAAACTTGTCAAAGTATGCTCAAAATTACAGCACTCCTAGTCGGTGTCGTATTTTCTACGTCATTTATCGATGGTGGTAAGAATAAAACTCTAGTTCAAACGTATTATCATTATTTGCGACAGAAATCTGTATCCAAAATTACTTACACCTATTTACAACTACTGGCAGGTGGCACCAGAAGTATTATAGATATATTTATCACGTACCACTGTTGTTTATTCGATGCTTCATCTCCTGATTATTATGTTCTTTTTCAAAAGCAAAAATGTAAAAATGTGGACTTACCAGATTTTGGTGTCACCCTACTGTTAATGCGAGCATTATAAGGAGCAAAATGGTCACTCAACACACTGCTAGCGTTGAAGGCTTCATCTGGTAGAGGTTGATCACCTTGTATAAGATCGACATATCTGCTTTCATCGCAATCTTCGGGAGGAGTCACGCTAGGTGCTATAGGCGGCATCGTGAATGGTACTACAACCACAGGCATTATCTCAATCTTGTCCATCCTAGGCTCCTCAGGTTCACAAGTGCTCTCTTGACAAGAATAGTGATTGTGGACGCACTGACAAGTCCTAAGCAAGGGAATTAGATACTATGTCATACAAAAAATCGTACTTCCAATCGATATTGAGTTTAATTTTGCGAAAATATTTCACCTGCAATTCTGTTCTTCGACAATCTTCCCAGGTCCTACGGGATCACCTTGCTCTGTAGCACAGAGACATTCATCCAAAGTCACGCAGGTATTTTCATCGGCGTATTTCTGACCTACAGGACAGGTTTTCCTATCTAATGCTACACAACCAGGTTCACAGCTGGTGTCACCTTGACATAGCCCCTTCCTCTTCACTAGAGTCGAGTAGTACAGGCAGAGACGGTCGCATTCTATCGCGCAGGGATGCAGAGTTGTTCCAGGTGGACATCCAGCTAGAAACGGGTAGATTAATCATATAATCCACTAATCAATCAATCAATCAATGTATCAAGCAATTAGTTAAACAGTCTGTCAGTCAATCACTGAATCAGGCAATCAATCAAGCAAGTAATCAAGTAATCAATCAGTCATTCAATCAATCAACCAATCACTTAGGTAATGAATCATCAATCAATTAATTGTCTAATTGATCAATCCACCAATCAATCAGTCAATCAATCAACCAATCAATATATCAATCAATTAGTCAATCAGTCATTCATTCAATCAAGCTATAAAGCAACCAATAAATCAATTAGTCAATGAACCTTACAATCAACCATTCATGCAATTAATCAATCGATCAGTCAACCAATCAATCAATCAGTCAATCAATAAATTAAATCAATCAATCAATCAATCAATCAACCAACCAACCAATTACTCAATCGCTCAGTCAATCAATTAATCGCTCATTAGACCAATCTATCAAACAATCAATCAACCAAGTAGTCGATTGATTATTTGATCAACCAATCAACTCATCTATCAGTCTAACATACCACTGAATCTGTGTCACTGTAGCATAGTGACCGAAAGTTAGAATTTTGATGCGATTCGCAGTATGTAAAAATTTCCATATTTTTTTACCGGGTATAAAATAATCAATCAACCAATCACTCAGGTAATGAATGATCAATCAATTAACTGGCTAATTGATCAATCAATCAGTCATTTAATCAACCAATCAATATATCAATCAATTAGTCAATCCAGTCAATCAATCAAGTAATAAAGCAATCGATCATATAGTCAATGAATGAATCAATCAATCATTCAAGCAATTGATCAATAGATCAATCAGTCAATCAATCAACAAATCAATCCATAATCAAGACAAACAATAAGTCAATCAATCTGTCAATAACTAATCAATAAATCAATCAACCAACCAACCAATCAATCAGTCAATCAACCAACCAACCAATTAATCAATCACTCAGTCAATCAATCAATTAATCGCTCATTAGACCAATCTATCAATCAATCAATCGACCAAGTAACTGATTAATTATTTGACCAATAAATCAACTCATCTATCAGTCTAACATATCACTGAATCTGTGTCACTGTAGCATAGTGACCGAAAGTTAGAATTTTGATGCGTTTCGCAGTACGTAAACATTTCCAAATTTTTTGACCGGGTATAAAATAATCAATCAACCAATCACTCAGGTAATGAATCATCAATAAATTAGTTGACTAATTGATCAATCAATCAAACAATCAGTCAATCAATCAACCAATCGATATATCAATTAATTAGTCAATCAGTCAGTCAATCAATCAAACAATAGAGCAATCAATCAATCAGTCAATGTATCAATCAATCAATCAATCAATCGTTCAAGCAATTGATCTACCGATCAATCAATCAATCAACCAATCAAGTCAACCAATAAAACACTCAATCAGTAAATAATTAATCAATCAATCACTCAACCAACCAATAAATCAATTAATTAATCAGTCAATCAATAAATCAATCAGTCAGTCAATCAATCAACCAACCAACCAATTCATCAATTAATCAGTCAATCAATTAATCGCTCAATAGACCAATCTATCAATCAACCAATCAACCAAGTAATCGATTAATTATTTGACTAATCAATTAATTCATCTATTAGTCTAACATATCACTGAATCTGTGTCAGTGTAGCATAGTGATCCAAAGCTGAATTTTGATGCGTTGTGCTGTAGTATAAAAACATTGCCAAATTTTTTAACCGGGTATAAAATAATAATTCTTACTTAGGTCCTCAGTTCTCTCTTCTTCTTTAGCAGGTGTTTTGCAGGACTCCTTGATAGCTGCGACTGCTTCTGGCCAATCGCACACTTTCTTTTCAGGGTGATACATCATAGTCGGACCACAGGTTTTTTCTATCAATTGGTTGCCGTCCATACCTGAGGCGCATTCGTAAAACTTGAAGCAGTCAGTTGGGTGTTCTTTGATTGGCATGTCGAGGTCGCAGGCCTGTGGAATCTCGTCTGCAAAGAGGTAATGAATAGCAAATGGCAATCGATGACCATGCGATATCAATAATACAATGTACAAAATCAGAATCAGAACTTACCACATTTGCACAGTACACGTATTTCAAAATCAGGACACATGGCTCCCTTGGTCGTAGATTTACATACCAAGCCCCTCTCTAGGCTGCATTCGACATCTAGACCAGTCTCTTTGGCTGGTATTTGTGACCCAACTGTTCTACATTCTATATCTATCATTTCGCTTATGTTACATCTACTGGTTTCTTTCAGGTGATTCTGAAAATGAGTTCATAATCTTTGAATAACCCTTGAATGTTATGTGAATAGTATTTAGTGTGCAAACTGCAACTAAATGATGTATAAATATGTAAACTATATGTAATAAGTATGTAAATAATACTATATAAATGGTATGTAAATAGAACCATTAATTAAGATTTACAAGATATTAAACATCTACATTTGAGGACTTAAAATGACTTTTGAAATGTCCCTACCAAGACCAGCGTCGTGGGCAACGGTTCATACTCCTTCTTCTTATATCTGGATTTGGTCTTGACCCCAGCTGACTTGTCTTGGTTTATCCAGCCGGTCCATCCAGAATTGCATTCCACCATCTTGTCCATGGGCGGAGGAGTGAACAGTGGAGCTTTTGTTGGACTGATCGTAGTGCATGGTTGTCCCTACAAAAGTGGGCTTTGTCAATGAAATGCACATTGAACTTTATATATAATTTCGCCAACTTGATGTTTCGGCAATGAAGTAGTCTCACACCAAGGATGAAACGATAACTTTCTCACGAAATTTTGTTGATAGTAATAGGAAAAGATTAATGTGTTGGCGACCCCGCAGCTGAATACACTCCTGTATACGTCTAGGCATTGACAAAATGAGATGGTCGATAGATGGTTGTGGCACTTCATTCCAAGCAATACTGATCATTTAAAACCTTAGCAATGTAATTTCATTAACAATTTTTCCCTATCTATAGTCTCAAATGCCCTTTTGAAGTATAACAATACTGTTATAATAATTATTTCTCCTCGATACTTGTTCTCCAGTCTAGCACCACCATTTGGTTTGCTGTTTATGTAGAATATTTTCTTCTAAATCCAAATTTTATTTCCTCTAATGAGTTCAATGATTTGATCGTATATTATCGTTTCAAACAGCTTCTTGATATCTGGCAAGACGTTAATTAGTGAATGTCCATAGGTTGATATTTTGTGCGTTTTGTATTTTGACGATTTTTAAAGAACGTATATATTATATATATATATATATATATATATTATATATATATATATAGGAAGTAGGAAAAATAGTGGGCAAAATCCGCAAAAAGAAGGAAAAAGTGGATTCGAGCAGAAAATAGGATAGGTAACCCGAGCGAGCTGTTTTCTTCTCGAATCCACTTTCCTTCATTTTGCAGATTTTGCCCACTATTTTTCCTACTTTTTGTTATACCTTTCTCCGCATGATCATTTTCTCTTTATATATATGTGATATGATCTTACTGCTTTTTGACTTGTATAAGACGATGCATTCAAATTGTATGAATAAATTGAATCTTGAATCTGTACCTTGCAAATTTTTTCCTGCATCGAGCAATAGCAACTGTGACACTCATCTTCCTCCATGAGGTCGCCTTCATAGTAAGTCGTGTTATCGACCTCCATACAGATAGGTATGCACACGTTCCTAGGTACGCACTCCAAAAGGGAAGAGTTGGAGTAGATGTAATCAGGTGGACAAGGTTTTGGAGCACAACCTTCAACGCAAGCATCTTCACTGCAGGTCTTCGATAGTTTCTTGCTCATCAGGAGGTTATCGCAGGTTTCTTCTGGGCAAGTGGATACGCAGGGACTGTACGTTGTGCAACGTTGGTCACATTGCATCGCTGCAAGAAACGAGATTCTCAAAGGTAGTAGTAGTTAGTATTAATTCTGGAAAATTCATCAATTTCAAACAGGTAGTCACTTTTTGATATTCCTAGGAACAGCAATGGTATTGAATGAAACGCGAAAGGCTTTAGCGGCCATAATGTAATGTTATCTGGTTGGTTTTTGGGTAGCTAGGCCGTCGTAAAATATTTTTATTTGACGTTTCGCCAACACGAGTGGTTGGCATCTTCAGAAGGTGTTTACAGTCCTGTGAGCTCAGTAGTCACAACTATTTTGTCATCTTTAGGAGCTAAAATACAAATATGAAAATAGCAACCAATTTAGAACAAACTTAAATTTAGTTTACTTACTCGACGGTGAGGTTGCTGCTAAATGATGTTTCACCGAAGAGTAAGTAAATTAGATTTAAATTTACTCTAAATTGGTTATATTAGATTTGTGTTTAAGCTCCTGAAAATGACTATATGTATATATATTGAGACGTGGTCATTGTCGTCTAGGCCAGTTAGGTGAAAAATAAATCTTCCGCCTTTAGTGGGGTACTTCGACAAAATTCAAGCAAGATTTATACTTTATTAGTCTCTAGCTTTCAATGGACTTTGCCATCTTTATCAGGAGCTGCAATAACATTGAGAAGAAAGCTTTATTACATAAATTAACCATAGTATATTCCACAGTAGAAAGAGTAGAAATTATCGAAATATTTTTCGGAAATAATCAGTGCGCTAATAGTACAGCAGAAATAATTAATGAGCGACATGAGAACAGTAACGTGCGACAACGTTTTGAGCGAAATCTTTATTATTGCATGGAGAGTCATGGTGGCCATTTTCAACATTTACTTGCCTAACGGGTCAGTTCATTCTTCATTTTTAAATTACTTTGCTGCCAAATGTATTGAGCTCCACTGATGATGATGTATTAGTTTTATTTAAGCTTTAAATCAATAAATCTTCAAAACTACTGAACTGAAGTACATTAATTTTATATCATTATAAAGGGAATTGAAAGACCTTTTAAATAAGGTATCACTCGACCCCCCTTTCCATTTAAGATTTTGGGGGTGGTGTCACCCCCGCTTAGGGAGCTGCACGTGCCAACGTGATTACTTGTCAAACCTGTGTCCCCCTCGAAAACAAAATCGACGGGTCTGAGCGTTTTTCAGAAAAGAAATGAGCTGTCAGCAAATGCGTCTGTTTCGTTTTCGATACGCCACCTTGTATATAAAAAAGACTTGTCTTTGAGGATATCGAGAAATTAAACAACAAACACTAGCACCAATCTCATTGATGGAGTAAGTAATCAAATTCTAATCAATTGAGCCTGGTTTGCAATTTACTATTTTCAATTTTATTTTTAGCTCCTGAAGATGACGGCATACCTTGTCGAAAGCTAAGTCAAAAAGATACACTTAGCTTAATTTGTCGATATCCCCAAAGACAAGTCCATGAATCATATATATATATATATATATATGTATGTGTATATTTAGCGTTGCCAGGTGTCCGGATAAAGCCGGACATAGTTAGGCTTTTCGATTGCATGTCCGGCTAAAATAAACGGTGTCCGTCTTGTCCGGCTTTTGTTAGGCTTTTTACATTTCGCAAACAAGCGAGCACTGCCGATCTTGGACTGAAAACTTATACAAAGACACAAAACATTTCACGTGGATGACTTTAAAAGATGTTCCTGAATGGAATCAAGTTTCCGATAATATAAGTATCCTATCGCAAAACAACGTTAAAATCGACGATAACAAATGTTTTGACCAACTGCAAAATCTTAAAAGTTTTCTGAATACTAACAAAGAGAACGTTGATTTCAAGAAGCTATTAACACATAAGAAATGGGTAGCCTATTTTAAATCGATGATAAGTCAAGATTGCTTTTCAGAATTCCTAACTATTTGTCAGTATTACTTTGCTATCCCAGGACATAACGCAAACGTTGAAAGAGTTTTTTCCTTGATAGGTCAGCAATGGAAGAAAGAACGCAACAGATTACATGTTGATACTGTTGCCAAAATGTTGGTTGTAGAATTTAATTTAAAACATTTGACATGTAAGGATTTTTACAACTACATTTTGAAAGAAACTGAGCTCTTAAAGCAGGTTTCGACAAACCAAAATATTAATAATTATTTTTATTGTGTAACTCAAAGAGAAAATGTTTTTTTTTGTTTTATATTTTAACTTAAAAAGAAGTTATTTATTTTTTTTAGTTAAAAATGTCTTATTTGTTCATAAATGTTTAATTATCTAGAATTTAATTTTATTGTGTAACTCAAAGAGAAAAAGTTTTTGTTTGTTTTATATTTTAACTTAAAGAGAAGTTATTGATTTTTTTTAGTTAGAAAAGTATAATTTGTGCCTTTCTTATTATTTAAGAAAAATTCAAATATGTTGATAAATGTTTAAGTATCTAGAATTTAATTTTGACTGATGACTATTTGACTGATTAATAATAAAGTACCTATCTAAGACTGATTTGGCATTCGATTTTATTTGTTATTTCACTAGAAATTAACAAGATTTATGATAATAATCAAAAAGACTTGATTTTACATAAAAAAAAAATTGTCGTACCTATTAATACTAAGACAAAATCCTCAATAATATAGGGTGTCCGGCTTTTTTAACTAAATGTCCGGCCAAACTGGCTGGTCTGTCCGGCTATTAGGTTTGGCGACCTGGCAACGCTATGTATATTGACGGCAACATATTTCCTTGTTTCAAAAGCAAACCGAAACGTTCGAAACTTACGACAAAGCTGTTGCGACCTCCACTTAACAGGCACTCCTCTGTTGTTGCATTCTTGCGCGTAGGCCGCCAGAGCGGTGCAGAGGCATTCGCAGTCGCCGCCTTGGTCGCATGCGCAGCTGTCAAATACGCACTTGTCAAAGTACTGTTCGACGGGCACTTCGTTGTGACAAGCGGCGAACACGGCGGACTTCATCATTCCACATTTTTTCATCGCCCACGTTTTTCGGTCCGGACGGTCTGCGCATGTGTCCTGAAAATGACAGTTGAAGATGTGTAGTATTCGAAATGTCAATTATATGTGGCTTGATGAATTTAGCTTAAGCTGTGAACTGTACTGACGCCAGGGTGAGCAGTGAACCTTGGAAGTACAGTATCCTGTTAAGCAGGGCGACCCTCACGGATCTGTATTGAAACCACTGCTATATAGGTAACTATGCACCAAAATTACTGTATCTACAAAAATATGAATCATCTTCATATTACTCGTATTAATATTATTGTTGTTAATGTTACTGAAAACGAAAAGATGCTAACCTCCTTACGTAAGCGAACATCGTTCCTTTTTCTAAGCGAAAAACAATGAACGAAACTTACAGTTATCTCCAGTGCTTCAGGACAATAAGACTGCAGCCGCCAAGAGTCACCAAATAGATTAGCAGAAACTTCTGTCAAACCGCCTGATGGAGTTTGGAAGTCGTCCATGTCATTGTCGTTGTAGTTGCCACAGAGTCCTTTGGTCTGGAATTATTAACACAATCACACTTCTAGTAATAATCTTGACACGACGTTCCGCTTTGCACGAGTTAAAGACCTTTTAGTAAACAGGAACAAGACGCTTTCAAAAATTATCTGGAGCTAATGAAACAGAAAAATAAAGTTTGAGAACCAAAATTGCACTCCACAGTTCAAATGTAAGATTTTGCGTCAAAGCTGCGACAATAAGTTATCGCATGATAAAAACAATGATAGGTACTTCGCCATCTCAAGGCTAAACTATTGTGTTTTATATTATTTTCCCACATGATAAACAGCATGGTTTCCTTTAAATTTGTAAGTTTCAGATTTATTATGTTTATTATTGCATAACAATTAACCGGTGTGTTACGGCAACAGCTCTGGGTGGGCTTTCGCGTTTTTTTGGAGAGCTTTTAGCGTTTTCGGAACGATGGACGAGGGGACGTATCTGGTATATTAAAAAATCGACAGACAACCTCATGCTCGCTTGTCGTTTTAGGGGGCTAGACTTCCTTTGGGGAGAAGGAATGGTCCTGGTCTATGCTGGGTTTGCGTTGTGCCATCTTAAAATTTGGAATGATGGTTTCCCGCAATCTCGACATCTTAATGACGCATCAGACTATTGAAGTAACATATACAGTGATATATGGAAATGAAAATGCAAAAAAAACAAACGAAGTGTTACCTGAATATTCCGTTTCTATCAAAATCGTCGAAAAACCAAAATTGGCTCAACGAGTACATTATTAAGCTCAGAAAATATTCCTGTTGGACAAGGACGTAAACTAGCTCCACTACTATTTATTTTACACATTAATGACATTTGTGATATTTCAGATTACTGTAAAATTCAGATATTTGCAGGTGGTACATTGATATACATATAAGAAGAAATTATAGACACTGCTTTGAATATGCTAAATTCTGACTTGGCAAAAGTCTTAAATTGGTTAAATGTAAATAAACTAAAATTGAATGCTTTTAAAACAAAATGTATGCTAGTAGGGAAATATCTAAATGATACTGTCACAGTGACGATAAATGGTGAAATGATTGAAAATGTTGAATCAATTAAATATTTAGTTATATATATATACTAAGTGACATATAAATCCGAACACCCAGTTTAAATGGTTTTATTTTAATAAAAGTTGGTGAATGTATTTATCTTACTGTAAATAACAAGTGAAAAAATTTTCAGCCTTATCAGTTGGACATTCCGGTTTTTATACTGCTTTTTTTTAATTCACTAACGCTCTAAAAATGAATATTTCAGCCGCAGTCAAAAATCAACGTTGGCGGATTTTGGTTCTTGACATCCTTTACGATCGGTTACGATGCCTAGAGTACGGAGACCTGGACGATTTCGTCAACTTAGTGAGTTTGATAGGGGCCGTATAGTGGGACTTCGAGAAGCTGGACTTTCTTTTCGGGCAATTGCAGTTAGAGTGCAAAGAAGTGTAGACACTGTGGTTAGGTGTTGTCAGGCATGGCTTCGAGAAGGCCGTACGCAAAGCGCAAGGGGCACTGGACGCCGCCGTAGAACAACAGACCGTGAAGATCGCCGCCTAAGATTATTGGCCTTAAGGGACCGTTTCTCCACTACCAGGTCCATTGCAAATGAATGGTTTGCAGAACACGGAAGGCCTATTGGCATGCGAAGTGTTTACAGACGAATGAGAAGTTTTGGCTTGTTTTCATACCGGCCACACTGGGTCCTCCCTTTAACTCGAGAACACCGACGTAATCGCCTTGATTGGTGCAGACAACGGTCACTCTGGGATCAGGAATGGAACAGTATTGTCTTTAGTGACTAGTCTCGATTTTGTTTGGGCTTTCACGATGGTCGTGCCAGGGTTAGAAGGCGACGTGGTGATAGGAGGAATCCATAGTTTTTTGTTGAAAGACATGTTCATCACACTGTTGGAGTTGTGGTTTGGGGTGCTATAGCTTATTTTTCCAGGTCACCTTTAATCTTCATCAGAGGTAACATGAACGCGCAGCGTTATATCCACGGAGTTCTAGAACCCCATCTTTTACCCTATCTTGACACCCTGGCAGATCCAACTTGCCAACAAGATAATGACCGACCACATGTTGCAAGAGTCACAATAGACTTCTTTCAACATAATGATGTCACATTGTTACCATGGCCACCAAGATCTCCCGACTTATCCCCAATTGAGGACGTGTGGGATATGATGGGTAGGAGATTGCTCAATTTGCAACGTCCTCCTCAGACTCTAGAAGCACTTCGAGAGGAGTTGGTGGTTGCCTGGAATGAGATACCACAGGAGGACATTGACCACCTGATCAGAAGCATGCCTAGGCGCGTTGGAGAATGCGTAGAACATCAGGGTGCATCCACACATTATTAAAGGTAAAAGGGCTTTAAAGCATTGCAATCAGTTTGAAATTTTTATCATTTACTTATTATGCTTCATTAAGTACTTATACAAAATTTTATTAAAATAAAACCATTTAAACTGGGTGTTCGGATTTATATGTCACTTGGTATATATATATATATATATATATATATATATATATATATAAATATAAATTTATAGTAAACTAAAGTTTGAGGATTACTATGACCATATTATTTTAAGAATTGTCAATAAAATAATTTACTTTTATAGGGATTCTCATAGTCTTAGTACATAATAAAAAAAAAATAGTTCATTGTACTATTATTCTACCGCATTTACTATATTGTTTAACTATATTGTTCACTGCCAATAAAGCTGTATTTTCAAAATTACAAGTCCTGTAAGATAAGGCTATGAAAATGATATTGAATAAAAATACGTACAGAAAAATAAAATCTATGTTACGAGAATTGCAGTGGTTGAATTTAAAAAAATTCATATCATATTTGGTTCTTATTTTTATATTTAAAATGAAAAATATCTTTTGCCACAACATTTAGAACACTATATAAAATTGAATTATCATTACGAGAATTATTATACAGGGTGGCGCATCGAAAACGAAACAGACGCATTTACTGGCAGCTTAGTTTTTTTTTTGGTAAGTTTGGCAAAAAATCACGTTAACACGTACAGTCCCCTGGGCGGGGGGGACACCAACCCTAAATTCTTAAATGGAAAGGGGGTCGTGTGATACCTTATTTTAAAGGTCTTTCAGTTCCCCTTATAATGATGTAAAATACGTGAGCTTCAGTTCAGTAGTTTTGAAGATTTATTGATTTAAAGCTTACTTGTAACTCCAAGATGTTTGCAAATTAAAGGAATAGTTCATGGACAGTGAACATTCTTAGTGATGCATTTTTTTTTTCTAAATATCTGTAATGTAATAGGGAAAAACAAGGTAAGACAACCCTAAGTACATTTTGCAGCTACATCTGACGCTACAACTGGGTTAAAAATTTTGACAGGTGCTGATATCAAAATGTCAAACTAGTCAAAAACCTCACCGAAACAGAAAAATGAATTACGCAGTAGCAAATTCCGAAGGGGTCTTCATACGAGAAGAATCTTTTGAAGACGACGATAGTCTTATCGATGAATATGATTATCACGTAGGCCAGAAAAGAAGACTGTTCGAATCGCCGAGAGGAAACCGCAGCAAAAGAAGAAATAGCAACAACAACGAACATGGTGATATTGAAGATATTTTTTATCCGAGAGATATTTTATCCAAGATTAAAGGCGATATAGATGAGAACAGAGGCACAAATGCTGATTCTGACCTGGTTAAAAAGTGCTCTAAGTTGGACGATAAAGAGTGGAGAAAAATGATCTTAGATGTAGCAGAACTTGTGTATTGTAACCAGGAAATGTTAGACTTTGAATTACGTACATTTAGAACACAGCTGATGCCACAAACTTACTTGAGAAAGAACTTGCTACAAAGTATGTAACTTAGTACACACAAAAAAGAGTGATCTTGGACCAAGAAGAGCTATCTTCAATTTAGGATCGTGTCTTAGAAACATATATCTTTGAATTAAGGTCAATTTCTCAATTGCAAGTGCTACGTTTCTTTAAAACAACAACAATACCTCATTTGAAGTATCTGAGATCTTGAATCGATATCATAGAAACTCATACCCTTGAATCAATAGTACTCTTTTATGTGTGTAATTTCGTCAACCCTCAGACGAAGCTCTACTCTCACCAATTTTATTAGCACATGACAATTGAATTCCTATATTTGTTTCAGAAAAGGCCGAATTTTGTTTAAGGAAATTAAAGTCAACGAAAGATGATGAGGAAATAAGTGAAAAGCTCATTTTTGAATTTAAAAGATTCGCTCTTGAAACTATTGTTAAGTAAGTAATGAGTTGTCCAATAGGGACGCAGGAAAGTAAACGTCAATTTGACATAGACGCCATCTTTGTTTTCTGTCATCCACATGTCATTTTGTTAGTTGAATGTTTACCATTGATCGCTATGGAGTCGTATTCGATTGAAGACCGCATTAAAGTTATTCAAGAGCACTGCAAAAATGGTGCAAAAATAACACGTTTCGCGCGCTTCGTGAACATTTCGGTCGCAACAACCGCCCAAACGAAACAACCATCGGTCGTCTGGTGCGTAACTTCGAGGCAACAGGTTCTGTGGCAAATCTGCCAGGCTCTGGCCGGCCAAGGAGCGTTCGCACACCGGAAAATATTGCTGTTGTGAAGGAGAGCGTGAGAGACGATCCGAAACAATCAACAACGCGTCGATCCCAAGAATCGGGCATTTCGAGAACCAGTTTGCTCGGCATTCTCCACAAGGATTTGAATGTACAAGCCTACAAGATCCAATTGATGCAAGAGTTGCGTTGGGCCGACCATTTTTCTCAGATTGGCTCCTTGAACACCGCCAAATTGATGCCAATTTTTCATCAAAAATCATGTTCAGCGACGGAGCGCATTTCACTTTGAATGGGACGGTAAACAAGCAAAACTGCCGCATCTGGGCGAACGAAAATCCCCGTGAGTATCAAGAGCAGCCGATGCATCCTCAAAAAGTGACTGTGTGGTGTGCATTGTGGTCAAAAGGCATCATCGGACCTTACTTTTTCGAAAATGCGGCCGTGGACGCCGTTTCCGTCAATTCTGAGCGATATCACGTGATGATAGAGGACTATTTTTTGCCGCAACTTGAAGGAATGGATATGGACGATGTTTATTTCCAACAAGACGGTGCAATATGCCACACAACCAACGTCAATATCCATCGATTGCAGTCCTTCTTCGGTGATCGCGTTATTTCGCGCAGAGGAAATGTGCCATGGCCATGGCAAGATCGTGCGATTTGACTCCCTTGGACTTCTTTTTATGGGGATATCTGAAAAGCAAAGTCTACGTCAACAAACCAGCCACCCTCCAAGAACTCAAAAACAACATCATTGCCGAGATAAATGCCATAGAACCGGCCATGTTGCAAAATGTCATTGAAAATTTCGACCATCGCGTGGACGTCTGTAAATCCAGTCGTGGTGAACATTTGAGCGATTATTTTTCATACATAAATGGTATAAATGAACCTTCAAAATAAAGTACCCAACTTGATTTGATTATCAATCGTTCTTGTTTTAATATGCGTTCACTTTCCTGCGTCCGTTTTGGACAACTCCATACTTCTAATCGTACTGCCCAATTTTTAATACTTCATTTTTCGCTACAGTATCATTTTGTTCGGAGTTGCAAGAGATTCCGATAAGCCTGATGGAAAATATCATCCACTACTTATGGTTACTAAGACGCAATGGTTGTTTTTAAAGTTGATGTTCAGACTGGAAGAAGAAGGAATGTCGAATATACTTCAGTTGTATCTACAGAAAGCAGAAAATTTGTTATACAGGTAGCAAAATTGGGAGTTGCTCTATTCTTAAGTTCTCTCCGTATTTCCCCCTCTCCTTTTGTTATCCTTTCCGAAAGCCGTCCAACCAAAGTTCCCGATGGCACTGCAGCCTTTAGGGCTTATTGTAGAGAGAGATGATGTCACTCACATAAGGCATGGAGGGCTGATTCTCTTCCGTTTCCGCATTGTCTGTAGCTAAGGTTTCCGCAGTCTTGTTGCACCTCTGTTGTGTCGGGGCGTAAATGGACTACGAATAGGGTATAAGTGCTAATGTTCCTTGTGCTGGTTTCTTACCCATTAGTTGACTTCCTTATTGGGTTTTTTAGCATCTACAAGGCAGGTTCTGGGACTGTAAAGGGTGTGGATGATCCTTTCCTTGCGAGCTCCTCCACCCTTTCATTTCCTGCCAAACCAAGAAGGCCATAAAGGCGTCCTCAATTGTAGAACTACTGACGATACGTCCCTAAGTATCTATCGGACATCCCTCGTACATTGTCATTAATCCTGTGTCTGCAGTAGGTGCAGTTTAAGCAAGGTGGAACCAGTGACGCGACTCTACGTAGCGGTATGTAAGATCAAAGGAGACGTGAATAGAGTAAGAAAGTTTTGCTGTGAGGCATTTTACCATACGGAAGATTTAGCTGTGACTCTGTTCTACGCAGTGTTGACTTCTTGGGTGGAAATATTTCCGATGCAAGACGACATGAAATGTAAGAACGGTATACTTTCTATAGTTGTTATTTTTATTGTGATGCTCCCGTCGTAAGGTTGGGATTGACTTGCAGGTTACCCTATTGCTGAGGTCATTGTTCAGCTTGTCCATTTAAAAACAATAAAAAAACCTCAGTACAAGTTACACGCATTGAAGCTGCTCTTGAACCAATACTATGGATATCCCAAGGAAAGAGCTGACCGCGATGAGTTTCTCAAGGATCTAGTTCAGAAATATTTAAGTGAGTTTAATATATTTGGAAGAATTTATCGTCTTTATTCAAACTGTACAATTCAGTACAGAAAAAAAAAGAGTGGATCATGAGTTCTCCATGAAGTTTTTAGTAATGTTTGTACGATAAAGTTTATACCTGCCCTCGATCGTTGTGAAGTTATTTGAGTTTATAATAAAATTCTAGGATTTGTGATAATAAGGGATTATATCGTCAAAATAATAATCAATTATAATTCCCATAGTAATAAGAGTTTACTTTAAATTTAAAAACGAGTAACCAAGTATTAAATTAAAGTTAAAGTAGAAATTAATTTGCTATAAAGAGGTAGGTCAACTTGGTAATAAGTGATCACTAAGTTTCCTCTAAAACTTTCCCCATTTAACCTTTGCTGTAGGTATACTAAGTGACATATAAATCCGCACACCCAGTTTAAATGGTTTTATTTTAATAAAAGTTGGTGAATGTATTTATCTTACTGTAAATAACAAGTGAAAAAAATATCAGTTGGACATTCCGGTTTTTATACTGCTTTTTTTTAATTCACTAACGCTCTAAAAATGAATATTTTAGCCGCAGTAAAGAATCAACGTTGGCGGATTTTGGTTCTTGGCATCCTTTACGATCGGTTACGATGCCTAGAGTACGGAGACCTGTACGATTTCGTCAACTTAGTGAGTTTGATAGGGGCCGTATAGTGGGACTTCGGGAAGCTGGACTTTCTTTTCGGGCAATTGCAGTTAGAGTGCAAAGAAGTGTAGACACTGTGGTTAGGTGTTGTCAGGCATGGCTTCGAGAAGGCCGTACGCAAAGAGCAAGGGGCACTGGACGGCGCCGTAGAACAACAGACCGTGAAGATCGCCGCCTAAGGTTATTGGCCTTAAGGGACCGTTTCTCCACTACCAGGACCATTGCAAATGAATGGTTTGCAGAACACGGAAGACCTATTGGCATGCGAAGTGTTTACCGACGAATGAGAAGTTTTGGCTTGTTTTCATACCGGTCACACTGGGTCCTCCCTTTAACTCGAGAACACCGACGTAATCGCCTTGAGTGGTGCAGACAACGGTCACTCTGGGATCAGGAATGGAACAGTATTGTCTTTAGTGACGAGTCTCGATTTTGTTGGAGTTATGGTTTGGGGTGCTATAGCTTATGGTTCCAGGTCACCTTTAATCTTCATCAGAGGTAATATGAACGCGCAGCGTTATATCCACGAAGTTCTAGAACCCCTTCTTTTACCCTATCTTGACACCCTGGCAGATCCAACTTTCCAACAAGATAATGCCCGACCACATGTTGCAAGAGTCACAATAGACTTCTTTCAACATAATGATGTCACATTGTTACCATGGCCACCAAGATCTCCCGACTTATCCCCAATTGAGCACGTGTGGGATATGATGGGTAAGGAGATTGTTCAATTTGCAACGTCCTCCACAGACTCTAGAAGCACTTCGAGAGGGTTGGTGATTGCCAGGAATGAGATACCACAGGAGGACATTGACCACCTGATCAGAAGCATGCCTAGGCGCGTTGGAGAATGCGTAGCACATCAGGATGCGTCCACACATTATTAAAGGTCAAAGGGCTTTAAAGCAGTGCAATCATTTTGAAATTTTTATCATTTACTTATTATGCTTCATTAAGTATTTATACAAAATTTTATTAAAATAAAACCATTTAAACTGGGTGTTCGGATTTATATGTCACTTAGTATATTCGATTTGTATTCGTGGAGTTGGTATGTTTCTCATTTATTTGCATTTTGCATGTATATTTTGCAAACAATAATCGGATTGGTTAAAAAACAGCCATTTTTGTGTGACTAATTCTCTCTGCCGATAAGAGCACTGGAAAAAATTCGCTGTAACTCTTAGATTTCTATTTCGAGATAAAAATCTTTGGCACCTATTTAGTGTTGCAAAAAATTAAAAAATATGATTTTTTCGATTAAATTAAATGTACTTTTTTTGACTTTTGACAATTTGTACTGCCTAACCTTTAATTTGTTAACTACAAATCTCTATAATGGTTCTCTGAATATTTCGTCAAGTAGATCGATTCAGTACAATAGATATGAACTGACAACAGGGAACTTGTGAACAGAAGTTCGAATATTATCGGAGGACGTATAGGGTCAATCTACTCGACGCCATCTTTCTCAGTGGTTATTCTCACACAATTTAATCTCTTTCGACTGCCTTCTTATCTGCTTGATCATTAAAAATCCATACTTTAAGAATACTTCACAACAATTTGACAACATTTCACACCTGAATAGTAAATCTAAAGTATATGTGAACTTACATAATGCGCAAAACTAATTTTTTGATCCGATTTTAAAATTGAAAAGGTACGACAGAGATAAATAGGTTTTTTTTATATCGAAGCAGTCGCGCAGGCAGAAGCTTAAATGCCGGAACACCGCGGCTACTATGATGATCCCAAAGAAATTTTATTAATACGATGTTTGAACTGCCTAAGGTTAATAGAACTGGGAAAAGCTTCCTCTGTTCCACAATCTCGACACCCTCGGGACAAAGGAGCGGTCGTATCGGCCGGTTCTGGTCAATCCTGCCTGCGACATTTTTAATGCCTTACTCATTAATGTTATTTTCTGACAAAAAGGTTAAATGCAATTGGATCTATGCTCATGATTTATTTTGTCAAATGCCTTGGAGTAACCAATTGACATAACTGCTAATTTTTATCAAGTAGTAGTAGTAGTAGTAGAAGAAAGATTTATTTAGCACATTTGGCTACATAAACAGAATAATTGTAAACAACTTAGAACTATTAAATTCAAGCCATATGGTGTATGATGTAAGTGCTGGGCAACCTATAATTGTAGATTTAACAAGTGATTTCTCAATTTTACTTTAAATTTTGTCAAAGTTTTCTGGTCTTTTATCTCAACCCTTGATGGAATACAGATTTGTAGCATATGTTATACTTTTTGGTCATTAAATAGAAGTCATCTTTATTTCTGGTATTATGTAAATGATGGTCGACATTTGATGATGTTAAATTAGTTAGACTTGATGGAAATATATTATTTTTTACTTTATAAATGAATATCATTACAAGATATTTGATAAAATTTTTTACATTGAGCCATTTTAATTTGCTAAGCATTTGCCTAATTGGAGTATATTTATCTTTATTTAGTATTATTCTCATGCACTTATTTTGTAAAATTTGCAGTCTTTCAAAAATGGAATTATTTGCTAAATATAGAATAGTCGAACAGTACAAGAAATTTGGAAGAATGATGGTATTATAGATAATTTTTCTGCTATATGAACTCAGACATCCAGAAACTCTCGATAAATGTCCCACTTTACTACTAATCTTATTTATAACTTTTTCATAATGAATATCAAAAATTAATCGAGAGTCAACAAAAACCCTCAGGTATTTAAAATTTTCTACGAATTCAATATTTTCACCATCAATATTCAGTTGAACATTTGTACATTGTTTTTTTCCGATTAACAAGGCTTTCGTTTTACTTGCATTTAATTTTAGTCTATTAGATGCTAACCATTTTGAGACAAGCTTCAAGTCTCCATTTATATAAGAGATACCAGACTGAATATTTTTAGTACTTATATGAATCATAGTGTCATCGGCGAAAATCTAAATTTTGCAGTTTTTGACTATGGGATATATAATCATTTATGTATGAAATAATAATAATAATAATAATAATATATATTTAATAATAATAATAATAATAATAATAATAATATATATTTATTTCCAACAGGTATACACCCAATCACAGGAAATCAAAACAAAATGGTACCATATATACACATGAACACACATATATACATACATATGTACACACACATACATATATACACATATACATAATATATATATATATATATAGACAATGAATCAGAAAATAATAACAAAAAAAAGAAAATAGAAAAACATTAGTGATCTGAATGAACACATAATACATAGGTGAATAATTAAACACTTCACAAAAAAAAGAGAAGAAAAAAAACATAAAAGTGCTCAAATTGAAGAATAACAATAACTGACACCATCAACAAAACGATTTTATCTCAATTGCTCCCTGTAAATGTTTAATATTTTATTAAGACTGTCATGACATACATCAGCTCTGTTACAGATTGAATTGAATAAGGTACACATTACCATTACTGGGGATCTGCATAAAATATTCGTCCGTGGTGTATCACAGTAAAATATGTTATTATGCCGACCAACTAATATGGGAGCATGAAAATTAATCTTACTCAGTAGGAACCCACAATCAATATGATTATTCACTAACTTATAAAGGAAAGTGAGAGCTTGAGCGTCACGACGATTCCTTAGTGATTCAATGCCAAAAAACTCCAACAAAACGTCATGATCAAATCCTCTTTCTGGGTATCTACCACTGCACTTAAAATACCAATACTTTAGAGCTTTACGTTGTACAGCCTCCAGTTTACCGATTGCATTCTGATATAGGGGGGACCATACTAAGGACGCATACTCTAACTTAGTCCTGATAAATGAAAAATACAGTATTCTTAAACAGTCCACATTAGAGAAACCGGACCAGTTACGTACACAATAACCCATCAACCTTGATGCTGATGATACAATATCTGATATGTGATCGTTAAAAGTGAGTTTGTTATCGAACACTACTCCCAAGTCTTTAAAACTTGAATCTCTTCCTAAAATGCTTTCATTAAGGTTATAGTTGTATATGATGGGGTCCTGCTTCCGACTATACGACACCACTTTGCATTTTTTGACATTTAACGTTAGCAGATTTCTGTTGCACCATTCATATATGAAGTCAAGCTTGCTTTGCATCTCCACACAGTCACTCGAAGAGTGAATTGGCGAAAATATCTTCAAGTCGTCAGCAAAAAGCAAGTGCATACAGGTTAGCTTCAAAGACAGATCGTTAATGAAAATAAGAAATAACAAGGGTCCTAGGTTCGAACCTTGTGGAACTCCAGATGTTGCTGTATAAATTTTAGACTTACTTCCACCAAATTCAACATATAATGACCTATCAGCAAGGTATGATTGCAAGAGGGTCAACATAGAGGCTGATAAACCTAACGCTTCAAGCTTTGCCAACAATATATAATGATCAACCCGATCAAATGCCTTCGCAATATCTGTATATATCACATCTACTTGACCCTGACAATCAAGTGCACTAGCGGCAAACTGAGTGAAACAAGCTAAATTTGTGACCGTAGATCTGCCAACCATAAAACCATGTTGATTTTCAGAGATGAGAGATCTTACGGAGCTGAATATTGTGTTATAAATTATTATCTCAAACAATTTACTAAAATTACATAAAATAGCTATTTGACGATAATTACTTACATCTGAGTTGACACCACTCTTAAATATAGGACAAATTTTTGTCATCTTCCAAATTTTAGGATAACAACGAGATTTTAAAATCAAATTGAATATATAGCGAAGAGGCTTAGCTAGGATATGAATACAATCCTTAACTATGAAGCTAGGTACACCATCAAAACCAGACGTCATTTTATTCTTCAATTTTTTTGATGCCTGTATGATATCATGTTCACTGATATGATCTAATGATATGTGACAATTTCCTGAAGTGATATTTCTAAAAGTCGACGGACCTGAGGTAGTGAACGCACCCGAAAAATATTGTGCAAATCCATCAACAATAGCTTGAGGGGTATCAAAAACGTTGCCTTCAAAAGACATGGAGCCTGGTATTCTAGACTGATTATTCTTTGAATTTAAAAATGACCAAAACTTACCCGGATCATGACGAATTGAATCTTCAACCTTCTTGGTGTAAGCAGCATAAGCAATTTCTATTTGAGCCTTGATGTTAGTACGTAGCTGCTTGAATTTATTTTCGAAATGAATGAGTCCTGTTTGCTTAAAACAGTTTCTGGCCCTATCCTTCTGTTTTATATTAGTTATAATTTCAGTCGTGAACCATAAAGGATAACGACGCTGTGCTTGCTTAAACCTTGGAATATACAAATCAAAAAGTTCATTCAATATTGAATATAAATATGAGCAAGCATTCTCTACATCATTCATTTCTTTGAGGTGTGACCAATCAATATTCAAAACAGCATTATACAAGGCTACATAATTAGCACGACGGAAGTTATATCTAGAGACGGTCTTCAAATTGAAATTATTTTTCATACTCCCAACCGTGAAGTTAAATTGGAGAGCTGGATGATGCTTATCTTCCTTAACTAAAGGGTAACAATCTCTTATCACTAAAATATTAAAATTGGTCAATACTAAATCAAGTAGTCTCCCATTGCAGTTCACAATGCTGTTAAAATTGGTGAGGTCCGAGAAAGCACAGAACTGACTCAAGGATTGGAATTTTCTGTCATTGAACTGGATATTAAAGGAAGGGACGTTGAAATCACCATTTATAACAATATTATAATTACCAAAAGTTGTTAGAATTGTTTCAAGACTATCCAAATAACACTCAAACTCATCAAGTCCTACAGACGGTGGAACATAAATGCAAAATGCAATTAGTGGTTTTATCTGCAGATTCACCATAAAATAAAAAGAAGTGGTCCCAGTATATTGCCCTGTGGAACACCCAACGTATTTTCAATTTTTGATGAAATAGTGTCATTAACTTTTGTAACTTGCATCCTTTTAGACAAATAATTTCTAAACCAATCTAAAACACTTCCTGTTATACCATATGCCTTTAATTTACCTAACAAAATATCTCTATCAATCGTTTCAAATGCCATCTTCAAATCCAAAAATACTGCTATGACAACTTCTTCTGAGTCTATGGCTCTTCTCCAATTCTCAGTTACCAACTGGAAAGCCGTTTCTGTGGAATATTTTTTTCGAAAGCCTGCTTGCGCCTCCACTAAAATTTTGTTTTCTTCTATAAACTGCATTAATTGGTCATGCACTATGGACTCTAATAATTTTTCAATGTCTGGTAACACATTTACTGGTCTCATATCGCTGCATCCTTTAGAATTTTTTATTTTGGGAACTGGTGTTATTGTAGAGCATTTCAAATTTTCAGGAAAAGAACTGCTTCTCAGTGAACAATTGATCCAATTTAATACAGGATATCTCAAAATTTCGAAACAGTTTTTCAGCACGTTTTTAGTAGTGATTTCGGCACAGTTGTTATTTGATTTTAAACTGTTTACAATGATACGCTGTGAAATTTTGAAAGTGTATGCAACATTTCCCCCTGGAAACTGATTTTCATATAGTCAGGTGCACCATTGGCAGTACCCACAATATCAACAATACTTTTCACAAAATATTCATTTAGTTTGTTTGCAATCACCAAAGAATTTGTTTCGGTACCGTTTTCGAATTGAACTTGATTTACACAATCATGCGGCTTAGAATTGATCAGTCTTTTTAAAGTCTTCCACATCTTTACACTGTCGCACTTGTTATTATCGATTTGTTTATCGTAGAATTTCCTTTTTTCTTACACATTTATTCCTAAGAGTTTTATATACCTCCCAATCAAGTGCTCGTGGAAGTCACTATGTAATGTAGAAAAATAGGTTTGATTACGATCCTTGCTTACGATAGTAATTTTTTAGGTAATCCAACAAAATTGGCAAATTTCGCAATAAGACTATACTGCAAATACACAGGAGCAGACTGGTTGAAAGAGAAGATCAATGACGTTTTAAAGCCCATGGTTTATCAGGTTCCCGTTGGGGAGAATCACTTTAAAGCAAACGTAATTTCTTTGTTGGCAAACGTTTGTCAGCATTTGCATTTGGGTAGTAGAGACAAATACATGTCGGAGTTGAGGACATGGTTTTGCAGTTTGAGTGCAGGTAATGGTGATGCAAAATATCTCGAGTGATTTTGTATTCAATATTAGGACGATGAGACAATACTGTTTTACGAGAAAATCTGTTTGTAGGAAATCCTCCCAAAACAATAAAACAAAGTGTACAGTACGCGTTAAACATGTTACAGAAGAAACAAGCGAAAAGTGAAATAAGAGCAAAACGAAGAAATGACGCCAGTTTACGTGATAGATAATATTGTTTCTCAAGATGAAGTTGTTGAAAATGTGTTATGTAATTTTAAAAGTCATGTTTATCAGAGAAACTTATTGATAATACAACAAAACGTTTGTTTGTTTGAAACTCACCTTATCTTTCCATCTAGGATCAACTTTCACATAGACCCTGGTTCCTTTGTCCCAGTGTACCACAAGTCCCAAATCTGGCGCTTCCACAATGACGTAAAGTCCCTTCTCTCTCACGACCACGTGCTTGTACGTCGTATATTTCGGCACAACTTTTTCTTTTGACATCGCTATGGTCTCAGAGTCTTCACCGGAAGTCAGCCTCAGTGTTACTGCCTTGGAGCAGGATGTCCCGAGGGATCCACAAGGTACGTTCTGGCAAAGAAAGTTATTCACTTTTAGTATTTTTTCGTTATTTATAAGTCGGATTTGACAAGAAAAATGCGCAATATGGCAACGTCGCTGGTCGGCACAGATCATTGACCTTTGATACCCACGTTGCGCAGTTGTGTATTCGGAGCAAGATTTGGCGATTTCAAAAAGAATCAATTTGTTCAAGAGATTCTAGTGTGCATTCAAAGTCAACGTCTCTCTAGGTAAATGATGGTACCAAAAACACCTATGTAAATGTTATCTAAAACTGTATCTTGCGAACTTCATCCTATCAGTTTGACAACTATCTCGAAATATACAGGGTGACTTCGCAGTTGAGTCATTTATTTTAACAGTGAGTAAATCTGATCAAAAGAAATGTTTTTTCCTTTAACATTTTTGTGGTAAAATTAAAGTAACAAAGTTATAGCTCTTTAGAAGTTTGAGTACCGCCCTGTCTCAATAATAATATTATGTGCTCGTGTTTGGCAACAACGGATATAATCCGCTTTATCGGTTCATCACATCGGAAATAAAAAAGCGAAAGAATTTGAAACGCTTATCACGATATTTTTACTACAATTTTATTCAGTTGTATTCAGTCAATGTGTCAGTAGGTAAAGCGTGAGTGAATAGTGGTGTTTGTTAGGTGGCTCAAACGAAATAAAAAATGGCACATGTTTACGAAAATGCTTTTGTTTTGGACATGATTCTTATTTACGAGGGGGGAGTCTTTACAAAATGCTGCCGCGGCATCACGGATTTATGCGGATCAGTTTCCCAATCGAGTGCAACCAACCCCTCGTGCCTTTGTTAATGTAGTACAAAGGGCTCGTGAATCAGGTGACTTAAGACCTCACAGGGGAGGGTATGCCGGTGCTCCAAGACCGCACGATCAAATACAGGTCCGCACTGAAATACTTGTCGGGAGGATACTTTATAAAACAAGGTAACATTTTTTTTATTTTTTTTTTATTTTTATACACATATTTTGGTTTATCTTCCTTCTACAATCATTATCTGAAAATTAATCACTCAACTTCAAAGTCACCCTGCATATGAAAACAAGCAAGATATAGAAGAATTCCAAGATATACACCAGTATTTTTACTGCGTTGAGCACATGAACACTTTTCTCAAGAAGCTTCGAGGAATGACGAATTAGTATAATTGAATTTTTTAGGCCCAATTTTACTAACAGGGGATCAACATTCTGGAGATTCTATGAGAAGGCATCTTAGGATGAATAAAATTGATTTTTTCTAAGATATATCTCAAAACATCAAAAAATATACGATTTGTGTAAGAAGAGCCTTTAATCCCCATATTAAATCAAGTAATTCTTTCTAAATCACCTAACATAGTTTTTCAGTTGTTCCAGAGATCCAAATCTATGATCCGGATCAATAATGACCAATTAGAAATCGTTATCGTGAAACTGGCCAGCGGGAGACTCTTTTAATTGAATTGAAGAATAAATGTTGTAAGGTTCAAATACTTTGTTTTAAAATAACAAACATTTCTGTGTTAATAAATATTACTCATATTTACTGCCATAAGCTTGGCAGCACTACAAATGTCAACTGTCAAGAGTAGAGGGAAAACGAATACGAGAGTTGGAGCTGGGATGATGAGGAATATGGAAAACAATGCATAAACTCAGTGTTCACTTTGAAACTTGCTACCTTAATTTGTTACAAGTATGAAAGAAATCTGTGGTTGTTGTATGTTTGTGTGTTTAACTATTCATTTCACTGTGTACGAAAAGTGGCATCTCGCTACTGGGTGTGGCTTGGCGGGAAATACATGGCACCTTATATAGAAAATTTGGTTACAAAAAGACTTATTTCAAGTGTAGTTACGATCAGTGAGAGCATATTTTGGATGTGAAACTAAGTTGCTTTTGAGTTTGTGATGAATGTTGTTTAAGGTAGTGTTTTTCAAAGAAGTATGTAGGTAGTGAGTTAAATACAGTTCATCCGAATTTTAGGTAGTGGTTTTTAATTTAGTAAGTAAATATGAAGCTTAATACAGTTTCGGTGTCAGATTATTATAAGTAATCTGTAAGTAGACCCACTATTTTCTGCTGAGTTTATATCGATATTCAATTACAATTTTGCGATGGGTTCATCCTTATCAAACTCTGACCAAGACTTACCGCTCTGCACCCATTTTAGCAATGTTGATGTTAACCTCGAAAGTTGAAGGATTGCATGTACATTTTTTTATTATGAGGCATTGGGACAGTAGTTGACGCGCCTATTTTGCTCTCTTGTGTGTGATAAGATCCACCCAGTTTCAGAGATATGTACGGAATGCAGGTTTAGTGACGAATGTAGTGATATACAGGGTATTCTAAAAATAGATGGAGATATTTTCGACGGTGATTCCTTGTTAAAAAAATATGAAAAAAAGTTTCTATAAATTTAAAATAAAAAAAATAATATCTTAAAAAATATATACTCGATTATGTCGAAATTTGGCAATGTTATTTGTTGTATCAAGAGGCTAATTTTGAATTTTTTGTTTTCTAGACACTTGCGATTTTTTTAGCAAAAATTAATAAACCAATTTTGTCCAGTGACGTGCAATAAAACGGTTTTTATTTTTTTTTAGAAAACGAAGTGAGATACGAAAAAAATACATGACGCAAAAAAGTTCTACTTTTGGATGCTTAATCAAACATTAAATATTTATGTTTCCAAAATTGCAGTGGTGTACATTTTTTGCCAATAACATCCGGCCCCCGGGACGCCACTGGACATGATAATTTCAATCTATTAAGGGCTAAATTAGCCACTTATTTCAACAAATAATACTGCCAAATATCAACAGAATCGAATTAATATTTTTTAGGATATTTATAAAAATGTATTACCCTGTTTCTTGAAAACTATCTATTTCCACTTATAGAAACTTTTTTCATATTTTTAAAAAGGAAACACCTCTAACATATCTCCGACTATTTTTTGAACACCCTGTATATTATAAGTTGTAAAAAAATTCTGTAGATATATACGTCGGATATAGTGGTGCTTGAACCATAATGACTTGCTTCTGAGCCCAGGCATGTATGTACTCTTCTTAATCAGAAGCAAATCATTAGTCGTATATTCCACATGGGGTTCTATCAGATTATTCAATCAGCTTGTTATACCAAAAATTGACTTAAATCTCAGATGTATGCTGCATTTCATTGAGATGAGTAGCGTAACTTTACCTGGATAGTGATGTCGAAAGAGTCGCTTCCAGAATGGCCTTTAGCCAGTACGTAGTCACATTGACCTTGATAGTCGAAATGCTTGCCATCGAACGTCTTGTAATGTGAATCTCCCCAAGCACTGCATTCTGCTGAGCAAATCCTGTCGGTGCAGTTCCATTTTCCGTTCTGACATATGCTGGAATCAAAAAAATGGTTCAAGTATAAAAAACAATGATCGCGACTGAAACATACCAAGTGTTGCAGTCACTCTGGACAGTCGACTTTTCCTTGTAGCTCCTTCCTCCATGATGACATGGGCAATCTGTTGGCTTCACGCATATTTTGGAGGTGGTATCCAGGACGTATCCCTCTTTACATTGACAGCCTGCGTGGCATACTGACACTGAGAAGTACTCAGGCGAATGCATATTCTGGAAAAGTAGTATGTTATATGTCCAGGTCGAGAAGCGTGCCGTGGTAGACTATGGGCTGGCGATATTCCTCGAGCAGAAAGTACATTCAAAAGTAACAAAAAAAATTAATAAAGAAATATATAAAATTCGCAAGAGAGGTGATTCATGTAAAATTGCAGCAAAGTTGAAAATAGTCTTCTTCATTCTTCTGTGGGGGCCAACATTTTCCAATCTCTAAAAACGAATATTTTTGTATTATATTAATATTAATTGCATCGCCCCGTATCTTGTGAAAGATACATTTTCGACCAATGTCATGCCCAATATCTCCACTATTTTCTGAATCACCCTGTACATACCTTGCAAGTGACTGGTTCTACGTTTTCACAAGTGGTGAACTCAAAGTTCTTTGAGGCATCGCATTTTGTCTTTATGTCTTCTGATCTTGGGAATTCTGTTATTTCATGTGGAGTAGCTGGACTGCATTTCCATACTGCGTTCATGCATGTGCTAGAATCAGTAAAATGGAGATTTAAAAAAACCTAGCTTTACAAATGAAACCCCTGAAACAATGCATTCTTTTCCTTCTCCCAGAATAATAAATCGAGACAAGCATTGTAAGACCTTTTTAGAGAAGAAATAGAATCAGTGATTTGATTCTATGGTATTGATTCCGGTCTCATCGATTCCTTCGATTTACTCACGATTCCGATTCCGGAATCGAAATCGATTGGTTATATCCGTATATGATTGCGATACCGGTTTCGAAACAGATTCCTCCGATTCATTTACGATTCCGATTCCAACCTCAGAATCAAATTCTTTGATTAGTTTAAGATTCCGATTCATATCCTGAGATTGATTCGTCCTATTCGTTCACGATTTCGGCTCAGGCCTTGGAATTGAATCCTTTCATTCATCCACGATTCCGATTCCGGCCTCGGAACCGATTCCTTCTATTCGTTCAAGATTCAGATTCCGGCCTCAGAATTGAATACCATGATTCGTTCACGATTCCGATTCCGGCCTCAAAATTGATTCCTTCAATCCGTTCAGGATTCCGATTCCGACCTCAAAATTGAATCCTTCGATTCCTTGACGGTTTCGATTCCAATCTCGGAATCGATTCCTTCAATCCATTTACGATTCAGATTCCCGCGTCGGAATTGAATCCTATGATTCGTTTACGATTCAGATTCCGGTATCAGAATTGAATCGAATCATTCGTTCACGATTCCGATTCTGACCTCGTAATCGATTTCTTCAATCCGTTCACGATTCCAATGCTTGACTCGGAATCATTTCCTTCAATCCGTTCAAGATTCCGATTCCGACCTCAAAATTAAATCAAACGATTCGTTCACGATTCCGGCCTCGGAATCGATTCCTTCAGTTCGTTCACGATTCAGATTCCGGCCTCAGAATTGCATCCCATCGATTCCGATTCCGATTCTGACCTCGGAATCGATTCCTTCAATTCGTTCACGATTCAGATTCCGGTCCCAAAATTGAATCTTCGTTCACGATTCCAATGCTGGACTCGAAATCGATTCCTTCAATCCGTTCAAGATTCCGATTCTGACCTCAACATTAAATCGTTGGATTCGTTCACGATTCCGATCTAGGAATCGATTCCTTCAATTCGTTCACGATTTAGATTCCGGCCTCAGAATCGTTCCCTTTCCAATTGAACCCTATGATTCGTTTACGATTCAGATTCCGGTCTCAGAATTGAATCCCATCATTCGTTCACGATTCCGATTCTGGCCTCGTAATCGATTTCTTCAATCCGTTCACGATTCCAATGTTTGACTCAGAATCGATTCCTTCAGTCCGTTCAAGATTCCGATTCCGACCTCAAAATTGAATCATTCGATTCGTTCACAATTCCGGCTTCGGAATCGATTTCTTCAATTTGTTCACGATTCAGATTCCGGCCTTTAAATTAAATAACATGATTCGTTCACGATTTTGACCTTGGGATAAATTCATTCAATTTGTTCACGGTTCAGATTCCGACCTCAGAATTGAATCTCATGATTCGTTCACGATTCCGATTCCGGCCTCAAAATTGATTCCTTCAATCCGTTGATAATTCCGATTCCGACCTCAAAATTGAATCCTTCGATTCGTTCACGGTTTCGATTCCAGCCTCGGAATCGATTCCTTCAATTCATTTACTATTCAAGTTCCAGCCTCGGAATTGAATCCTATGATCCGCTCACGATTCCGATTCTGACCTCGGAATCGATTTCTTCAATCCGTTCACGATTCAAATGCTGGGATCGGAATCATTTCTTTCAATCCGTTCAAGATGCCTATCCCGACCTCCAAATTGAAACATTCAATTCGTTCACGATTCGGATTCTGGCCTCGGAACCGATTCCTCTAATTCGTTCACGATTCAGATTCCTGCATAGGAATTAAATAATATGATTCGTTCACGATTTCGACGTTGGGATCAATTCCTTCAATTTAGTCACGATTCAGATTCCGGCCTCAGAATTGAATCCCATGATTCGTTCACGACTCCAATTCCGCCTCAAAATTGATTCCTTTAATCCGTTCAGGATTCCGAGTCCGACCTCAAAATTGAATCTTTCGATTAGTTCACGATTTCAATTCCGACCACGGAATCGATTCCTTCAATTCATTTACTATTCAAGTTCCGGCCTCGGAATTGAATCCTATGATTCGTTCACGATTCAGATTCTGGCCTCGGAATCGATTTCTTCAATCCGTTCACGATTCCAATGCTGGGATCGGAATCATTTCCTTCAATCCGTTCAAGATGCCTATCCCGACCTCCAAATTGAAACATTCGATTCGTTCACGATTCGGATTCTGGCCTCGGAACCGATTCCTCTAATTCGTTCACGATTCAGATTCCTGCATAGGAATTAAATAATATGATTCGTTCACGATTTCGACGTTGGGATCAATTCCTTCAATTTATTCACGATTCAGATTCCGGTCTCAGAATTGAATCCCATGATTCGTTCACGACTCCAATTCCGCCTCAAAATTGATTCCTTTAATCCGTTCAGGATTCCGAGACTGATTTCAAAATTGAATCCTTCGGTTCGTTCACTATTTCAATTCCGGCCTCGGAATCGATTCCTTCAATTCATTTACTATTAAGATTCCGGCCTCAGAATTGAATCCCATGATCAGCTTACGATTCCGATTGTGGTATTGGAATCGTTTCCGTCTATTCCGATACTGGCACTGAACCGATTCCTTCAATTTGTTCACTATTAGGATTCCGGCCTCGGAATCGATTTTGTTGATTCGTCACCAGTCCGATTCCGGCTTTTAAAGAGACGAAAGTCGGACCCGAAATAGTCGGAGTTGAAACCACCGGAACCGGAATCGAAATTGAAACCAGCGGAATTGGAATCAAAGTCATTGGAATCGGAATCAAAACTATCCGTACCGATTTCTTCGCGATCATCGGAATCGACTCCTTTGGAACTGCTCGCTCAAGGTTGACCCAGTTCTAGAATACCCGAGAATAAAGAAAGCATACCAGAGCTCTTGTCCATCAGGTGCAGGTCTGACTTCCTTGTATCCAGGTGGAAACTCGATTCCGTCATGTTGACATTTGCACTGCCCTATAGGAATACATTCACCATTATCATCCATGGCTTCTCCTTCAGGACAATTGCAGCCTTCAGCGCATTGGGGCTTACAATCTGGGTCCAATGAGATGTCGAAACATGTTCTTGTACATGAGTTTCCACAAACCTAGAAAACGTTCAAGACATTGAAGGGGATTCTGAACCTTTGCGAAAGTACCAAATTCGAGACTCACCTGATATTGTTGACCGCCGGGACAATGGACCCCACATTCTCTTATGTCTTTACGCCAGTCAATTTTCACACCCTTACGAGAGCATTCAGTAGCGTAATTTGAGACCATAGGGCAGAGACATTTCGATATCTACGATTAAAAATAGTTTGAAATGCATGCTGATATAGATAAATATTACTACCTACCTTCAATTCGCAAGAACATACATCAAATAGACAATCTTGGTAAAATTGGTTTGGATCAACCATCCAGTGGCAATCTACAAAAAAATAATTGATTTGAGATAGATACATTACTAGTGGAAGTGGCCCTAACAGAGGACCCTGAGGGACTCCATTAAAACTTTTACGTACGTCAACAAACACATACATACAAATACTAGTGGCCCCAGGCGCGATCCTTGTAGATCACCAATCAAGATATATCTCGACGTCATTTGAAGTTAGCGACGTAAATATTTACTTGCTTAAAATCAGTTATATTACGAAAAAAGTTATCTTATTTTTACCTTTGAAGATCTCAGATTTTATTTTGGAACAGTATTTCTCGGCGTCAGGTTTCTTTTGCATGTTCTTATCACACGGATGGGTAGGAACGATATCAGGAATATCGTTGCACATTTCTTGAGTTTTCCATTTGTTAGCAAACGGTATGACTGCTTGCTCTACGTCATTTTCAGGTGTTAGGAAGTCGTCCTTTTGGTTGCTGTTGAAAGTTCCACATAACCCCTGAAATCCAGAACGACAGTTTTATTCCAAGAGTGTTACACTTAAGAGCTACAGTTACAGATATTTTAATACCTGTAAAACAGAAGTAATAGAAATGGGACTGGTGTTTATTTTGAAGTTCCTAGAATCCGAAGCCTTCTACTACATGTGATATAAGATCTTTACCATTGAATATCTATAGGAAGAACAGGAAGAACAGCATAGATTAGAATGAAAGTTACTGAGGGAGGCGTTTTGTGAATAGTAGTAAAGGAAGATATATCTGACAGAATGTAATCAGTCTTTCTGCTATACAGACTAACTTTTAGATCAATATATATATATATATAGCGATATCTTACCCTAGTTTTGCCCTTAAAGTCTGCCGGAACGTCAATGTAAACTCTGGTTACGCCATCCCACCAGATCTCAATTCCATTGAGCAATTTTGCTGGAAAAATATTATTAAAACGAACCCATTTTTGAAACATCTTCATTTACTTACTCATTAAGAATACTGAGGATATACTTCGGATATTCACGCCGCCAATGGTGTAAGGAATTTTGGTAATGTCTTCACCATTGACCACAATTTCATGGTTTTGCTTCAACTTGATAACTTGATCGTTCACCCTGATGGTTACTGTTTTGGTGCATGACGGCATTCCAACTGCCAGGCTCGCAGGGAAATTCATTGCCTAAATAAATTCAAAAAGAAAACTTAATGACGAGTAAGTTATATTAAGTATTGTTGCACATAAGCTTCATCGCTCCATGACTTGAGAGATTCCTAGTTTTCTTTCGATATAGGATTCGCTATCAATCAAAATGTCGTGTGTTCTAGAGATAATGGTTGTTTGGAGTGATGTTCGTGAAACATCTATTTTCAATAAGACCCATAAAGAAGTTAGGAGATCTAACGTAGGCAATTATGGCTTCATTGTTACATACTTTTGAGATGGATCCAGCACAAGGTACATTTTCAGCTTCGATAGAGAAGTTGTCAGCTTTCACCAAGTAGTACGAGCATTGACCCATGAAGTCGTATTGTTTCCCATCAAAGGTGACGTAATGTGGATCACCTACAGCTGAACACCGTGCTCCGCAAGCTACCTGTTGAAGATGTATGAAAAAATGAATGAATTTAGAAAATTTAGAAAATTTGGAAAATCTAAAAAATTTAGAAAATTTAGAAAATTCGAAAAAATCAGAAAATTCAGAAAATTCAGAAAATTCAGAAAATTCAGAAAATTCAGAAAATTCAGAAAATTCAGAAAATTCAGAAAATTCAGCAAATTCAGCAAATTCAGAAAATTCAGAAACTTCAGAAAATTCAGAAAATTCAGAAAATTCTGAAAATTCAGAAAATTCTGAAAATTCTGAAAATTCAGAAAATTCAGAAAATTCAGAAAATTCAGAAAATTCAGAAAATTCAGAAAATTCAGAAAATTCAGAAAATTCAGAAAATTCAGAAAATTCAGAAAATTCAGAAAATTCAGAAAATTCAGAAAATTCAGAAAATTCAGAAAATTCAGAAAATTCAGAAAATTCAGAAAATTCAGAAAATTCAGAAAATTCAGAAAATTCAGAAAATTCAGAAAATTCAGAACTTTCAGAACTTTCAGAAAATTCAGAAAATTCAGAAAATTCAGAAAATTCAGAAAATTCAGAAAATTCAGAAAATTCAGAAAATTCAGAAAATTCAGAAAATTCAGAAAATTCAGAAAATTCAGAAAATTCAGAAAATTCAGAAAATTCAGAAAATTCAGAAAATTCAGAAAATTCAGAAAATTCAGAAAATTCAGAAAATTCAGAAAATTCAGAAAATTCAGAAAATTCAGAAAATTAAAAAAATTAAAAGATTAAAAAAATCAGAAAATTCAGAAAATTTAGAAAATTTAGAAATATTGGAAAATTTGGAAAATTTGGAAAATTTGGAAAATTCAGAAAATTCAGAAAATTTAAAAAATTTAAAAAATTTAGAAAATTTAGAAAATTTAGAAAATCTAGAAACATTGAAAATCCAAATAATCTTGATATACTTGAAAATCTTGAAAGTTTTTAAAAATTTTGAGATATATGAAAAACTTGAAAATTTTTAAAAATGACGTCTTATATTCTGAGTATTTTGAAAGTTTTGAAAACTAATAATCAAATTTTGAAAATTTGGAGAATTTTCGAAGTTGCGTATTTTGAAAATTTAGAAAATAGAGGGATAAATTACCAAAGCTCATTAAAATCAAACGTCAGATTAATGTTATTTGTGAGGTCAGCCCTGATTGAAACTAAAAACTCTTCAAGTAGTATTACTTAGTTTTTGACCGTCCGAACGTAGACGGCCAAACATGGACAGCTGTTTCAACTTTTTGATAACTCGTCAGCATGGTCAATGCTTGGTCTCCCGAAAGACAGCAGCAGTTATACTTTATCCAGCATATTAGGTATATCGGTATCAGACAGTACAAAGTGCCACCTATTGTTATACTTCCAGAATCTGAGACACAGCGGCCAATTTGGTGACCGGCTGTCAAATACGAACAGTTTCAACAGAAAGCTTGCTGTTCCACTCTCGCAGTGGTGCCTTGTGATGTCTTATTCTGATAGATCTTATGACGTTATGGAGGAAACTGACCTCAGTGCAGACCCACTGCCCCTTATCACAGGTGCAAGTATTGCAATCCTTCGGTACGACTGCTCCAGGCGCGAAGGTCTTTCCTCTAAGCATGCAAGGGCATTTGTCCTTAGTGATGCATCTATCTTCATGCAGAACTGTCCCTTCAGGACAGAAACAGCCTTCCACACATTCCTCCTCATTCGCTTGTCCCACAAATGCACCACAACCTTCTTGACCCTTCGCTGGTCCACAGGATTTGTATGTCTTTCCTCCACTGCAGTGCATTGCTGAAAATAATTGTTTACTTCAAGGATAAATATGGAAATGTGGATGATCATGATTATTGCTTCATACTATCAAGAATCCAGGATGACCTATCGAGAAGATGGGGAAAAATTTCAAGGAGTGATTCTTTGGACTACTAAGTCCACTGAAAATTACTCTGGAAGTCTCCACTGGAGCTTTTTAAACAAATTCTTCAGTAATGGAAATAGTTGTGACAATCTTCTATGTACCATTTAGCCGTGACCAAGCACAATGTTTGGCATTAGACGCAATTTTCTGAAACATCAGAAACCAACCACCATCCTTTTTCAAATCTTCATCTTCGAAAAAGCAGACTTGGCTTTGTCGTTTGGTTGGAACATCAAAAAGGTTGATCGACATCAACAAAGTTTCTGGTCAGGACTTGATTCCTACCGTTGTACTGAAGAGATGGAGAACGGAACTTGCTCCAATTCCTTTCGTGTTTTCCAAATATATTACAAATTCGGCACTTGCCCAGAAAACTTGAAATTCATAGTACTATTCTCTGCAGATCCAAATCTCGAGTGTCTTTTGAACAAAGTTACTCCTGTCATGACTTATGCGTCGGTCAATAAGTAGGATACCCAAACGGTTCAAAGACTCATAACTTTCAAATGACTGCTGATTACACGCCCAACACTTGGCGCTCTTTAGAGACCTGTACCTTTGAGACAAAGCGGTATTTCGAAAATACTCACAGTAAAAAATAGTCTTAGAACAATGCAAAGAATTACACCTTGATTTTCGCCCAAAATTTCTAAAAAATTCACTTACGGCACGTATCACTATCTCTCCAGCTCGTAAGTCCTTGGACCCCTTTGTGAGTACACTCTCTTACAAAAACGTTGATGGTTTCACAAGCGCATACGGTTTTGTCGTTTTCCTTGCAGTTACAATAGTCGGATCTGCATGTGTCCAGCAAGATAGATGTGTCGATCAACTGAAAAAAGGAAGGAGCCAAGTTATGCTTATTTTGCTAATTGATACCCTTGAGTTACCTGTTGGCAAGCTGCAAATCTGGGTTTAGTAAGCAAACTCTTACAGAACTCCATTGCTTTGTGTTCCAAAGAATCGATGATTCCGGTATCTTGACAAACTGTATGTTCAGTGGGGTCTTCATCACAAACATCTGAAAAAAAAACACGGGATGCTGTCAGATTTACGAGTATTTTGGCTTTCATTTGTTAGTTGTACTTATGGTATGATGTTACTTATACTATACTAAGTGACATATAAATCCGAACATCCAGTTTAAATAGTTTTATTTTAATAAAAGTTGGTGAATGTATTTATCTTACTGTAAATAACAAGTGAAAAAATTTTCAGCCTTATCAGTTGGACATTCCGGTTTTTATACTGCTTTTTTTTAATTCACTAACGCTCTAAAAATGAACATTTCAGCCGCAGTAAAGAATCAACGTTGGCGGATTTTGGTTCTTGATATCCTTTACGATCGGTTAAGATGCCTAGAGTACGGAGACCTGTATGATTTCGTCAACTTAGTGAGTTTGATAGGGGCCGTAGAGTGGGACTTCGGGAAGCCTGACCTTCTTTTCGGGCAATTGCAGTTAGAGTGCAAAGAAGTGTAGACACTGTGGTTAGGTGTTGTCAGGCATGGCTTCGAGAAGGCCGTACGCAAAGAGCAAGGAGCACTGGACGCCGCCGTAGAACAACAGACCGTGAAGATCGCCGCCTAAGATTATTGGCCTTAAGGGACCGTTTCTCCACTACCAGGTCCATTGCAAATGAATGGTTTGCAGAACACGGAAGACCTATTGGCATGCGAAGTGTTTACCGACGAATGAGAAGTTTTGGCTTGTTTTCATACCGGCCACACTGGGTCCTCCCTTTAACTCGAGAACACCGACGTAATCGCCTTGAGTGGTGCAGACAACGGTCACTCTGGGATCAGGAGTGGAACAGTATTGTCTTTAGTGACGAGTCTCGATTTTGTTTAGGCATGCACGATGGTCGTGCCAGGGTTAGAAGGTGACGTGGTGAAAGGAGGAATCCACAGTTTTTTGTTGAAAGACATGTTCATCACACTGTTGGAGTTATGGTTTGGGGTGCTATAGCTTACGGTTCCAGGTCACCTTTAATCTTCATCAGAGGTAACATGAACGCGCAGCGTTATATCCACGGAGTTCTAGAACTCCATCTTTTACCCTATCTTGACACCCTGGCAGATCCAACTTTCCAACAAGATAATGCCCGACCACATGTTGCAAGAGTCACAATAGTCTTCTTTCAACATAATGATGTCACATTGTTACCATGGCCACCAAGATCTCCCGACTTATCCCCAATTGAGCACGTGTGGGATATGATGGGTGGGAGATTGCTCAATTTGCAACGTCCTCCTCAGACTCTAGAAGCACTTCGAGAGGAGTTGGTGGTTGCCTGGAATGAGATACCACAGGAGGACATTGACCACCTGATCAGAAGCATGCCTAGGCGCGTTGGAGAATGCGTAGCACATCAGGGTGCATCCACACATTATTAAAGGTCAAAGGGCTTTAAAGCAGTGCAATCATTTTGAAAGTTTTATCATTTACTTATTATGCTTCATTAAGTACTTATACAAAATTCTATTAAAATAGAACCATTTAAACTGGGTGTTCGGATTTATATGTCACTTAGTATATTTGGTATTAGGCTTTTATACACGTTGTCTTCGGATTTTATGATCAAATTTTGATAACTTGGAATTTTTCAAAATGTTCGAAATTTTCGGGATTCCAAACTTTCAATATTTTTCAAATTTTCCAAAATTTCAATATTTTGAAAATTTTCTTGATTTTCAATATTTTTAAAATTTTAAAAATCTTCAATGTACTCAAAATTTTCAATATTTTCAAGATTTCCAAGATTTTCGAAACGTTCAGTTTTCAAAATTTTCATTTTTAAAACCCTCAAAATTTTCGAAACTTTTAAAATTTACACTTTCGATATTACCAAAATTTTCGAAATATTCAACATTTTCAAAATTTTCAATAGTTTTCAAAATTTTGAATGTTCTAAACATTTCAAAAATTTTAGAAACTTCCAAAATCATAAAAATTTTCAAAATTTCCAGGATTTTTAAAATCTTAAAAATGTTCAACCTTTTAAACTTTCAAAATTAAATTTTCAAAACTTTCAAAATATTCAGAATTTTCAAAAATTTTGTTTTTTATACAGTTACCAAAACAAATCGTTGTTAAGTCTAAAATCTAATACTTTCTAAACAATTATGTCACAATAAGCAGTGAAAACTATAAAATTGGGTATACCGTCTATTGAATCAGCTTTCCAGCTTGAAGCAAACGTTGCGATATTCCTTGGCTTCTGGCCATAACTGGTCATGATGTCATTTTGGGGGTAACCATCTAATCTACCACATAAACCATCTGTTCTGTTCCATAGACTCTCCAGAACTTCAATTTGCACAAGTTGCTGAAAAAAGATTAGAGTTTATCCATCGACATGATCTTCAGTCTTATACTGAGTGACATGAAAAAAGAATACTCGTACCCAGTAACAATAATTTTTTTACAAAGATTGCCCAGGTATACCAACTAGTATATCAAGCTTTCAACTAATTCTCTCTTAGTCTTAGGTAAAGTTTAAAACGCACTTGTTGGAATATAAAAGTTTCATTTGGCATACGTTTTTTGAATTAGTAGAATTAATTGAGTAAATTTAAACACCCTGTATTTCGGAAGCCACGCATTTTTCGACCCATGTTTATATAGACTTTATGCATTAATTTTAAAAGTTCTATCGAATCTTGAAGTTATGCAACAATAAACTGAAACACCCTGTATAACAAAATTCCACACATGAGTAGACATCAATAGTATGAATTAAATAGCAGAGGCCCCAGAACTGATCCCTGTGGAACGCCACGTGAAACCATAGTAGAAGAAGAGACGCCCCTAACCTGCTTCCTATGAGCCAAGTAGCTTTCGGAAAATCAGATAGGTGTACTTCAGCTGGTCAACATGATTTTGTATTAAACGCTTTTGAGAAATCAATCATCAATAATAGTGTAAGTTACCTGCGATGATGTCAGTTAGATGAAACAAAGCTGAAGTGGGGCTATGACCAGCAAATCCCTAGTTATGTGGAGGAAACAAGTTACTTTGCTCTAATACTACCCACTAGTTGTACGCTGCTTTCTCTAATATCTCAGAGTATAAGCACAGCAAACGAAGAGTTTGCAGATGTTATGAGTGGTTGGATTTTTGACTTTGGCTAAAGGGATGACAGGACGAGTCCCGGTTTCAAGGCTCATATTAACAATACGTGTTAAATACAATAAAATTTCAGGTAAACAGTGTTCAAGTTCAATTATTTATCACTTCCTATAGCAGGTGACTTGATAGACGTACCTTTGTCCAAAATTTATCCAGGGGTCGTCATTCTAAATGCGAACTGAGTTACATCTTGCCTATCGTCTGTTCTTACAAAAAAGGAAAAAAAAACTACATTTTTATTTTGAGAGAGCTGGCTTAACCTAATCATTATGTCTAGAATAGCGAGATTGATCAGGGTTTGTGTGAGGCCTAACAAATTACCAATTATATTAACTTTTTCAGCGGTTGGAATGTTGTGAAATTTTGATCAATTACACATCCATACAAAAAATTGATGTAATAAATTTATTATTTCTGGGTGTCCTTTCTTCTATGTCATTTAATACATATGAGAAGCTTGTCTCCAATCTTCGTTTTGACAGCTCATCAAAACGAAACCTTTCCATACCTGTCCATCCCACTTGATCTTGGCTCCAACGCTGTCCAACAAGACCACGATGTAGTGTGCTGCCATCTCGACTCTGATGCCAGGTGCTTGGCCAGGAATGGGCATCACCTTATTTGGAGTAGCGAAAATGGGAAAACCTTCCGGAGATCTCTTCAAGATGTACTGTCTGTCTTGCAGGTAGATCTTGGTGATCACGTAGCAGTTGATCGGATTCAAGAAGCAGTCCTCATGGTTTTGGGTCACTATGCTGAACGTGTTGTCTACTGGTTCTCGTACCAGAAAATGGGCACATTTGGAAACGAAGCTGTGAAAAATAAATAGGGTGTAATAAATTTGTAAGTTTGTCTTTGGTGAAACACTTTAGTTTGTTTATTGTAAACTTTATTCTGTTTACTGTTTATTGAGATTCTAAATATCTTGTATAGGCGAAACAGGGGCAATGTTAATGTGAAACTTGTGATGGCTGCAGTAGAAATACCCAACCACTAAAATGGATTTAAGTATAAGAAATAAGTAGAGGAGGCAGATAATGAGAAAGTAAAAAAATATAGTAGCTTAGAATACGATAGGAAAGTAGGCCCCTTTAAACACTCAACAACGTACCAATATCTAGCTTCTATCACCTTGATTACGTACTACGGTTATGACTAAAGCGTTTCGTCCTATTTTCATGAATTACTAGCTTGCTATTGTCTCTTACCATTTTCACATTAAATATGAACCCGGTTTCTTTCTTTTTTTAACCCATTTATTATTATTATTTTTATTAAATTTGCCTTTGTTTTGGTTTTCCCCTTATAGTACCAGCACTTCAATTATATTTTAAGGGCCACTGGCAGGGTCGCCATGTAATGCATTGCGATCTTGTGGGCTTTTACTCCTTTAGTGAAACACCTTAATTTGTTTATAGTCAACTTTATTCTTATCTTTCTCGATACTTATTGCGACGTAGTTGCTCTGTTTACCGCAGCATTATCGGTGACCCATATTATTTGCAGTACCTAAAATTTGCTAACAAGGGGGCTCCCGTACTAAATTAAGCAGCAAAGATTTCGTTTTTGAAAAACATGTTTCAAATAGAAGTTGAATGAGTCTGAGGAAGATCCATTATCACATTTGTGTACCTTGAGTGAGGACTACAAAGGGGTGTCATTGGGCTGCTATGTTGTTTCCAGTCGCTGAAGGGTTAGATCAGAAAACCACAAGAGAACGACTGGTTAGTCACTTCCCGTGTATCACGACACATGAAAATACTATCCGATGGAAAAATCATGCCAAAATCTACTGATACTGTGGATGTAACAGTCTGACAAGTTATTGTCGTTGGACTTTGCTTGACTGGTATTACAACTGACGGTTCCCCCTTCATTGCTTGGAACCAACATGGCGGACGAGTAGATGTCTCTACCATAGAGCCCTACTAATACGCTTTAGTGTGGAAGCTATAAGGAAGTCCTTCAAAACTGAGATTAATATGTTTTGCCAGAATCATACAGAAAATCGAGAAACTAGAAGTTAGTACGCACATTCACCATTTTCACAAATCTTTGCCACAGATTTTACGCCAATACGCCTCAGTCTGGAAGCTAAGAACCTAGATTTTCAATACTGTCGGCCAGAATCATAGAGAAAAGGAAAAAACAAGAAGAATGCATTTTCTTTATTTTCACCGGTTTACTCAGTGTCTTTCAACATTTTTCACAAATGCTGGTCACTGATTATGCACTAATACGCTTCAGTCTGGAAGCTATAAGAAGGTGCTTTAAGACGTAGACCTTTAATATTGTTTGACAGAAGCATAGAGAAAATCGAGAAACAAGAATAACGCATTTTCTTTGTTTTTCCGGTTAGCTCAGTCACTTCAGTATGCGCTTTCACCATTTTTCACAAACGTTGGTAACTGATTATGCGCTAATACGCTTCAGTCCGGAAGCTATAAGAAGGTGCTTTAAGACCTAGACCTTCAACATTATCTGCCAGATGCATAGAGAAAATCGAGCAACAAGAATAACGTATTTTCTTTGCTTTTCCGGTTAGCTCAGTCATTTCAGCATGCGCTTGCACCATTTTTCACAAATGTTGGTCACTGATTATGCACTAATACGCTTCAGTCCGGAAGCTATAAGAAGGTGCTTTAAGACCTAGACCTTCAATATTGTCTGCCAGATGCATAGAGAAAATCGAGAAACAAGAATAACGCATTTTCTTTGTTTTTCCGGTTAGCTCAGTCACTTCACTATGCGCTTTCACCATTTTTCACAAATGTTGGTAACTGATTATGCGCTAATACGCTTCAGTCTGGAAACTATAAGAAGGTGCTTTAAAACCTAGACTCTCAATATTGTCTGCCAGAATCATAGAGAAAATCAAGAAACAAGAAGAATGCATTTTCTATGTTTTTCCGGTTTGCTCCATCAGTTCAGTATACGCTTTCACCATTTTTCACAAATGTTGGTCACTGCTTATGCACTAATACGCCTCAGTCCGGAAGCTATAAGAAGGTGCTTTAAGACCTAGACCTTCAATATTGTATGCATAGAGAAAATCGAGCAACAAGAATAATGCATTTTCTTTGTTTTTCCGGTTTGTTCAGTCACTTCAGTGTGCGCTTTCATCATTTTCACAAATGTTGGTCACTGCTTATGCATTAATACGCCTCAGTCTGGAAGCTATAAGAAGGTGCTTTAAGACCTAGACCTTCAATATTGTCTGCCAGATGCATAGAGAAAATCAAGCAACAAGAATAACGCATTTTCTTTGTTTTTCCGGTTAGCTCAGTCACTTCAGTATGAGCTTGCACCATTTTTCACAAATGTTGGTCACTGATTATGCGCTAATACGCCTCAGTCAGGAAGCTATAAGAAGGTGCTTTAAGACCTAGACCTTCAATATTGTCTGCAAGAAGCATAGAGAAAATCAAGAAACAAGAATAACGCATTTTCTTTGTTTTTCCGGTTAGCTCTGTCACTATAGTATACGCTTTCACCATTTTCCCAAATGTTGGTCACTGATTATGCGCTAATACGCTTCAGTCCGGAAGCTATAAGAAGGTGCTTTAAGACCTAGACCTTCAATATTGTCTGCCAGAATCATAGAGAAAATCAAGAAACAAGAATAACGCATTTTCTTTGTTTTTCAGATTTGCTCAGTCACTTCAGTATACGCTTTCACTATTTTCACACATGTTGGTCACTGATTATGCGCTAATACGTCCGGAAGCTATAAGAAGGTGCTTTAAGACCTAGACCTTCAATATTGTCTGCCAGATGCATAGAGAAAATCGAGCAACAAGAATAACGCATTTTCTTTGTTTTTCCGGTTAGCTCAGTCACTTCAGTATGCGCTTGCACCATTTTTCACAAATGTTGGTCACTGATTATGCGCTAATACGCCTCAGTCAGGAAGCTATAAGAAGGTGCTTTAAGACCTAGACCTTCAATATTGTCTGCCAGAGGCATAGAGAAAATCGAGCAACAAGAATAACGCATTTTCTTTGTTTTTCCGGTTAGCTCAGTCACTTCAGTATGCGCTTGCACCATTTTTCACAAATGTTGGTCACTGATTATGCGCTAATACGCCTCAGTCAGGAAGCTATAAGAAGGTGCTTTAAGACCTAGACCTTCAATATTGTCTGCCAGAGGCATAGAGAAAATCGAGCAACAAGAATAACGCATTTTCTTTGTTTTTCCGGTTAGCTCGGTCACTTCAGTATGCGCTTGCACCATTTTTCACAAATGTTGGTCACTGATTATGCGCTAATACGCCTCAGTCAGGAAGCTATAAGAAGGTGCTTTAAGACCTAGACCTTCAATATTGTCTGCCAGAGGCATAGAGAAAATCGAGCAACAAGAATAACGCATTTTCTTTGTTTTTCCGGTTAGCTCGGTCACTTCAGGATGCGCTTGCACCATTTTCCACAAATGTTGGTAACTGAATATGCGCTAATACGCTTCATTCTGGAAACTATAAGAAGGTGCTTTAAAACCTAGTCTCTCAATATTGTCTGCCAGAATTATAGAGAAAATCAAGAAACAAGAAGAATGCATTTTCTATGTTTTTCTTGTTTGCTCCATCAGTTCAGTATGCGCTTTCACCATTTTCACAAGTTTTTTAATGTTACCAGTTTGCCTAATCAGTTTAGCATGTGCATTCAACATTTTTCATAACCAGTCTACAATTATTTCGGGGAAATTTTCTAATGCGATTAGACTACCAGGCTATTTCTTCTGTATAAAACCTCAAAAACGTAGCTATTCATGGTATTCTTTAAGAAGTTGAATGTAGAAATAAATAATAAAGTAGATAATGACGAAATAACGTTCACCTGTATATTTGTGAATCGAATGTCTTGTAGTGAGATCCTGACCAGAAGAAACAGGTGCCTGGTTTCGGAAGTCTTTCTTTCACTTGAACAATTTGATGCTCGTTAATGCCATGATGACCAGGTTCGACGAAAAGAACGTTGCTCTGTGCACTGGGCGGAAGTGTCTGAAATATCAATGTTTAATTGCGGTAGATCATATATTATAAAGGACCTCGCACAAAACTTGTAGATAAAGTTTTTTAGTCGATTTGCCTGAAAATCCAGTAGGATATATTTCTCGCCCTCCAGAACAAAAGTTTATATGAGACTAAAGCGATCCGATTATTAGTTTCTGAGAAATAGGAGGATGAAGATGACCCAATTTGAAAAAATGGTAAAGGTGCTGGTTGTAGTTCTAAGACCAGATGAACGGAGAATGATTATCCTAGAAGGAATATTTCATTAAAAAGACCTTGCAGGAAGGTGTTGGAGAGTGACATTTTCAGCTTGCCAATTATCTCTGGAAAGTGGAATTTTGGAAAATGCAAATGTAGCAATTGTACTTGAGCATAATAATAATAATAATAATAATAATAATAATAATAATAATAATAATAATAATTATATACTAAGTGACATATAAATCCGAACACCTAGTTTAAATGGTTTTATTTTAATAAAAGTTGGTGAATGTATTTATCATACTGTAAATAACAAGTGAAAAAATTTTCAGCCTTATCAGTTGGACATTCCGGTTTTTATACTGCTTTTTTTTAATTCACTAATGCTCTAAAAATGAATATTTCAGCCGCAGTAAAGAATCAACGTTGGCGGATTTTGGTTCTTGACATCCTTTACGATCGGTTACGATGCCTAGAGTACGGAGACCTGTACGATTTCGTCAACTTAGTGAGTTTGAGTGGGACTTCGGGAAGCTGGACTTTCTTTTCGGGCAATTGCAGTTAGAGTGCAAAGAAGTGTATACTGTGGTTAGGTGTTGTCAGGCATGGCTTCGAGAAGGCCGTACGCAAAGAGCAAGGGGCACTGGACGCCGCTGTAGAACAACAGACCGTGAAGATCGCCGCCTAAGACTATTGGCCTTAAGGGACCCTTTCTCCACTACCAGGTCCATTGCAAATGAATGGTTTGCAGAACACGGAAGACCTATTGGCATGCGAAGTGTTTACCGACGAATGAGAAGTTTTGGCTTGTTTTCATACCGGCCACACTGGGTCCTCCCTTTAACTCGAGAACACCGACGTAATCGCCTTGAGTGGTGCAGGCAACGGTCACTCTGGGATCAGGAATGGAACAGTATTGTCTTTAGTGACGAGTCTCGATTTTGTTTAGGCATGCACGATGGTCGTGCCAGGGTTAGAAGGCGACGTGGTGAAAGGAGGAATCCACAGTTTTTTGTTGAAAGACATGTTCATCACACTGTTGGAGTTATGGTTTGGGGTGCTATAGCTTATGGTTCCAGGTCACCTTTAATCTTCATCAGAGGTAACATGAACGTGCAGCGTTATATCCACGAAGTTCTAGAACCCCATCTTTCACCCTATCTTGACACCCTGGGAGATCCAACTTTCCAACAAGATAATGCCCGACCACATGTTGCAAGAGTCACAATAGACTTCTTTCAACATAATGATGTCACATTGTTACCATGGCCACCAAGATCTCCCGACTTATCCCCAATTGAGCACGTGTGGGATATGATGGGTAGGAGATTGCTCAATTTGCAATGTCCTCCTCAGACTCTAGAAGCACTTCGAGAGGAGTTGGTGGTTGCCTGGAATGAGATACCACAGGAGGACATTGACCACCTGATCAGAAGCATGCCTAGGCGCGTTCGAGAATGCGTTTACTTATTATGCTTCATTAAGTACTTATACAAAATTTTATTAAAATAAAACCGTGTAAACTGGGTGTTCGGATTTATATGTCACTTAGTATATATAATCAAACCTACGCAGACCATACATAAATCTGAGGCACGTATTTTGCACCTTCTGAATCGGATCTCTACTTGCCTGATCTAAGCAAAACCCATAGACAAAATCGCAATAATTGAAATTGGAAAGAATTACGGATTCACAAATTTTTTTTTTAGTGATCTGTTTAGTATGCGTCTGTTATTATACAAAACTTTTAGAGAACAAAGTGATTTATGCATAAGATTTTTTAGGTGATCTTTAGAGAATCTAAAACTATATCGAGATTTTTCGTACTTTCAACAAAATTCAATTTTGAATTATTAGTCATTATATTGAGATCAGCTTTCAAAAACTCAGTCTTAGATTTGTTACGAAAAATCATTATACGCGATCTTTCCGGATTAAGTTTTAAGTTGTGACCTAATGAGAGATAGTTCAAGGTGTTAATGTCCTCATTTATACAATTTTCGTAATATTTGTAATCCTCAATATCAAAAAAACAATAAACCTGGGTGTCATCCGTGAAGGCCTGAACTTTACAAAACTTTAAAGACGTAAGGATATCAGATGTATAAATTAAAAATAACAAGGGGTCCAATATTGATCCCTGAGGAACGCCGGATAGGATCTTCGCTTTGTCTGAAAATGTGTCATTTGATAGAATTGATTCTGTCAAATATAATTTTAAAAGCAAAAATGCTTCCTGATTAAAGCCATAGTACTGAAGTTTAGCTACCAACACTTCATGATTAATGGTACCAAAAGCTTTTGAAAAGTCTAGAAGTACCAAAACTGAACTCATCTTTTTATCATTTGCTCTTAATATGTCATCGAGTACGTTTGTTAGACTGATGTTCCAAAATTTTTACGAAAACCACACTGAGTACCACGAATAATATTGTTACTCAAAAGTCATAAATTTGTTCGTACAACACTCTTTCAAATATCTTTAACAAAGCAGGAAGTATAGTTATCACACGAAGTTCGTTAAAACTTGATGGATTAGTTATTTTTGGTAATGGTTTTCCTATGGAGATTTTTCACTTGTCGGGAAAGTAGCTTGTTTCAATGGAACAGATTGTGTGTTAAACAAATAAACTCTGTCAGCTGGAAAACGTATAAATATAAAATAATAACAAGTCATTGTCTAATTGATCACTTGTCATTCACACGGCAAAAGGCTGTCGAGGCAGCCGAAACGTCACTAAACTAGCCCATTCAGCATTTGTGGTTCCATTTATTCGCCAGCGTAAAGTGGGATTAAAAGTTGCAACAATTTGTGCCAATGTTTACACTTGAGCTCCTTTCCTTTCATCTTCAAAATGAACATGACTTTGATTTCACCCTGTGGAGGTCAAAATGAAATACAAGGAAATAACCACTTACATTTCTGTGTCATTGAGAATCAAACTGTTCTATTCAGGACTCTGAATTCCCAAACAACTTGTGTCAGATCTATTGCAGAATTAATATATAACTCTTCAAGTTGCCCGTGAATTGATCTTGTAAGGATCATGAGAAGGTGTTTCAACTAAATACTATTTTCAGTAAATCTAGTTTTCGGATTGAGAACTACATTGGGCATTCACCATTTTTTGCAAATACGGCAAACTATTACGAGGGATGTCTTTTAAGTTTTGCATATAGAAACATAGTAGGCCGCGCGGATCGAACGTCAGTACTGAATCTTAACCTCACTCTTTAGTAAACTTAAATTCTAAGTTTCACAACAATAAGTGCAGTGTTCTCACTACAGTGAATTTTTAAGAAAAATGGAACTCAACCGAGAACATTTTCGCGCCATAATTCATTACAACTTTCAAAGACAATTATCGCAACAAGAATGCCTTGCTGAGTTACTGTCTGTTTTCGGCAACGAAGCGCCACATCAGTCGACAATTTCCCATTGGTATGGAGAATTCAAACATGGACGGGTGAGTCTTAGCGACGATCCCAGGATGGCTGCACCAAAAACGGCAGTCACGCAGGAAAACGTCGATGCTATGCGCAAAGTCATTATTGAAGATAGACTTGTGACATATCGCGAGATTGAGGCGTCCTCAAAGACCTCAATTCAAAAAATTTTACATGAAGAACTAGGAGAAAGAAAATTAGTTTCTCGTTGGTTACCCCACCTGTTGACTGAAGAGCAGAAAGCAGCCAGGGTTAATTGGTGTCGAAAAACACTTGACCGCTTCAATTCCGGAAACTCAAAAAATGTGTACAGCACTGTTAGTGGTGACGAATCGTGGATTTACTGTTACTGAAAAGCCAATAAAAGTCATCCGTTCTCGCAATATTTTTAGAAAAAGATGGTCACGACATTTGTGTCAAAAGCGGATCATATTGCAACAATTCCCATTAATGGGCAAAGAACTGTTACTGCGGATTGGTATACGACCATTTGTTTGCCAAAAATCATCACCGAGCTTCGAAAAATCAACCCCGAAAGAAGAATCGTCCTCCGCCAAGACAATGCAAGCTCGCACACAGCCCAAAAAACAATGTATTAATCTTCGTGGAGAATACTTAGCAAAACAATAAAGTCATTTAAAACTACCTGCCGTGTTGTTTTATTTCCATATGCAAAACTTAAAAGACATCCCTCGTATCTGATTTATCATAAACTACTGGATCGATGAGAACTTTTGTTCAGGAAGGTGAGAATAACATGCTCAATTTTTTGACAAATCGGCTAGCGCCGATTTTCCATATGTTTGGTGCGGAGTCCTTTGGTATTTAAAGAGGTAACTTCTATGAAGCTGGGTGTATGCGGTAGGTACTCACTGGTTGAACAAAGAAGGGATTATTATCATAAGGGATATGGCTGAAGACAGTATAGTTGCTAGCTGGTATTTCGAAGACGTGAGACTCAGGGACCATGATGACGTCGACATGCTCAGCTGAAAAGGAATGCATTTTTATATAGACTGAAACCCATCTGAAATGTAGTAGCATCATCTAGTAGATAGGAGCAGAACCAAACACAAATCCTTTTCAAAGTATATTTCTAAATTCACTTTTGTGTTCTGCTACTGTCTTACAGGTGGCGCTAGAATCTTTCAGAACCCATTTTGGATGCCAGAATATACAAGGTGACTTTGAGGTTGAGTCATTAATTTTCAGATAATGATTGTAGAAGGAAGATAAACCAAAATATGTGTGTAAAAATAAAAAAAAAATACAAAAAAAAATGTTACCTTGTTTTATAAAGTATCCTCCCGACAAGTATTTCAGTGCGGACCTGTATTTGATCGTGCGGTCTTGGAGCACCGGCATGCCCTCCCCTGTGAGGTCTTAAGTCACCTGATTCACGAGCCCGTTGTACTACATTAACAAAGGCACGAGGGGTTGGTTGCACTCGATTGGGAAACTGATCCGCATAAATCGTGATGCCGCGGCGGCATTTTGTAAAGACTCCCCCCCCGTAAATAAGAATCATGTCCACAAGTTCAGCATTTTCGTAAACATGTGCCATTTTTTATTTCGTTTGAGCCACCCAACAAACACCACTATTCACTCACGCGTTACCGACTGACACATTGACTGAATACAACTGAATAAAACATCGTGAGAAGCGTTTCAAATTCATTCGCTTTTTTGTTTCCGATGCGATGAACCGATAAGGCGGATTATATCCGTTGTTGCCAAACACGAGCACATAATATTATTATTGAGACAGGGCGGTACTCAAACTTCTAAAGGGCTATAACTTTGTTACTTTAATTTTACCAGAAAAATGTTAAAGGAAAAAAACATTTCTTTTGATCAGATCTACTAAAATAAATGACTCAACTTCGAAGTCACCCTGTAACATACGGTTGTCTATCTCTGGTAGAATACGTTAATCTATGCTAAAGATGTGTTTCAAGAGATGCAATTTCTAATCACATTTTCTTTTGCAGAATTTTCCTGTTCTACTAAAAGGAAATATGCTCTAAAGTCTCTAGATGCTTTTCGCGATAGTTTTCTATTCGTAAATTTCTATGCCTCAGAACCAGACTAGGTCAAGTCCAAATAAATAGTTTCGAGATAATTGAATTTTTTTTGTATGCGTCTTAACATGATTTATAAAACGACGTCAAGTAGACTGACTCTATCCTTCCCACGCATTCGACACAGCTACTAGTACAACAAACGCACGTTTTGCCTATTTGGTTTTTTTTTTGACAAAACGTTTTCTCAGAAAATGTTTAATTACTGATTATACCAGCTCTGGTTGTACTAATATACTATACAGGGTGGAGCATCGATAACGAAACAGACGCATCTACTCGCAGCACAGTTTTTTTTGTGGAAAAACGCTCATACCCGTCGATTTTGTTTTCGAGGGGGACACAAGTTTGGCAAAAAATCACGTTAGCACGTGCAGCCCCCTGGGCGGGGGTGACACCAACCCTAAAATCTTAAAGGAAGGGGCGGTCGAGTGATACCTTATTTTAAAGGTCTTTCAATTCCCTTTATAATGATATAAAATACATGAGCTTCAGTTGAGTAGTTTTGAAGATTTCTTGATTTAAAGCTTAAAGTAGACTTTAATAGGTACATCAGATTAGTTTGTACTACTTTCAGAAGAAATTTGACTAAAAGAATTTACTTAATAAGTAAATGCTTTTCTCGACTACGCCCATGGTTTGTTTATCATTTTGGTGTTGAAAATAGCTATTAGAGCGCTTTTTTATGGAAAAAAGTTACTTCTTGAAGAAAGATAAGGAAATATTTCGTACTTATTTTAAATAGGAATTTAGTACATAGTTTGCGATTGATTTCACCAAACTTTGTTGCTAAAATAACTTGTAACGCTTTATTACATAAATTAACCATGGCATATTCCACAGCAGAAAGAGTTGAAATTATCGAAATATTTTATTGCTAAATTTCGGGAAACGGGGTCAGTCGCCAATAAAAAACGCAACATTGAAAATCCCATAAGGAACGAAGCAATAGAAGTGGAGGTTTTAGGGCAAGTTTATGTAGATCCTATGTTAAGTACCCGCAAATTGGAGATTGTGTGTGGTGTTATTCGACGCACTGTCCAACGGATTCTAAAGGCCCATAGTTTTCATCCGTATAAAATTCACCTGGTACAAGAACTTAATGAAGACAATTTTGATGGGCGATTACAATTTTGTGAAGATATGAGTGAACGAATTATAAACGATGAACATTTTCTATTCAACACTTGCTTTTCCGACGAATGTTCCTTTTTCTTAAATGGCGTAGTAATTCGTCATAACTGCCGATATTGGTCCGATTCTAATCCCAGAATTTATCATGAGGTTCATACACAGCAGCCACCAAAATTAAATGTTTGGGCTGGTATTTTTGGCGATAATTTAGTTGGTCCTTTTTTCTTACCTGAAAATTTTACCGGTGAAATGTATTTGGAATTATTGGAAGACGCCATAGATCCTGCATTAACAGCCATAATTGAAAATCAGGGGTCATTTAAAAAGCAAAATCTGTGCTACTCAGCCAACATAAATAGGAGACCTGCGACAAAGAAATGTGTGCCTTCAAATTACTCCTCAAATATTGCAAAATGTGCGGCAACGTTTTGAGCAAAATCTTTATTATTGCATGGAAAGTCATGGTGGCCATTTTCAAGATTTACTTGCCTAACGGGTCAGTTCATTCTTCACTTTTAAATTACTTGGCTACGAAATGTATTGATCTCCACTAATGATGATGTATTAGTGTTATTTGCTCTTCAAATCGATAAATCTTCAAAACTACTGAATTGAAGCTCATGTATTGTACATCATTATAAAGGGAATTGAAAGACCTTTAAAATAAGGTATCACTCGACCCCCCCTTTCCATTTAAGATTTTAGGGTTGGTGTCACCCCCGCCAAGCTTCTGTCAAAATTCTGTCATCGAGGCCGGCCTGCGATTTTTTGCTTTCCCTGATTACCAAACTCAACTTTCTTCAGTTTTGAAATTTTGTTCTCCCATTTCTCGTACAAAATTCTTCGTAGAATCCTATAAAAATGTCTAAGGGTGACTCGGGAAATGATAAACCAGCTTCTCCATCAGCCTACTTAATTCCTAGTCCTCTTATCACGAAACGAAACAGAACTCCCTCCATGTGTGAGAGGATACTGAAGACTAAGAATTTGTATGGTACTATAAAATCATTTTGCAGAGAAAAAGGCCATGGCTTTATCACCCCTGAAGACGGTAGTGATGATCTCTTTGTCCATATATCAGATGACCAGAAGGTGGAAATCATACAAAAATGCAGCCTTTTCAGACTTTTTGGACAGCAACACTCCATTGTGTGATCAGCAGAGACTACACAGTTAAGCAAGCTTAAAAGCTTAAAAACCACAACTCACAATTTCCCCGATATACGTAAAGTCTGGTTTTATTGGTGCAGGTTGTTCAGGGGGGTATTTGAAACATTGTAAAACGTAGGTGGTAGATGGTCTCTGACTGTCGAACGCGGAGGTACCACCCGGCGGTTCTCGTAGGCGGAGCCAGAATGTGTGCATGTTGCGTGCACACGTGTTCCCTCGCCAGAGTCCGTGTGGCATCCCCCCCTTTCCCATGTATCCCCCTATAGCCCCACGGTACCCAATGCGTGCTTAGGCCTTAGGCCTTCGTGGTAGTTGGAGTATAAAAAAAAAAGGGGGCTGCACATGTTAACGTGATTCTTTGCCAAACTTGTGTCCCCCTCGAAAACAAAATCGACGTGTCGGAGCATTTTTCCAAAAAAAAAAAAACTGTACTGCCAGTAAATGCGTCTGTTTCGTTTTCGATGCGCCACCCCGTATAATATTACCTCTCGACGAACGACGCCGTAACAGTTCTTTCTACCTACTTTTGTCACTCTACCAAAGATGCGTGCCCAATCGGTAGCCGGTCCATCTGTTGAAAATATTTTTCTAAGTTTGTGAGGCGAAACTTATGTTGTGCGACCGATTTTCAAAAACTACAAAGTTGTTTGGTGCTTGGCATTGTAGTAAAATTGTATAGGCGTTTCAAAATAGGTACTGCTCACCTTCCAAGGATTGGCGGACAAATGGGCAGACCGACAGACATAACATACAAAGAAGATATCACATTTTTGAAAATTTCCACGATTGTAATAGTTCCCTGCTCGTAGGCGTGCAAAGTAAAAGTCGTAAGTTCCATATTATTACAGGTAGGCACCCGCTACAAGTAAAACATCAAAATTCATGACACAAACATAAACATAACACATACGAGTAAAAATCGTTTTAGGCAAAACATGGACTTGACCTAGTCTGGCTCTGAGGTTTAGATTCTTAGTAGCTTGACATTTTGATGTGCAGCTAGATATATTTGGAGTTGGACTTACCTCTGAGCGTAGTTGCACCACATATCTAGCTACTAAATTATGTATCTTTGTGGACTTACGATAGATGCACTTAGGTACAGGGATGGGCTGGAATATTCCAGTGGCGTAGTAGCATGTGTAAGCTGCTTCAGGCTGAAACTCGAATTGAATCCCTTCTGGACAGTGAATTGAACAGCTAAATGATTCTGCGTTTCCGGAGCAGTTGTACCCGGCATTAGTTGGCAGTTTCTTCGCGCTACATTCCTCCACATCTGCAAGAAATTACGATCTCATTCAGAGCCCCTAAATTTTTTATAATCACAGAAAAAACTTCTGAGTGGATGAAATAAGATTATAAAATTGTCCGAAAAGTATTTTACTGACCCCTTGTGATGAAATTTAACTGCTACTTTTTTGTTTCGAACTTTAAATTTCACTGGTCAACAGCCAAAAAATATCCTAAATAAAATCAACAAAATATTACTATTTTTAATGTGCTAAAACCGGAATGAAACTTATTTTTTCAATATTAGTTCAAGTTTTAGATATACGGTAATTATATGTGTTCCTGCTGTGACAGTGTTAATATACTGTAATTCACAAGAATGCACGTGCTACGTTTTTATATTCGGCAAGGAAAGATGATGTAATCGGCATGATTGTGTTACGTTATACATACGTGTACATTATATTGTTTTATATTAGCCATTTTTTCTTCAGTTGGCTGGCTGCGTTCATGCAAGATGTCTCGAAAGTGTGTAAACAATCCAGATCAGTTTTGTTACGTGTGTGGTGATGTGACTTTTGCGTCTCAGAGACGGTCTATTACTCCACTAATAACAAAGGCATATCAGCTTTATTTCGGTTGTAAACTAGGTGATCAAGACAAACAGTGGGCACCCCACATCTGCTGTAATACATGTGCTTCAAGTCTGAGGAGCTGGTTAAATGGCAAAAAACGGTCTATGCGCTTTGCTGTCCCAATGGTTTGGAGAGAGCCTACAAATCATATTAATGATTGTTACTTTTGCATGGTACCTTGTGTTGGACAAGCCACAGGTATGTCCAAGAAAAAAAATCAGTTATTAACTACCATCTGCGATGAGACCTGTGCCTCACAGTGACGAAAATCCTATTCCAAAACCCCCAGAATCCTACACTTGCGAATCAGAAAACGAATCAGATCATGGAGATCGAGTGATTCGTCAGGAAGAAGATATGCCATCAACGTCAAGAGATCCTGATTTTATACCGAGCACGTCATGCCACCAACCGCACAAAATAACACAGTCAGAATTAAATGATCTTGTAAGAGATTTAGAACTTCCAAGATGTAAGGCAGAGTTACTTGGATCAAGACTGCAGCAGTGGAACTTGTTAGAAGACGATGTTTCGGTATGTGTTTTTCGTAAACGCCACAAAGACTTAGAACCATTTTTCAATATGGAGAATAACTTGGTTTTCTGCAGTAATATTAACGGCTTACTGGCAGCTTTAAATATAAACTATAACCCAGAAGAATGGAGATTGTTTATAGACAGTTCAACATTGAGTTTAAAGGCAGTGTTATTGCATATTGGAAATATTTTACCATCTCTTCCTGTAGGGTATGCAGTTCACATGAAAGAATCATATGACAATATGAAGTACCTATTGACATGCATAAAATACGATGAGCACCAATGGCATATTTGTGGCGATTTGAAAGTTGTTGCACTTTTACTTGGGCTGCAGCTAGGCTACACAAAGTTTTGCTATTTTTTGTGTGAATGGGACAGTCGGGCAAAGGCACTTCATTACACCAGACAAAACTGGAATGTTCGTCAATTCCTAGAGCTAGGTCAAAAAAAATGTACAGCATATGCCATTAGTAGATTCGAAGAAAATTTTATTACCACCACTGCATATCAAGTTGGGCCTAATGAAAAACATTGTCAAGGCATTAGATAGAGATGGGTCAGCTTTTCAATACCTGCGTCAGAAATTTCCAAGACTAAGTGAGGCAAAGGTTAAAAAAGGTATTTTTGTTGGGCCACAGATTCGAAATATTTTGAAAGATACACAGTTTGAAAACACTTTAACAGGTATTGAAAAAACTGCTTGGAATGATTTCCGTCTGGTGTTCACTAATTTCTTGGGAAATAGAAAAGCTGACAACTATAAAACCCTTGTCAAAAATAGGCTGTCATCGTATCAAAAGATGGGCTGTAATATGTCTCTTAAGATACATTTCCTACACTCACACCTGGACCTTTTCCTGACAATTGCGGAGCCGTAAGTGATGAGCACCTCGAACGTTTTCATCAGGATATTTCAACAATGGAAAAAAGGTACCAGGGAAAGTGGAATCCTTCCATGCTTGCAGACTACTGTTGGACTCTTGGTAGAGATGCTCCAGAAACGATCCATAAAAGAACAGCAAAAAGACAGATATAGTGATTCTTATAAGTTACTTTTTTTAATATATCCTTAAATATAAAAAGTTTTTTTTATAAACCGCAACTAATTTTTTTATTGCATTGTCATTTTTGGATTCAGCGCCCCAAAATTAACAAAGAAGTGCACTTTTCCCACAAGATACTCGTACAATTAAAAAACTGAAATTTGTTGTCCAGTGTTAATATGAAAATAAAATTTAAGAAAATAAAATTCAAACACGCATTATTTTATCTGCGCGTCTAAATTTAAACTGTTCCTAATTTCGCAGGATCTATTTTGGGATTGTAGTGGGTGGAAATGATAAGATACGGAACTTACGATATTGACATTGCGGTCCTCTGTAATCTATCGGACATTGGCACGCGTTGAAAGATAGACAGTTTCCTCCATTTTGGCACGGTGGATCGCAAATGGCTGAAAATAATACAAAAAATAAACATTTTCGAAATTAACACGCACTATCTTGATATTTGAAGATTTTGCAAATTTTGTGTATTTTCACAATCTTGAAAGTCGTACATTTTGAGGATTTTGAAATAGTTGACAAGTCTGAAAATATCGAAAATTCCAGATGTATTGAAAATTTTGAAAATCGGAAATTTTAGAAATTTCGAAAATTTTTTAAATTTCTAAACATTTGGAAATTTTGGAAACAGAAAATGTTGAAAATATTTAAAATTTGTAAAATGTTTGGCGCGGTGGATCGCAAATGGCTGAAAATAATTCAAAATATAAACATTTTCGAAAATACACACTATCTTGATATTTGAAGATTTTGCAAATTTTGTGTATTTTCACAATCTTGAAAGTCGTACATTTGAGGATTTTGAAATAGTTGACAAGTCTGAAAATATCGAAAATTCCAGATGTATTGAAAATTCTGATGATTGGAAATTTTAGAAATCTGGAAAATTTTTTAAATTTCTAAACATTTGGAAATTTTGGAAACAGAAAATGTTGAAAATATTTAAAATTTGTAAAATGTTTGGCGCGGTGGATCGCAAATGGCTGAAAATAATACAAAAAATAAACATTTTCGAAAACACACACTATCTTGATATTTGAAGATTTTGCAAATTTTGTGTATTTTGACAATTTTCAAAGTTTTACATTTTGAGGATTTTGAAATAGTTGACAAGTCTGAAAATATCGAAAATTCCAGATGTATTGAAAATTTTGAAATTTTGAAAAATTTTTATATTTCTAAAAATTTGGAAATTTTGGAAACAGTAAATGTTGAAAATATTTAAAATTTGTAAAATGTTTGAAATCGTGGAAAATAAAAAATCTGAAATTTCCGAAAATTTCGTTGTATAGTTTGAAGATTTTGTTAAACATTTTGAGTTTTGAACATATAGCAAATTTTTGATATTTTGAAATTTCTGGAAGTTTTTAAAATTTTGAAAATCTTGGAAACCATTTGAAATTCAAAAGATTTTGAAATTGTTGATGTCTGGAAATTTTGAAAATTATGGAGATTTCTGAAATTTAGAAAACTTGAAATTCTGAAAAATTACACAATTTTGAAAATGCTAAAAATGTTGAAAGACTCGAAAGTTTTGAAATATCGAAAACTTTTAAAACTGAAAATCCTGAAAACCTTGGAAATTTATAGTGATTGAAAATTATGAAGATTTTGAGTATGGATAAATTTTGATATTTGAAAATTTTGATAATTTTGTGTATTTTGACATTTTTGAAAGTCGTACATTTAGAGGATTTTGAAATAGTTGACAACTCTGAATATATCAAAAGTTCCAGATGTTTTGAGAATTTTAAAAATCTTGGAAACTGCGAAGATTTCGAAAAGTTTGTAAATTTTGAAAAATTTGTAAATTTTGATGAGTTAGAAAATTTTGACAATTTTGGAAACTGGAAATGTTGAACATATTGAAAATTCGTGAAATTTTTTAAATCGTTGAAAATGAAAAATCTTTGAAATTTCCTAGAATTCCTTTGAGTTTTGAAAATATTGCAAATTTGACAAATTTTTGATATCTTGAAAACTGGAAGTTTTCAAATTTTAATGATCTTGGAAATTTTTGGAATTTCTAAAATTTCAGAAACTTGGAATTCTGAAAAATTACACAATTTTGAAAATTCTGAATACCTTGGAAATTTATAGGGATTGAAAATTATGAAGATTTTGAGCTTTTGATAGAAATTTTTTGTGAGTTTTGAAAGCACCGCGATTTTGATAATGTACAAGGTTTTAGAAATTGTGACTTTTTTAAATACATACGCTGGCAATCTGGAATGGTAACCCATTTGTCTTTGGTAGGAACCCACATCCCGTTGTTGCAGACCATCTGAGCTATGTCAGAACCATCTGGGAACTTGTGACCAGTCACACACTCCACAGTACATTGTCTAAAAGCAAATAGTTATAAGAAACATTCCAAAATTATTTTGAAAACTACACTCACTGAGTTTTGCAAATTCTCTTTGAGTTCAACGGCATCGGTGGAAGGTTCAGACACGGCTTGTTTTCGAACTGACATTGAGGCCCGGAAAAGTTCTCATGACAACTGCATTGATTTGGGGCTACGCATATGCCGCTGTTTTGGCAAGGCGGAAGACAAATTGCTAGAAGAATAAAAACATTTTATCACTTAAGACACATTCAATTGTTGTATCAGGAAAAATCTAGGCACTGGTAACAGAACTAGGGAGTAAGTTAAAATTGACAATACTAGTATGAGGCTTTCATATAATTCGACTTCATGATACTGTTCACATGTAAGTTAAATGTAAAATTTGAATCAAATATAACACCTAAATTCTTAGGATTATCAAACATGGAATATTAGTGTCGTTGATAAATGAAGAGGCCCGATCTGTGATATTGTAATTCAATATTTAGGACAGTATGGTATCGCGGAAATCAATTGATTCGGAGAGAGTGTCCATTACAATACATTATAAAGATCTTTGTCGATTTTATACGATGCTTCACGTAAGCTGGATTCATTCAAAAGAACTGTTAATTGCGTATCATCAGCATAAATTTGAATGTAACAATGTTCTATACATTCACGTAGATTAAACGTTAATGTAGGAATAAAAGATTTCCCAGTACTGAGCCCTGAGGAACTCCTAGATGTTTTCACTTTTTGGGTGCGTCAGCTAGGAAGAATCTGAAGAAATTCAACGGAGCTTCTGACATGGCATAATACAAAATATTATTGGCAAAATACTCAAGGAGCTGTTGTTATAGTATCTTTAGGCTCTTAGACGCGTCTTTTGTTGCCGTTGCATCCTGAAAGAGACCATTATTTTTGCAAAGAAGACTCACGTTGACATGCTACAACATCTACAAATCCTCCTTCAATCAACCAGTTTCCGTTCGCGCACGTGTACGTGAGCTGGGTGTCTCCAGTTGCGAATTGGTAGTTAGGTTGACAGGTAACTTTGCAACCGCTGTAGCTGGAGCACATCATTTTTGAATTTGGCGGTGTCGGAGGCTGGGATATACATCCTAAAACATCAATTTGTTTTGTACTATCAATAAAAAGACATAATTTTCCAATACTCTTACCTCCAGCATAACCGCGTGATCCAGTGTGAAAAGTATTCTTGGAACTGCTATAAGACGTCTTTGTTTTTGTTTTTGTCTTATAGTGGTAGTCTGTCTTATAAGGAGATCTGGAATCATATTAAGAATACTTCATTTCGAAATTTTGTGATGATATGTTGATGGTACAAATAAAATGGAGAGCACCGATTTAATCATGTGTGTGTGTGACAGTCCTTTCGACCAACTAAAAAGGTTAATTTCGAAACCATATCAATTTGTTTACAGTTTTGACTAGAAGTTCAAGAGGGATCTCTGATTTTATGCAATGTTCTCGAAGTAGAATTACATTCTAGTAATATAATTTTCGTCCGTCTGATCACAGAAGGCCAACCATAGACAACTGTTTCATCCTTTTTGGCAACTTATCAGCCTGGTCTAGGCCTGGCTAGGTGGACAACGAACGAAAACATAGCAACTTTCCTCTATCCAGAATACGAGGTCTATCGAAATAAGACTGCGTAAAGCGCCATCTAAAGGGTTTTCCATTAAGGACTTGATAACTTTCTTTTTAAATAAAACGTAACCCTTTTGAGATATCTTGAAAATTTTATTACTGGATTGAAGTATACTCAAAACACTGATTTAATTTTCAAAGACTCGGCCACACATTTCGACAGAAACGTCCGCTATCTCTCGTTCAATACTGGTTCTGAGCTCCTCTAACAACGCCGGCTTTTTGGCATAGACCAATGATTTAATGTAGCCCCACCAAAAAGTCTAGAGGTGTTAAATCACACGATCCAGGCGGCCATTCGACAGGACCATTTCTCAATATAACACGTTCAACGAATTTTGATTTAAATGTGTCGATTGTTTCACCCGCTGTGTGGCTTGAGGCACCATCTTGTTGAAACCACACATTACTAATGTCTAGCCCAACCAATAAAATAAAAAAAATACGTTGCAACATGTCTCTGTAACGATCTTTGTTGACTGTAACGTGACTGACATTTTCATCAACGAAAAAACACGGCCCAATGACACCACCGGCATGTAAACCACACCATAGTTATTTTTTGTGGATGAAGTGGTGTTTCTTGGAGTACATGAGAGTTTTCATCTGACCAATAACGGATATTCTGTTTGTTGACGAATCCGTTTAGGGGCCGTTCAAGTATTACGTAAGCAGATTTATTACAATTATTTACCCCTTCATCTCCCTTGTCAGCAAAAGTAAGCTAAGCTCTTACCCCCTCCCCCCATGCTTACGTAAACATTTATCAATTAATGTATTATTTTTTAATATTATAATTATATCGTTATAATTATAATTTGAAAAATAAGAAAATAGATTTAGGATAGAGATTAGTGTTGTGAGTTTGCTCGCTTTCATCGGATTTTAGAATGTCTACGTCGTTCTCATCGGGCCATTCAACATGATGGTGCTCTAAATTTTGAATAATGCACATCAGTTCATTAACACGACGAGCCGCGACTCTTACAGGTCTAACTTTCCTATCAGTGTGCGTGTTTACTTTTTTATGGATATTTTCGATGTGACGATTTAGTGACTTGACGGAAGCATGATAAAGACCACACGTTTTGCATGTTCGACTTGATAGCCTCAATTTTACTGTCGGACAAAGATAATCGTAGGGCATTTGCAGGAAATCTTTGAGTGAAGCACTTAAGCGTAGAGCTAAATTGACTGGGAGATTAAGAAATTGCCCTTCTTCATCCAAAACCAAGTCATCAACTGTTTGTTTTACTTTTACAGGTAGTGGAAGAAACCTAATGTCTAGTAATCTAAATAGGCCACTTCTTGGAGGACAGCATTTTACAATTTGAAGCAAGTAATTGGCTCTCCGGCACATGTTCTGAATCCCATTTAATGTCTGGAAAATCAGGAAGATCTTGTTCACTTGCCCCAACATATTTTGCATTAATATTATAGCCATCAATTTCCATTGAACTCCATACTTCAGCTAATACATTTCCTGCAAATTCGAAATTAGATCTATCTAAATGTTCATCAATTGTAACGCCACATTCATCCAAATGAGACCCAAAATGGTTAAGAGGCAATATTAAACCAGACAGTTCCCGACTAAGAGGAGCCATTCTGCGTTCTACTCTGTTATACGCACTTCTTCCAGGAGCATTGGTAGCTAAAAACAATGCATCGAGATCATGTCGCTTAAAGTGTTGTATAGCAAACCCTATGACTTGTTAATAACGTGGATTTTCATCTAGCCCTCCATCAACCGTCATGATTACCACTGGTTTTACTAGTCCATGGTCAGTTTTAGCTAATGGTAGAAACTCTTCAAGTTCGAGAAGCGTCTCGAAATCCTGAGCATGAGTATTAGCAGTAGATGAACTATGCTTTCCACTTCGAATATCGATGTATGTTGGTCCAGAATATCCAACGGTTTGCGGTTGTCCTAGCATATTGGAAGTGATTTTGATACCAGCATAAACAGATGGTATTAATTTATGACGCTCAGCGATTACCCAATCGTGATCAGGCAATTTGATTCTATATTCCATGTGCATTAGAAGAGGTGCTTGCTTATTTGCCGCAGTTACGCCAATAGGAACTCGAGCTTTATCATCTTGAGATATGAAAAACACTTGATCTGGTCCAAGTATGCATGCTATGTTCTCTAAATAATGGATTGATGTTTCAGCGAACTTTCTTTTTAAGTGGCTCTTGTAGTGAACAGTTTGAGCCCGTATGAGCTTAACAGGGACTGTCGATACATGTCTTCGTCCCTCTGCAGAATTAGATTTTCTGGGAATCAAACCAAGATATGTCCAATTGCGACTAATGTCAAATTCTATTTTACGTAATTCTTGTGTGAGTTCTTCAAGAGTTTTTACGCTGGGAATTGATTCCGTTCGTCTTCTATCATCTACTGCACTCCCAAATAAAGCTATATGCGCGATTGTTTTCAATAGTGAATGTTGATTGCTTTCAAGATTAGGACGTCCCACTGAATCTCTCAGAGATAGTATTTTTTTTATTTCTGGATTTTCATGACAAATATCTTCTAACTTTCTTTTCATACCATCCCTGTGTCTATTCTGGGCAACTGCGTTTTGAGCCTTCCTGTTTAAAGACTGTTTTGCTGTTTTTATTTCCTCGCGCAACTTAATGATCTGTTTATCAACTTCAGCACGGCTTGGCATAGTATCTCTAGCAGAATACAAAGCATTCAGATGTTTTTCGAGTAGAGCAATCTTATTTTTCATAGCTTCCTGAGAAGGTTTTGCTCTCTGTTTATCTGTATTTTCATTAATTTCGCATTGCTGTTGTGATTCATTACCGGGTTTTATTTTAATCTCTTCCTCTTTTTTAATATTTGAAGTTGACTGTATAATTTGTGTTTTTTCTGCAGGTTTACAGGTTGCCTAAACATAAAAACTTTCTATGGCTTCTGCTAAAGATTCTCTTACTAAGCTACATAAATACAAAGTATGGCAATATATATGGTAAATACAAAACCCGATGGCTTTAAATCTAATATGTTTAAACGAGCAATTCGTTCCGATCACAAAATTCAGGGTGTTAATTTTCTGTATATATGTATGAAACTAACATCCTGTACTTTGTGACCAATTGACAGAATCAATCATAAGAAATAAATCTATAATATAATGAATATTACCTCTATACTTTGAGATAGGCCATAATATTTTCTAATCAGTAAAGAGAAACTTTTTGGCGATTTCTAATATTTGTAGTACTCATAGGTACCTAAAATGATTTCGTCACTCACCTTAGAAAAAAAATTAGTAGATTGGATTTATTCTTAGTCGCCGCTTGCAATTCTTCTTCGATTCTCTTAGATACAATAATATCTAGTTCCTTGTCGGATTTTGCTTGTAATTTGTAATTTCGCCACACTTCGTTAACTAACTTTTGTACATTTTGTACTTTCGTACTTGTATGAGATTTTTTAAAACTTTCTAACAATTTTTGGTATAATTTGGATTTATCTATGTGTGTAATGGAATCAATGGTAACACAAATGTTAACTTGCTTTACTATGCTTACAATACGTCTACTCGCTATAGTATCCAAACGAAACAATACACTGATAGAGGAAATTTAGACAAGTGAACACCGCGCGGTAATTCCCCTACTCGGTTCTAAAGCGAGTAGGGGAATTACCGCGCGTTGTTCACTAAACGAATGCATTATTTGCGGGAATCCCCGAAAATGCGTTTCGTTTTCAAGCAAAGACAATGTGAGGGTTGCCATTCGTGTAAAAAAGTAAATAACTACCGATGACGTAATCATCATCTAGACTACCCTACCCCCCTTGGTCATCCAAAATAAGCAAAGCAAAGACCGCCCCCGCCCCCCATAGTGCTCACGTAATACTTGAACTGCCCCTTAGCCAAAATGCGCTTCATCGTTGAATATGATTTTGCGATGAAATTTGTCATTTCCTTGCAAGATTTTTAGGGCCCAATTCGAGAACGTACGTCGGTATGATCGAACGGCTTTAGTTCTTGAGTTCATTTGATCTGATAAGGGTACAGGCCAAGATCTCTTCGCAAAATTCGCCATAATGTGGTCTGAGCGATGCCCAATTCTTGAACGGCAGCAATATTCTCGGCGCTTCGATCAACTCTTTGTCTCACTGGTACGGGAACATTCAGCAGCGAATATGTGGATTCAATTTTTTTACTATGAATTGCTTGTCTACTGGGACGAGAAACACGACCAAAAATTGTCACCGACTCGGAATTTCGGTAGTAAATTTTAATTATTTGTAAGCTTTGTTCGTTCGTGTACTTCACCAAGTAGAAAATGTTTTCTTGACTGAATGTTTTGACATTGACAGTCCGGTAATTGATTTAAAGATGCGTTCACAGTGAAAGTTCAAAGTTGTCAAGTCCCTATTTGAAAACCCGATATAACCTTCCCGGTTGAACTGTTGAACCTTGAACCATTTGTTTCAAAGCATTATTTGTAACTTACCCTGAGCTTTGGTAAGGTCCATTGTCGTAAAGATATGCAGGGGTTACAGCATTGGTCAGATGATATCTATTTTTCAAATACGTGGGAATTTGGAATCCCCTAAAAGAAAAAAAGACCAGCTGGATAGGTGGTATCATAGAAGTAAAGCACTCTATAGTCCATCGAGAAGCAGCTATTCTGTGCCTAAACTCAGTGTCTATGCTAAACAACATCGCAATAACGGAAAGGGTATTTTCTCTCTCTTAACTTACCGTTTGACACTAGAGTATGTCAAAGGCGAAATTCGAATTAAAACCAACTCAAGTATAATAATAATAATAATAATAATATTTATTCGCCAAAATACAAAAAATGGGCAAATAAATATGAACAAACCACAGAAGGCATTGCCTGTGTGTGGTTTATATCTTAATAACTAACAATCAATCATATAATTGTATAACAATTATTGTTAAATCTAAAAGGTATTAATGTAATTGGAATTTTGTAGTTTTAGTTTTCTATATAATTATGTGTTGTCATTCGCTGCACATTACTAACCCAGTTTTTCAATTTTCTTCTAAATTTTTTTCCAAAATTAAGTATCTTTATTTCGTTTGGTACTACATTATATAATTTAGCTGCTAAGAACTTAAATGATTTTTTGAATAATGTTTTGTGTGGTCTTTGGATATTAGATGAGCCTATTCGAAATCGTGTGTTATGCTGTATTTATAGGATTTTTTCTTTTTATTACAATACTTATGGTATAAGGTGGTGGCATGTAAGAAATAAAGTTGTCTTGTATCAAGTATCCCTGTTTCTTGATATAAGTTGTTCGTTGGATATAATCTTGGCTTATGGAAAATGGCTTTCAAAACAGTTTTTTGTGCTATATTCAGGTCAGAAATATATGTCTTGCAGGCGGCACCCCAGGCTGTGATGGGTTTTAGCAAGCATTTTGAGTTTATAGGCAACATTTCTAATTTTTTTGATAACATATTTAATATGGTTATCCCACCTTAGATGTGAGTCTATAAATATTCCAAGATATTTCAAAGTGTTAACTCTATCGATTTTGGTCTTTTGGCCATGATAATTAACGGAAATTTGTTCGAAGGTAGATAAAAATTTTGAATAGGATGTAAATGAAATAAATTTTGTTTTTTTGAAGTTAACTGTTAAAATTTTAGTATCAAACCAGTCAATGATCCTTATAAAATCCTGTTCAGCTATTTGCTTCAGTGTGCTCCAGTCATCAGCTTTATATAATACGAGGGTGTCATCTGCAAAACATATAATCTTTCCAGAACTGTTAATTTTGAATAAGTCATTTAAGTAGAGACTAAATAATAGTGGGCCTAGTACTGTTCCTTGAGGCACACCACACTTGATGTACATTTTTTTACTGTAAGTGTTAGTGATTTTGACAGTCTGTGCCCGACTTGAAAGGTAATTTTTTAAAAGGATTTGTGACGCTCCCCTAAATCCCAATCTTTCCATAACTTTCAGAAGCTCGACATGGTTAACCGTATCAAAGGCATTTTTTAGATCAACAAAGATACCAATAGTAGGTATCTTTTTGTTGACATTAAAGTTAATTTCATCCATTGCAGCCAAAATTGCATCTTTAGTAGATTTTCCTTTTCTAAGTCCATATTGGTCAGAACATATAATTTTGTTTTTGTTCAAAAATTGTAATATCCTTTTTTGTAGTAATTTTTCGAAAATTTTGCCTATATTCGATAGTACTGATATGGGTCTATAATTTGATGTTTCCAGTCTGTCACCGCTTTTATAAACAGGAGTAATAACAGTTGTTTTAAATGCATCAGGACAAATTCCAGATTGGAAACACCAATTAATGACGTAAGAAAGTGGTTCGGCTAAGTCGTAGGCTACTATTTTTAAATGGTCAGCTTTGATACTATCTACACCAGGACTTTTTTTGGTTTTAAGCGATAGGACAGCTTCTTGTACTTCAATCGGACTAACGCTTTCTAAAAAGAATGAATTGGGAAGTTGGGTTTTTGTGAACTTTTCGTTCGAAACCATTTTTTTAATACTGGATGCTAAATTTTCTCCAACATTAGTGAAAAAATTTAAGAATGCATCGGATATTTGTCGTTTATCTGTTAATATTGTTCCATCACGATTCTTAATTTCATCAATATTTGGCTTTTCTTGAACGTCTTTGTTAGTTAAGTGATCGACAACTGACCACAGTTTTCTTGGATCAGATTTGGCATCTTGTAATTTTTTTAGATAGAATTGGCGTTTTGCTTCTCTAACTAGATTGATAAAAATATTTTTATATTCTTTATATTTATGGGAGGTATCTGCACATGGCGATGCTTTCATTATTTTGTATAATTCCTCTTTTTTGTTGGCAGACTTTATCAAACCTTTAGTTATCCAGGGATTCCTGCTTCTGTCAAAATGTTTAATTTTAACTCTGTTTGTACTACATTCAACTAAATATTTTATGCGTTCAATGAGTGTGTTTGCAGCATCATTAACATTCGTTGCACAGTACACTGCTGTCCACGATTCTAATTTGATATTTGCAAGTAGTTTTTTATTATCGACAAAACACCTAAATTTCACTGTTTCATTATTGGAGATGGATCTACTTTTATTTTTTTCTGGTGATGATATAAGTATTACAGTGGGTAAATGATCGGTAATATGGTTTTCAACAGTTAACGGTATGTACCGAAAGAAATTTGAAAAATTTTTGATGAAACAATGATCAATGCAAGAACTGGAACTATTATTGACTACACTTGTTGGTAAATTTATATTTGATATGAATCCATTGCTCTGCATTACAGTGAGGTATTTGTTTACTAATTTGGTATGTTGGAGTATATTAATATTCATATCTCCTATTATGATGTGGTGTGACTGTATGGCATTTTTGTTATCTAACAAAATTTTTTCAAGATTTTCTACAAATGTATAAGGGTTTGATGATGGTGGTCGATAGACAGATGTGACTTTTACACTTTTGTTATTAATTCTCAATATCAAATCCAACACTGTGATACCGTCATCAAATTTAACAAAATCACATCTGTAGTTGATATCATTTCTTACATATACTACCACCCCATCATTCTGGTTGTACGTACCATTATTGTAAAGCGTATCATAACCTTCCAAACAGAACAAAGATACATCATTAATTTTCCAAGTTTCTGTTAATATTATTATATCAAATTTGTGTTTAATTGTAGTTAGGAAGATATTCAAACAGTCAAAATTTTGGTTTAGGCTTCGTATATTCATGTGTTATAAGCTAACATTGAAATTAGAATATTCTAACCATTTATTAAGAGCATTTGCATCTTGAGCAATATTTGTATGACTGCAATGAATCTTATAACTAGGTTTTTGAAAAACAAGGCAACCCTAAAGGCATCAAAATATGTCGAAAATATAATGTTAATAAAAAGTTAATTATTCAAACTCTATAATAAGTGATACATAAACTATATTTCCTGGAAAATATCCTAATTTTTGGAACACTGATTTCGTTTGCAAAATCAAATGACGTATTAGTTAAATGAAATTAGTAAAAATAACAATTTTGTAACGTACCCAGCTGTTTGCACCAAAACCGCCCCTAATGCCACCAAGGGGATAAAGCCTCTCATCCACATCATTATCACAAGTCACTCTACTCGCATCCAACATCGACCACAGTCGGATGCTGATTGTTGTTAATTAAAATCGCGCATTTAAATTTATTTACTCCGAATATGGTCTGATAAAAAATCCGACACCGGAAGCACCTATCAAGCTCACAATCCGCGTTCTTTGATACGCAAGAATGTTTGGGAGCACTGGAAATTACGACATGCACCAAAATATGAAAAACCCACTATTAGTCAGGCTTTGAGGAAATCCGCGTTTTCTGTAATGAGATAAGGGAGAATCAGGCAAAGTGAAGCATTAAACATTCTGCTAAGAAAAGTATATGAAACAATTCCTTATTCATCCGTTTTAAAAAAGATCAGGCAACAAAATGAGATGTGCCTGCCCCACACAATCCCCTATCCCAACTTTCAACCGCATTTTTTTTTTCGTAAAAGTCCTTAGAGGCGTCTGAAACGTCCAAAAACGAAGGTGAGCTTTTTTTATTTTTTTTTCGGGTTTTTACCCCCAGCTTCCCCGCCACTGGACCGATTCGCAAAAACCTTACTCTCCAAGTTACAGGCAGTCCAATGATTATACAGGGTGGCCCATCCATGTGTGGACGGAATATTACTCTTAAACAAATACATTTTGGGAAAATCTATTAATGGCATGTTATACATGACATTTGAGGGCACATTTCTAAAATATTGACAATTGTACAGTGTGTCCCAATTTTGACCTCCATATAAAAGTTGTGATTTCTTAAATGGAATGCCTCAAATTGTATTACATGTTTGGATAAACCAATTCAAAAGAAGAAGATTGACATGACATACTATGGGGTTTTGGTAATTAGCTACTGAGATGTAAGGTGTTTTGTCCAGAAAAACCGTTATTAAGCTTTTAATAGAACAACACACCAAAACTACATAACTGGGCAACAGACACATCTGTATACTGCATACGTGGTCTAGGCCTTATATTTGTGGCATCTGTATGTAAACTTCAACTGGAATATATATATATATATATATATATTTGTTTATTTTTTTTTCTTTTCTAATACTACTTTATACTATTTTTCTTTTTTTAAATACTAGTTACTATGATTATATTAAAAAATAATGCTTTTAAAATCGGTTGCTTGATTGTACGATCTCTGTTCACTAATTTTAATGAACGTAGGCAAATCATTGAGGAGAAAGATTTTGATATTTTAATGTTAACTGAGACTTGGTTAATAACTGTTGACGATTCTAATATATACTAAGTGACATATAAATCCGAACACCCAGTTTAAATGGTTTTACTTTAATTAAATTTTGTATAAGTACTTAATGAAGCATAATAAGTAAATGATAAAAATTTCAAAATGATTGCACTGCTTTAAAGCCCTTTGACCTTTAATAAGGTGTGGATGCACCCTGATGTGCTACGCATTCTCCAACGCGCCTAGGCATGCTTCTGATCAGGTGGTCAATGTCCTCCTGTGGTATCTCATTCCAGGCAACCACCAACTCCTCTCGAAGTACTTCTAGAGTCTGAGGAGGACGTTGCAAATTGAGCAATCTCCTACCCATCATATCCCACACGTGCTCAATTGGGGATAAGTCGGGAGATCTTGGTGGCCATGGTAACAATGTGACATCATTATGTTGAAAGAAGTCTATTGTGACTCTTGCAACATGTGGTCGGGCATTATCTTGTTGGAAAGTTGGATCTGCCAGGGTGTCAAGATAGGGTAAAAGATGGGGTTCTAGAACTTCGTGGATATAACGCTGCGCGTTCAAATTACCTCTGATGAAGATTAAAGGTGACCTGGAACCATAAGCTACAGCACCCCAAACCATAACTCCAACAGTGTGATGAACATGTCTTTCAACAAAAAACTGTGGATTCCTCCTTTCACCACGTCGCCTTCTAACCCTGGCACGACCATCGTGCATGTCTAAACAAAATCGAGACTCGTCACTAAAGACAATACTGTTGCATTCCTCATCCCAGAGTGACCGTTGTCTGCACCACTCAAGGCGATTACGTCGGTGTTCTCGAGTTAAAGGGAGGACCCAGTGTGGCCAGTATGAAAACAAGCCAAAACTTCTCATTCGTCGGTAAACACTTCGCATGCCAATAGGTCTTCGGTGTTCTGCAAACCATTCATTTGCAATGGACCTGGTAGTGGAGAAACGGTCCCTTAAGGCCAATAATCTTAGGCGGCGATCTTCACGGTCTGTTGTTCTACGGCGGCGTCCAGTGCCCCTTGCTCTTTGCGTACGGCCTTCTCGAAGCCATGCCTGACAACACCTAACCACAGTGTCTACACTTCTTTGCACTCTAACTGCAATTGCCCGAAAAGAAAGTCCAGCTTCCCGAATTCGCACTATACGGCCCCTAACAAACTCACTAAGTTGACGAAATCGTACAGGTCTTCATACTCTAGGCATCGTAACCGATCGTAAAGGATGTCAAGAACCAAAATCCGCCAACGTTGATTCTTTACTGCGGCTGAAATATTCATTTTTAGAGCGTTAGTGAATTAAAAAAAAGCAGTATAAAAACCGGAATGTCCAACTGATAAGGCTTGTTATTTACAGTAAGATAAATACATTCACCAACTTTTATTAAAATAAAACCATTTAAACTGGGTGTTCGGATTTATATGTCACTTAGTATATTTAGTATCCCTAATTATCAATTTATTAGAAAGGACCGACTGGGTAGGGGTGGTGGAGTAGCGGCCTACGTAAAGACAGAAATGTTAAACTTGGATTTCGAAACTAATGTACAACTTGAGTATTTTATATTTAAACTAAAAATTAATAACAAAAAATACGGTTTTTGTGTTTTTTTATAGACCACCAAAGCTTGATTTTAATGTTATAATTACTGATTTTGATAATATATGTTCCTGTCTTTACCCTTTAGTTGATGAAATTATTTGTTTGGGAGATTTTAATTGCAACTTATTTAACCTTCAAAATCCACTGGTACCCCTATTTGAAAATTATAATCTTACGCAGATCATTAGTGAACCTACACGCATTTCTGGAACGGTTTGTACTCTGCTTGTTGCGATATTTGTCACTAACTTGTCGATAGTGGCTTCGTCTGGGGTTTTATCGGCGGATAATATTTCAGATCATAAATTGATTTACTGCAATCTTAATGTTTCATAGGAAAGTAAATCACCTAAAATAATAAAACATCGTTCTTTTGAAAATTTTAACCTAAATAATTTTCTAGCAGATACGCAAAGTTTGTCGTGGAATAATATATTATATGAGAATAATATTGATAATAAAAAAACTATAATAATTTTTACATTGCTTAGTAAGCATCCACCAATAAAAGAATCACTAATAACAAAACCAAAAGCGCCTTGGTTAACTAACAATATTAAATTATTTATGGAACAAAGAGATGCAGCACTGCAAAAATTTAAAAAATCTAAGCTTCAATCAGACTGGGTATAAACATTTAAGAAATTTTACTTTATCGTTGATAAGAAAAGAGAAGAAGGAATACATAGAACCTTTTGAAGGTAACTCCAAAAAACTGTGGTGAGTTTTAAAAAGTTTTAATATCTGTTCTACAAAAAATAATGAAATTCTCCAGTCTTTATCAGAACCTGATGATATTAATAGCTTTTTTGCTGCTTTTCTACAAAATAAATCTAACTGTTCGGAAAAAATTAAATTTTATAAAAAGAATGTCTTTAAAAATAACTTAACCTTAAACTTTAAATTAGCAGAAATAACAAATATAAACAAAATTTTAAACAACATAAACAGTAATGCAACCGGGATAGATGATATTTCGCCCTTTGTGTTAAAATATTGTAGTCCGTACATAGATAAGTATATAACACATGTAACTAATCAACAATTTATTTGTTTCCAAGGATGATGCGATATTTTAGGGAATTAAGCCGTTCCATAAAAGACGTGCTAATAACCGAAAAAATAGCAGTAAAAACACTCGTGTCTATCAAAAAAAGCTTATAAAAAATAGAATCGAAACTTGCACAAATATACAGGGTGATGCATTTGATTTTTTTCAGATCAGACCACCGTGTATGAGCAAAAATCAACATTCGAAAAAGTAACAAATAATATAATAGCTGAGGTGTGTAATTTTTCTTTGATACAAAATTTTTCTAAATGGCTGACTGAGGAGTTGCCAAAGTGGGGGGTTTTTCTAGACAAAACACCTTATATCTCAGTAGCTAATTACCAAAACCCCATATATATATATATATATATCAATTTTCTTCTTTTGAATTGGTTTATTCAAATATGTAACAAAATTTGAGGCATTTTATTTATCACAACTTTGATATATAGGTCAAAATTGGGACACCCTGTATAATGGACAATATCTTAGAAATGTGCCATCTAATGTCATGTATAACGTCCCATACAGAGATTTTCCCAAAATGTATTTGTTTATGAGTAATATTCCGTGCACACATGGATGGGCCACCCTGTATAACATCCAAAAAACATAATTTTTCATTTCGCGATAAGCGTGGTAAGTAAAAAGAGATAATAAGGTTCTTTCAAGCTTGGAGTTTGCGTTGATTTAAAATATTTCCCTCAGGTGAGCTACGTGTTAAAAACTGCCATCCCTCATGCAAAATTTACACTAGAATGCAAAATTTACGACCACTTAACATCGTTGCAGATTTCGCACCTTAGCTCAACAGGGTTACTGGGGTAGCGGAGACGAGCCTAATAATTTTTCCACAAGACGGCATCCTTCTTACGGAGCTCCATAAATAATTCCAGAGCACTCTTATATAAAGCGGATATAAGTTGTAAAGCACAGTCTACATTAACATTTATCAATGTTACACCCTACATATCCATGGGCTTACTTCCCTCGGAACATATAATCTGGATCTTTTTTTGAAATAATCGCGGTAACGCCACATAAATATATTTACGGGGTAGAAAAATCTTAGCCCATCGAAATATATATCTCAGTGTTTTATCATGGATGTCCCCAAAAAATTTACCATTAAAATATAGAAATATCTCATACACTCGGGTGTCGAGTCGATACGTGC